CCCCGCCCGCATCTATCGTAGTTTAGTTTCGATTACGAGACAGTTTCGACATGCCATAGGCCGTAATTACACTACAGAAGCTGATTCCTGAAAGTTAGAAATAACCGGCAAACAATTAAAATCCCGGTTCTTTCATTACTTTTAGTAAGACTCGGGAATTCCCGCTATTTTAGAGACCGGGTTTTCCCGGATCTAAACAGCTTGCTGAAGTGACAGTGGTCTGGCCATATCTGCCGAAGAACCGATAACCGATGGGGGAAGTGAGTTTCATGAGCAGAGACCACGACTCGGGAAATGTAGGCCGCCCTCTGCCCAGATGGAGTGACGATCTGTGAAAGACCGCAGGTAGCAAATGGATGCGTCAAGCGAGGACCGGGCGAAATGGTGCACATTGGGAGAGGCCTATGTCCAACAATGGACTGCGATAGGCTGATGATAAGATGATGTGCAAAATAATAATGAAGAATGTTAAGAAAAACTAAATTAGACGTCATTTCTTTCTTTCAAAGATTCGCACGAAGCGTTATGCTTCATTTATATGGCGAACGGCTATGAAGTGGAACTCCCTGCCTGCAGACTTGTTTCCTGAACGTGATATAACTTGGGCCTTTTCAAGGCGAGAGTGAATAGGCATTATTTAGATGTGCATGCTTCGTCGTCGACCTCATCCTCGCTTTCCATCAGGTGAGATCGAGGTCAAATGCGCACTTACATTTTATAAAAAAAAAATTTCGACACAACTCCAAAAGTGAATGTTTAAAACAAACATTGAATTAACACATCCTCATGTATAATTCAGCACCTAACACGAACCCAATTGTCCTCAAGTTGGAAATAACAGGCTGTAGGTAATTAGCTTTAACAATTCTTGTTATTTGGGCGTGAAAGTTATAAAGTTAAACATTTATAATTCATTGGCCCCATCCTTTTAGCTCTCGTATTCATGTTTTGACTTGGTATAAATTTCAGAACAGAGTTCCATATTCTATCTTATTCTATTTGGTATTGTACATGTGTAATACATAAATCTTATTAGTTACTCTTGTGCAATAGGATTAAATAATTTTCTGTTTCCTACTTAGATATTAGGCAGTGGCTGCGATTTCCTTTTAAAAAAACATGGATGAGTCTAATAAAGAAATAGATAAATCTTTAATGTTGAGTAAATTTTGTATGCGGCGAATCGGTCTGTCATTCAAAGCACCGGAGACTACCTCTGCTCATTTGCTCCAGAAAATAATGTTCATACTATCAGTTTCGAGCATTTGCTACCATGTCTTCAGTGAAATTGCTTTCATAGTCCTCACGCTGTCTAATTCGCCACGAGTCGAGGATGTCGTTCCACTTTTTCATACTTTTGGTTACGGCGTATTGAGTAAGTAAAATATCTCAATTCCTGACTCATTCCGTAGTTCAGTTGGGAGATAATCAACCAATGGGATATGGTGAATTCACTGGTTCGAATCCAGCCGGTCGAATGAATTTTTCTGTTTGTTCGATATTTGTATTAATCATTATAACAATAAAACATGTAATACGAAAATGTATTTATAGTATTTAATAAACTCAATATATCAATTCTTGTTCCCACATGTTTTAGTAACAATACATTATGTATTAAGACGGTAAATAAAATATCACTACCGAAAGTCTATTACAAGCCCGAAGCCGAAGGCTGCTGAAAGCTTCATAACTCAAGTTTTGTATTTTTTTACTGTCTGTGATACATACAATGTTTTTCATCACATTTGCGAGGAAATAAATACAATGTTTACATTTGCGAAGAAATAAATACAATGCAAACAATTATGGATTTTGCAAATGGCGGAGTTTTTTTTGCACAAAATGACCGGCTAGCTATTCTTCCATAGGTAATACAACTCGAACTAAAATGTTGTAAAAAGCAAAGACGCATACAGCCATGATGGACTAGAAAAAACAAAATTGCTTAATTTTTATGCACGAAATAATTAAAAACAATTATAAGAAATTCTTTATAACAAGTATTTAAGTATTATGTAGCTGATTTACAATTAAATTTCTATTTAAGTAGATGTGGCGGCTTTAGACGCCGCCTATTATCACCGGCTTGCTGTGGCAGTCTCTTTGGACGAGAGTAGCCAAGGAGAGTGTCACACTTGCCAAAAATATTTGACAGTTTTTTAGTTACGTGAATGGTCATGTCAACGATTGCAAATTGTTTGCCCGGTTTGATAAAAAGCTATCTGTAAAAACCACGAAAAATTATAATTATATCTCCATTCACGAAGCTCACGAGGCCGTTTTATTGTTCGTTAGGGGAGCGATAAATTCCCCAAATTGGTGACCCCGACGCGATTGTCTCGGCGGCCTCGAACATTTACGAGAAAATTCCGACTATTTTAATTTTACGTTTCTCAAGAAAAACTTATAAAAATTTCAAAATACAATGAAGAAGATGAGTAATACAAATTGGAGGCCTCATATTCCATTCTAACGCTCGCTGGAGTTTCTATGGAGGATCAGCTCCGACATTTTACTGACTGCGACTTGTGAGCAGCTACGTGCGAACGTGTGTTCTACGTCATCTACCGGTGCTCGCGACGAGTCACGCCCCCTACGACCGTTTTATTGTTCGTTAGGGGAGCGATAAATTCCCCAAATTGGCCCACCAGTTTCTTGCCGGCCCCGTCGTTTGGCCCCTCAAAAACTGGCAGACGCCATAAAACAAATTGAAGAGATGGTGCGCTCCGGCACTGCTAGACCTTCAGATAGCCCGTGGCCGTCTCCGCTGTATTTGACCTTGAAAAAGGGTAGCACCTGGCGCCCTTGCGGCGATTATCACGATTATACAGTCTGAACGCCAGGACCATTCCGGATCGTTACCCGGTGAGGCATATTCATGATTTTGCCAACAGCCTCAGTGGAACTCAGCATCCTTGACCTGGTAAAGGCTTACCATCAATTAATTCCTGTGGCAGAAAAGGACATTTCCAAGACGGCTAGTACCATTCCCATTGGCCTCTTCGAATTCCCATTCATGACCTTCGGTTTGAGGAATGCGGGTCAAACCTTTGAAATGTTCATCGATGAGGTCACACGGGGTTTGGATTTCTATTTTCCTTATGTGGACGATATCCTCATCTTCTCTAAGGACGATACTCTCCACAAAAACCACCTGCGGACTCTTTTTCAGCGCATTCATGATTATGTTGTTGTTTTAAACCCTTCCAAGTGCAATTTTGGAGTAAGAGAGGCCCGATTTTTGGGTTACGTTATTACTCCGACGGCACTTGCACTCCGCAAGAACGAATCCAAACTCTACTGGATTTTCCTCCTCCCAAAACCGTACAGAGTATGCGCCGTTTTCTGGGCATGTAAAATTTTTATAGACGTTTTATTCCTCAGGCAGCTAAATTTCAGGCTCCCTTAATTAACGCTGTCGTCTCTACCAATGGCACCTTTGCCATTGGTAGAGACGACAGAAGCTCCAGAAGTTCCGAAGCTTCTGGAGCATTTTGAAGCCTGCAAAGCTAGCCTATCTAGTGCCACGTTATTGCAACACCCGATCATGGATGCATTTCTTGGGTTATTTACCGATGCATCCACTGTCCATGTTGGTGTTTGCCTTCAGCAACAGGTGGACGGTGCCTGGAATCCCCTCGCTTTCTTCAGCAGGAAATTGACTCCTCGGCAAGCTCAGTGGCCTGCTTATTATCGGGAATTTTTCCCCACATCCTCGAAGCGCAACATGTGACTATATATGCTGACCATAAGGCACTGCTGTACGCCTTCGTACAACGTCGTGAAAAATTATCTCCACCGCAATTGAACCAGCTATCTTTTATTAGCCAATTTACAACTCATAGACTGAAGATAAAGTCGTCACCGACTCTTTATGTCGCATCGAGGCGATTTCACTCGAAGACGATTTCACCGCACTAGCTCAGTCTCAAATGTCTGACATAGAGTTGGCGAAAATGCAAGAAGGATCGGCTTTGAAATTAGAACAGGTTTTGATCCCGGGCACCAACATCACTCTAATATGTGATACCTCAACCGGTCGCCCTCGACCTTATCTCACTTCGCCTTTCCATCGAGTTGCTTTCGACCGTTGCTATAACTTCAGCCACCCTAGTGCACGGGCACCTTTACGCTTGGCAGCAAGTCGCTACGTATGGCCTAGCATCAACAAAGGTTGTCGCGAGTGGGCACATTGCCGCGTTCAGTGCCAGAGAAGCAAGGTATCGCGGTATGTTAAATCACCAGTTGGTCGGTTTGATCAACCTACCAGTCGATTCCGTCATCTGCACATCGACATCATCGGACCACTTCCATGTTCTAACGGTTTTAATTATTGCTTAACCACCATAGACCGTTACACACGGTGGCCGGAGGCTTGGCCGATGACGACGATAATTGCAGAAGTAGTTTCCGACAAATTAGTGTCAGGATGGATTGCCCGTTTCGGTGTTCCTAGCTTCGTCACCATCTATCAGGGGCGTCAATTCGAGTCGGCTCTATTTCGGCGACTCATGGATTTCTGCGGAGCGAAAAAGATTCGCACCACCAGTTACCATCCTTGCGCCAATGGCATGGTGGAACACCTCCATCGTCAGCTCAAGGCAGCTCTCATGTGTCACACTGATACGTGGACGAGAGCGTTGCCTCTGGTGCTTCTCGGCATGTGGATGGCTTTTAAGGAGGACATCAATGCGTCATCAGTGGAACTCGTTTTCGACGAGATCCTCCGCCTTCCTGGCGAGTTCATTGTTGCTCCTCCTAGCCTAATCAGCCTCGCAGAGACATCTGATTTAATAACGCAACTGATACGTGCGATGGTTTCAATTCGGCCGGTTCCTGCATCTCACCACGGCAGGCCCTCGTCTTTTATATTTAAGGATTTGGCGACCGCCACTTAGTATTTCTTCGGGACGACACGTCTCGAAGATCGCTGCAAGCGCCGTACTCCGGAACTCACTGCGTCCTCGATAGAAGGGTCAAGACAATTTCGCTTGCCGTCGGCGGAAGGACATGCTGATGTCACCGATGGCTTGCGACCCCCACTTGCTGTGCCACAGGCTAGGCATCCCCTGGCTACAGTCCCGCCGCAGCTGCCGTCTTCAGTTCCTTCAGACAAACCAGCCACCTCCTCGCCCGGCACTCCGTACACGACCCGGTCAGGAAGGCATGTGCGTTTTAAAGATTTTAGTGATTTTGTTCAAAAGGCTTTTTTATGTTATTAAATTTTTGTTTTTATGTCCGGTTTCTTCACTCCATGGGGTGGTGGTGTGGCGGCTTAAGACGCCGCCTATTGTCACCGGCTGGCTGTGGCAGTCCCTTTGGACGAGAGTCGCCAAGGAGAGTGTCACACTTACCAAAAATATTTGATAGTTTTTTAGTTACGTGAATGGTCATGTCAGCGATTGCAAATTGTTTGTCCGGTTTGATAAAAAGCTATTTGTAAAAACCACGAAACATTATAATTCTATCGCCATTCACGAAGTTCACGAGGCCGTTTTATTGTTCGTTAGGGGAGCGATAAATTCCCCAAATAGATAATATTCAAAGCGAATGTTTTAATTCTGAGCTTACGTAACATCCTTGCTTGAACTTGAACCTATCTTACTTAAGAGAGTATATCGTGCTAGAAATGAAATAATCTCAGTACAGAGTACTAAAAAACCGACCTCAAACGAACGTGGAATTCATATTATGTTTATACAACAAACAATAAATTAATTACCAAGTTTTACTGAAATCTGTTACCGGAAAGTGGGCAAACCCGGATTCACCCCCTAGTTCGCCACTATACAGGACTTGACACAGGAGATAATAAAAATCGGTTCTCACTACTGAAAGTATGTATAAAAACGCTTTGAATTGTTGATGAAATGATTGAAATTAACCAGTAAAATAATTGCTCCTTATATTAAAATTTAGGAGCTATTTATTAAAATGAATCTGAACAACCACGCTTAGAGGTGGATGATTATCTTCAAAATTAAATGGGACCACTATGGAGGTACCCTCTTACCAACAAAAAAGAATCATGAAAATCGGTTCACAACTACCGGAGTTATCGCGTAACATACATACAAAAAAAATTATACAGTCGAATTGAGAACCTCCTCCTTTTTTGAAGTCGGTTAAATAGAAACTTCTTAACGACAACGGCTGTAATAAAAAGTAAAAAGGTCCGAAGGTTTTATTTGGGGCATTATAATCAAGTTAGCCACCATACAATCGCACTATTTGCGAGCACGTGTGATAAAAAAATATATTTTACTAGTTTTGTTCAGAGTATATCTACTTTGCAAATTTTAATTACATTTAACATCGAACAGATTATATATACCAATATTTTTATAACAGTTCTCTTATTTAACTTACTGTGTATTGTTTTAAAGGCATTGCAAAAGTGTTCGTATTGTGGTACAAGAAAGACGTATTCAGGTCGTTAATCGAAGAGTTGGCAACTATATGGCCAGTTCCGCCGTTGGATAACGATGCACAGGCTATTAAAGATAAAAGTATCGATGCACTGAGGATTGCCCATCAATGTAAGTACAAATAAACATATATTTTCTTTCCTTATTACAGTCTGTTACAAAAATGTGCTATATACCAAACCACTTTGATAAAAGAAGTTGCTTTGTCAACTTCCCGACACTCATTTCCAACCAACGGCGCACAAGTTATATTTTAATAAAGATTGCTATTCGCCAATATAAACTTATTCTTAAACTTGTTCGTTATTACGCGAGTCAAACAAACAAAGTCAAAGTCAAACAAAGGCATTGAAAAGACTCGATGTGGAAAGTAATATCGAATAATTTGTCAGTTTCCCGTTCAATAATATAATTTAATATTTTATAGTATTATATTTACGTAAACAACTGTAGGACTTGATATTTAGGATAAATTTTGATAAATCATAGTCGTAGGACTTTTCCTACGACTATGATTTATCAAAATAATACTTTTATTAGAATGGAATAGAATAGACAAGAAATCATTTATTACTACGCCACAATACAAAAATATACAGCAATAAAGCTAAATAAAAAATATAAAGCTAAATTAAAACGATAAATGAAAATAAAATAAAAACCAAATGAAAATAAAATCATACACATCAACAAAGCAAACATTAAATATTCAACACAATTAGAGTGAATGTCATGTGTGCAGGTGTAGCGTATGTAAAAAGATCAACTCCGCTATTGTCACCGCTGAGAAAAGGCTGTGACGCTGATTTTCAGTGGACCCTAAAACGGAATAAATACCGGACGTGTGTGTCGCGAATTTACGAGTAAACTTAAATTAAATCCTTTTCTTTTTAAATAGCCCCGCTCTAAGAAAACCCTGTGTGGCGGGTGTTAAGGTCACACTCGCATAGACAATCACAAATTACACCCAACTTTTCTCACGAGAGAAATAATTGTAGGCCATACAAACATTTCTCCCAGGCTGGGAATCGAACTCAGGACCTCTGCGTGGCAGTCCAGGGTGGTAACCGTTCGGCTACGGAGACAGTTATAAATATATCGAATGCTTAGTTTTCGCGACTGTTACCAGAAAAAAAAATGGCATATTCTATTTATTTATTTATTTATTTATGGCATAGCTACAGAATACTTTTTTTAATAATATTAAATGACAGGACGAACAAGTCGTGCGCCTGATGGTAAGCTGCAGAGAGTGGCAACTCAGAGCTTTCAATTGCAAAGATCTGAGGGACACTATCACTGCACCCATCACCTTTAGACATAAGTTAACAAGTCCCATGTGCCTGTAATTTCACCAACACCCTTACCATTCAAAACCGGAACGCAGTAATGTTAACATTACTGCTTGGCGGCAGAAATAGGTAAGGTAGCAGTACTTCCCTGGGCGAACTCTTTCACAAGAAACTCTAGTAACATATACATACTGTGAAGATGCTTAAAGTTAACATGCATTACAATAGGAGTAAATTTGTATTCCTATGACAGCCACGCACGACATTGTGAAATAAACAAAGTACTTACAAATTAACAGACTATTGATCATAATAAATAAATTGCACTTAAAAATTATAGAAAAAAATCATGTTACTTAAACATAAAAACAATGAGATTCTTAAATATCCAACATACTCAGTTTCTCTTCTATTTAAATGAGTATAGTGACTATGGGAGAATCCGTACAAATTCTTAGAAAAGTGGTTATGAGCTCTAAACATGCGGAAAATAGGATCATTATATAAGACAGTCTTAGTGGTAAATGGCAGAGAAAAAGTTCTAAAAGTATCGAATACCTTTTTGAAAAGTCATATCTAGAAATCTGCCATTACTATTTGAATTGCATTCTATTTGCATGCACAACAAACTAAGAAACACCTAACGCAACTGTCGTGCGATCTGGAACCCACCTGACGTTGAGGTTGAATTTAGCAGACTGTAATTCGCTTACTTATAACTTCATACACTTGTTACTCGTTTCCCCAGTTAGCTAATGCAGTTAGAACTGCAATGATACTTAGGTTGCAGTTAGATAAAATCGAGTTTTAGATTGATGCATAATAAAGTAACGCCACTACTCGAGGTTCTCCAGAAGATTGGTCACCCATAAAAGGGAAGTTGTAATCATCTTACAGATATATGGATGCGAGGCGCCTGTCAATTAGAGTTGCTTTTCTATATCTGAGACAATTATTGTAAAAAGTCTGCAGTTTCATTAAAACTTACGTGGTTAACTGAACAACACACAACAAAGATTGAAAAGTAGATAAAAAATTTACAGTTAAGTGAACTTAACGCTATAATCCTTTTTTAAATCCAGCTTTGTATTGGACCCAATGATTGTATTGGACCCAATTTCCCTAGCTTTATGCATCTTCATATATTGTGGACAATTTGTATGATTACTACATTTTTTTTTTATATTTTAACACAAAGGCATTTTGGAAATGGAAATAAGATCAGACGTGATCTTGAGACGATAAAGAAGCCGAAACAAACCTTTTGTAAAAACAAATTTACAAAAGGTTTATTTTTTAACTGCCTCCGTGGCCGAAGGGTTACCATGCCGTAGACTGCCACGTAGAGGCCCCAGGTTCGATTCCCGAGCCAGGAGAAATATTTATATGGCCTACATTTATTTCTCTCGTGAGTTTGGGTGTAATTTGTGGTTGTCTATGTGTGTGTCCATGTGCACCCGCGACACAGGGCTTCCCTAGTGCGGGGCTATGTTGAGTGTGTGCGTTATTATTATTAATTATACAAGATTTAGATCTCAAGAAATAGTTTCATTTCTAATATGTAACAAACTAGTAGTAGTTGTACTGAATGTATATATGTGTAGACATACAAACAGTAGGAACTTGTTACCTTCTTAGGTTTTCGCTGCTACTCAATAATATTTCGTGTTTCCTAGGGTATTTTGCTGTGAACGTGTCCGGTGTATGGTTTTACAACTTGACCCCGATCGGCATCTACTTCTACCAATTATGGCAAGGACAAGACGCCCGCGTGGGTTACGTTTGGGTATCGTGGTACCCGTTCGATAAACACAAGCCCATCGCGCATGTTGCTGTTTACATTTTCGAAATGTTCGCTGGTAAATAAATCCATTTTCTTTGCAATTTTACGATTAACTGATGAAATTGAGACACGCATTGTTACATCAGGTGACATAGTTATCATGTTCACACTTCTCTTTTGTACATTTTCACGTACCTACTGTTTTTTTGTCCGAAGAAAGTCGAATTTTTATATATTATATACTCACAAAATGAGAAGACACAGTATTTTCACTGATATTTAATGCCTTTATGTTATATTAAGACAAGCGTCAAATATCTCTCTTCTGGCAAAAAGATGTGCTTGCCTTTTGCTCTTGAAATGAAATGACTACCGGTAACTAAAAATGACAGCTTCGTTCCTAAACAGATTTAAAACTTTCGTTCATTTCTTATGGCCTCTCCACACTTGTGGAGAAAGGTTATGCTAACTCAATTACTGTCCTATTTCGGTAGGAATCATATTTTTCATAGTAAATCATACGGGTTTACTAGTGGTAGATCGACTAGCGATGCGGGGGTAGCGTTACTAAAACACATCTTTGATGCTTGGGAAAGGTCCCAGAACGCTATTGGTGTTTTCTGTGACCTCTCAAAGGCATTTGATTGCGTTGGTCATAATACTCTTATTAGGAAGCTGGAACATTACGGTGTAAATGGCAAGGCATCGAAACTTGTCTCGTCATATCTCAACGGTAGAATTCAGAAAGTAGATATAAATGGAGTGACTTCTTTGGGTTCTCCAGTAAAAATGGGTGTTCCGCACGGCTCAATACTTGGACCTTTCTTATTTCTGATTTATATTAATGATCTGCCATTCTTTGTTAAGGACCATTGCGAAATAGTGTTGTTTGCTGATGACACATCCTTGATTTTTAAAACAGACAGACATGACATTAACTATGACCGTATTAATGATACCCTCTCTAAGGTAGTTTATAGGTTTAATGCTAACAATTTATTGCTTAATGCCAAGAAGACAAAATGTGTTAAATTTGAATTACCTAACGTAAAATCGACTAGTCCAAGCATAGAAATAAACGGAGAAAAGTTAGACCTTGTTAATAAAGCAGTCTTCTTGGGAGAGACCTTAGATAGTAAACTTCAGGTTTCCATATATATCGTCCCTGGCCAGCAAATTAAGCTCCGCTGCATACGCAGTCCGCAGAATACGTGAGCTTACCGATGTTAGTACTGCTAGACTAGTTTACTTTAGTTACTTCCATAGTATAATGTCCTACGGGATTCTCATGTGGGGTAAAGCGGCAGATATTCAAACCATATTTGTATTGCAAAAACGAGCGATTCGTTCTGTGTACCGTCTAGGCTCTCGGGTATCTCTCAGAGAAAAGTTTAAGGAGACTGGTGTCATGACTGTGGCATCACAGTACATTTACTCAAATATTTTATATGCCCGTAAAAATACACATAATTTCAATAAGAAAGAAGATATCCATAATATTAACCTTAGAGCTAAGTCCAAACTCATGGTACCACGATTTCGTTTAACCAAGGTAAACAACTCTTTTATGGGGAACTGTATACGTTTTTACAATAAGATTCCGGAGCATTTATTAAGTTTATCATTTCCTAAGTTTAAAAACTACATTAAAAATATTTTGATCGACAAATCATATTACAAAAACGAAAACGAAATGAAGACTACGTGTTAGATAAAGATGTATGGAAAGACGACATGGCTCCAGAATCCACACAAATTTGATTCAAAGTGTATTCCATAGCATTTAAGTTTATTTGAAAAGAGCAATCCCTAGAGTTTCTTGCTCGTTCTTCTCAGGGAGGTCAGCGTAGTGAACGAGCAGTAGCTTAAGTGTGACGTTTTCAAGTGTAAATTTATTTTACCTATGGAATATATAATCTTTGACTTTGTGCGTGATCACGGGCGAAGCCGCAAACTACTCGCGAAGCATGAGTGTGGATACCATTTGCATAAGCTTCGCGGCTACACGCCGCGTTCGCGACTCCTTCCCAATTGTTGTCGGTATTTTGTCCCGCGACAACGGGTTCGCGAAGCGCGAACTTGGCGTGAGCGGAACAAGGCTCCACATTCGTGTCGGCTTTGTTTGTATTTTTATTGTTGACGAAAAATTTAAATCACTAAATGATTGTCACTAAAAAGCTTACAGGATGGAAAAAAAAATAAAGAAACTAAAAAGACAGTTAACGCGTGATAGTGGACCGTTCCGAAATATCAGGAAAATAAAACGAAATCATACCTTAGTAAATTAAAGGAATGATGCAAATATGTTTATAAAAATAAGTTACTAAAAAGCGAGAAAGCGAATATATTGCGCATAAGGAACTATTTTTCTAACGAGCGGACGACTTGGCTGTACGTATGCTTATTATTTATAATTTCAATTTTTTTATTTTATTTTATTACATAGGGCGCACTATAAATTTCCGGAACTGGCCACTTACATAAGCAATATTTAAAAAGTAATTACAACATTTGAAAATGGAACTCTAATATAGTTTGTTTCATCTGACTGTCACTTTTTTTACATTGTGGCGTCATTTTGAAATTGGTTGTCTACATCACCATGGATTTGACCATTTAACTCGTGAAATTTTTCGTAGTATGTTTTTCTACGACTTTAAGTGTAATTTAGCAGTGTAGTAAAAATAACCGTAAACGCCGTATCATCTTGCACCACGATAATGCCAGTTCTCACACGGCCAGACTGACAAATTAATTTTTGAAAATGAACAACGTCGACTTTATGAGCCATTCCGCGTATAGTCCCGACCTGGCCTTGTCACTTTTATTTATTTCCAAAAATTAAGAACCAGTTACGCAGTCAACGATTTTCATCACCTGAAATGGCTGTCGAAGAGTATGAAAAATATGTTTCCGAGATTGTCACGGAGGAGTGGCATAAATTTTTTCAAAATTGGTTCATTCGCACGAAAAGGTGCATTAACGCTAACGGAGAATATTTTGAGAAACAATAAATTAATTTCTGACCTTATATATTAAACCTGTTGCATCAAAATATTCAAGGCATGAAAGGAAAAGAGTTACAAATAGAATTATTTATTAACTGTAATAATATTGATATTCTTTGTATTACTGAACACCACTTTCTATCAAAACATCAGTTCATGTTTAGCTTCAACAATCACCAGGTGGCTAGTTCGTTCAGCAGAGAAATAGCTATTCCAGGCGACTCTTTAATTCTTATTAAAATTAAAATTTAAAGAACGTACAGATATTGTGAGCCTATCTATTGAGCGGACTATAGAATTATCCTGCATAGAGCTTGAACGGCTTGTTATATTAAGCGTTTACAGACCCCCTCATTCATCTTACGAACTATTTGAAAAAAGATTAAATGAAGTTTTAGGCAAATGAAATAATCCAAATAAATGTATTGCTGTGTGTGGTGACTTCAATGTTAACTTATTAGAAGATTCCAGTGCTAGCAGTAGGCTCATATCATTTTTCCAATGTTATAATCTTGTGAATCTTTTCTTGGTGCCTACTAGAATAACTTCTACTACTGCCACTTGTTAGACAACATTTATACTAACGCCTTACCCAGTAATAAATCTATTATAAATAAATTAACTTCTGATCACTGTCAATTAGCCACTTTTAATATAGCTGTTGACAAAATGCCAAAAAAGGATATCACATGTGTTCCAATAATATGTAATGGTCGACTTAAAGCTTATAGAAATAATGTAATGCTTAAAGTAACTGACATTCCGTACGTTAACGATCCCAATAAATTGTATAATTCAGTTTTCAACATAGTGAAAAGCGAACATGATAATGTTTTAGGTCCAAAATCATAACTATTAATAATTCATTGAAATTTAGTGATTGGGCGACTGTGGGAATTCACAAAAGTAGACAAAGGCTACATGATCTTTACGATGAAAGGACTTATAACACTAGTAACAGTTTTAATGATTTTGTTAGGAAATATTCGAAAATATTTAAACGTGTTTGTGTTGCAGCCAAAGCAATGTTTATAAATAATAAAATAAAAAGCAGCGCGAATGTAGTAAAAACGACTTGGAATATTATAAATAGCGAAACTGGAAGGGTCAAACCTCGTAACTTAGATTTTCAACTATGATTTAATGACAAAATTGTAAGCACAGATGCAGAAGTTGCTAAAATGTTTGAAAATTTTTTTACTGACATTCCAATTTTGACTACTAAGTCGTTAAATTCATCTCCCACCGCCGCTGAATCCTTACTAAAAGAAAATAATGCAGTTAGTATCATTAATTTTAAGTTCAAGTTCAATTAATTTAAATTTCAAGTGTAATAATGTTTACCTATGAAATAAAGATTATTTTGAATTTGAATTTGAATTTGACCATTTATAGTATTTTTTCTTATTCATTCCGGAAACTTATAGTGCGCCACACGTATTAAATGATCCCTAGCCGTAACCACCTTGTGCAAAGATTAGAAGTCAGTAAGTATAGTGTTGTGTTAATGTAAAACACAAGCAACCTTTATATACTAGCTTTAGTTATTTCCATATATCTTAATTAAACATTAACACAGTTTTGTTATGACGAAAATTTATAGTAAAATTAATATTTATGTCTAGTAAAATTATGCCTTGACTTTATGAATAGTGATTAAATAAGAGTAAAATTAAGTGTGAAAAAATATTATGCCTCGTCGTCAATTTATGTAAACCAAAGCGCCACAGTTTTACTACCCATAACTCTGTACAACTTAAACAACTACGATTTATTTATTAAAGTGGGCTGCGTTAGTTATACTAGACTAAAATTAACAACACGGATAACCAGAATGTGTAGAGCATCCGTATTCTTTACTTCTCCTTCACCTAGATTTCCTTTGAGGTGAAATGATATAATGTGTACATCATGATAAATGACGTACGTCGACCACACAGAAAATCGTTTTTTTTTTTGGCCAAATACGAACTGAACTTGTTTTTAACCGACTTTGAAAAAGGAAGAGATTCTCAATTAGATAGTTTTTTTTGTGTATGTTATTATTGTGTATGTTATAGTGATTACTGCGATTTGTAAACCGACTTTAATGATTCTGTTGTTCTGATTGGTCCCATTTAAATTTGAAGAAAATATTCCACCTCTAAGGGTGACAAACTAGCGAATTAATCTGGTTTCGCGCACTTTCTATTTACCGATTTCAATATAACGTGACAAAGCGATGTAATTCCAATAAAAAAGCCGATAAGCAAACTTTTGAGGTCGGTTTTTTTTAATAAAAAAGTTAAATTTAGTTGATAATGAAAACAGAAGATAGAGATAATGAACTATGGGGCCCACAACAGGATCGACTATAACGACTTCGCACAGTATTTTTTTTTTCCATAACGTTCATCTACGGAAAAATCAGTTACATTCGATTGCTATTAGAAATATTTCAATAAAATTTTATCTCCCGTTTCCGTAACAAATACGTCAGAGGACTTTTAACTTATTTTACACATATCATTCAATGAATTTCTCTGGATCTACTTCACGCGCTACGCAACCACGATATCATTTCGCCTTAAAAGATAGGGACAAGGTATTATATAATTATATAACTTGACATTTTGAGGACCTTAAATATTGCTTGTTTATTTCACCATGTTCGTATACCGCTCATAATACAATGAAAGTGTGACTGGTAAGCTGATGTGCTTAAAAGGTCAAACCAATGTGGTCTTCAATTTTGTTGTGCACATAATATATTTTTAGTCCTATTACTGGAAATCTTAGCATTATGATCACAAAATTACACACCTCATAATGTGTCAGTCATATTAATAAACGTTACTTCGAATAATCCTAATATTTTAATTCATAATTTTTATTGTTATACAAATAAATGATAGATTGAGGGATTGACAATTTTGTTTTGATTTTTAATTTGTAGTAGATTTTATTGTTCACAGAACAATTTCTAGTTGAAATACCTTGCTCACTTTTTCTTTAAATATGAGTTTAGGAACAAAAGTATAATAATGAATGAAATTATCCGTTAATGTTATTCTCTGCAAAAATATTATGAGTAATAATGTTGTATATAGGTTGGTTAGGAATTCAGAATTTATTTGTGTGATTAATATTGAGAAATTCAAAGTATTTTAAAAGAAAAAGAAAAGAAAAAATGGCAAGATTAATTTTCTGAGAACGAATATTAGCCCCTTCTTAATATTACTTAATATGTGCTTAAGTTTATGTCTCTAGGTCAAAGCTGTGTTTGGATAATGATTGGCACGGACCTCCTTTTCTCTGCAATGGCAAGTCACATCTGCCTATTGCTGAGATTGCTACAGAAACGCCTAGAATCCCTGGCTTCGTCTGATCGGACAAACGAAGAATACTATCAGGAAATAATTACAAATATTAAATTGCATCAACGGCTTATTACGTAAGTTCTAATCAGAGCCAGTCACATGAAGTCTCACGTATTTTGATTATAGGCGTTTATATGTACGTAATATGTGCACATTTTTCATTTGTATAGTTACTTTAGAGTCATTTTCACATTTACCTATATAAGTGTCATAGAATAATGAGACCAGTAAGTAGGACAACTCCCGCCTGTTCGGTGTATCCAATACCTACACGTCACTGGGAGCGTAGGGTTGTCACATCAATACTTTAGTTGTACTTACAGGTAGTAAACATTATTTGAAAAATGTAAGGTGTTATCACAGTATTGTCGTGCTATATCGAAATAATCTATGTTAAATGCAGTATTTATGTTTATATACTAGCATCGCGGATTGATATCTCTATTATTTGTGGATGATTATAAAATAGAAATGTAATGAAACAATACCGAATTTGAATCACTCTTGTTCAAACCACCATGACAATAAACACGTCTAATATTTGATATCATTTATTAAATGAATGCTTTAACTCTATAATGAATGGTGCGTGCGACGACGCGTGATTTGTAACGTGAATGCACTGCGAGATTATGCGAAAGTGTACGTCTTTACAAGACGCGCGGCGGGCCTACATACATAGAAACCGCGCTACGTTACTTGTTTGATTATTCTATGTCGGTGTTTGTGTGAAGACTAAGAAAACTAAAGAAGAGGCAATCGTTCTTGCATTTAGATTAACCTTACTGTGTCTCCCATCTAGATTAACCGTACAGTAATCGTAAATATTTTTTTATAATTATATTTTGTTCCAGGTATTGTAACGATTTGGAAGAAGCATTTTCTGTATCAAACCTTATAAATATTGTACTGAGTTCAGTCAACATCTGCTGCGTTGTTTTTGTTATAGTGGTTAGTATATACTGCGAATTCGAATTGTGCAATACGCTTAATAGTGCGGCTTTATAAAGCAATTAACTCAATTATTTACAGCTACTAGAGCCCTTGTTGGCTATAAGCAACAAGCTATTTTTGGCATCGGCCCTCATTCAAATAGGACTCATATGCCTGTATGGAGACTCCATTTTACATGCCGTAAGTGTTTTTTAATTGATTGATCAGTCAAATAGTGTTGTATAAGTCACTTTTATTATTAAACTGTACCCTCGCTTAATCCTCTATCTCTACTTAGACACGTACTGGGTCAAAAGCTCGTCAAACTGTTAAAGGCCAAATTGCCTACCATGATGTGCTTTTGATTGTACCTACTATTTAGTTCATAAATGTAAATAAATAAAGCAACTATATATTTTTAATATATTTTTTACTATTCTAAATCAAAATTCATAAAATATTTTTTTTGTCACAGTTTATTTTCTCCGCAAGTACTTGCGTACTTGCCATAAAAAGTCGAAGTTTGTAACAAAGATTTTTTTATGTATATCAAGTGATAGGACGAACAATTAGTGCGCCTGATGGTAAACTACACGCCAAACCACGCCATAACATTTGCAGTGTCGCTCTGCTCTATAAATCGCAAAAATCTGAGGGGCACTACCATTGCGCCCGTCATCCTGAGACCTAAGTTGACAAGTAAGAATAAGAATGTAATATTAAGACGTAATTAAGGAGAACGTGCAGCACCCGGACAAACCAATGTAGGTTTAAGGGTGTGATGTATATATATTTTTGTAATATTCTTAGTGTTTAAAATAAATAAATAAAAATAAAAAAAAAGTCCCATGTGCCCAAAAGGTAGAAATTTATGAGCTTAACAGTAATGTGTTCTTTAAGTTTTATATATATTAATTGAGGTGCACGACAGGAGCCTCCCCGCATCATACCTTTTCTGTGCGTCCCAACTACGGCCCAAGTCCTCCAGGGCCAGTTCCCATCAGTGAGACTGTATAGGCTAATTATTATAATAACAATAATAATTATTAAAGGAATTACATATACATATATTACCACATAAATATTATATACGTAAATATAATCATTTAAAAACGGAATATGTAATGAACAAAGAAATACAACCAACGATAAAGAGGGAAGATAATCTTACAACCACAATGTCTGCAATCTGTGATTTTCTTGTGTTCCACCCATTCGTCTTCAGAAAGTTTCCAAGATACTTCTACGACCGACTCGACACGTTGCTGATTATCTTACCTCAGTCTTTCTTGATCCAACCGTTAATGTATTAATAAACAATATTATACTTTCAATTTTTATATCTAGAGCAGTCATTTACGCAAATATTATAAGAGAAACTAAGAAATTCCTAACACGTTGATACATAAATCCTTCACTGAATACGGCGATGATTTCAGGAATTTCCAGTTCCTATAATTATTTAATCTTAATCGGATCGCGATGTTCCAGAATGCGGATATTGCATCATCGGCGTATAAAAGCGGATGGTACCAGACCGACCCGAGATGCCGACGAGCGCTACTGTTCCTCATTATCAGGTTTAATACTTTCGTGCAGTTATATAAGCATGTAATTACACCAAACGTAAAATTGCTGTCAACAGCGCTCATTTATTATCAGCACTAGGACAATAATGATTGTCATACCTCACTCTAGCTAACTCCAAAATACCTAAGTAAGTATTTCAAAATCGTAAAATGTAGAGGGTGAACTTGCTGTCAATGTAATGAAACCTAAATATGCCACATGAGTACTTTACTCATGTGCTAATACTGTCGTAACTCAAAATGGCGAAATTGAAAAAACACGATGTAAAAGTTTAAAAAAATTAAAGAATGAAACAAAAAGTTATATTCTCGTTTAGAACTATTGGATAACTAAATATTATGCATAAATAAAAATAATCGTATTATTTGCAGTAAGACCCATTCAGGGTCGTTTTCAGATAACCTCCAAAAATGTGTCCCTTTCAATAACTTTTATGTTATTACATCAATGCTAAGCATTGTTTATTTAATATGATTGCTTGCTTACTTTGTCTGTGTTACACATAAAAAGACTACTTTACTACGTCACAGTAATAAATAAAAATTAAAAAAGTGGGCAATTTTTCATTCATGGGAGCAGGTTCCACGTCGCCGTAATTTTAAGAAAAGAAGAAAAAAAACTGGACGCTCGTGGAAATTGCAATATTTCTCTTCGAGGATAACCTCTAGTAACTGTCACGTCGAATACATACCGTAACTTTCCAAATTATTAGAAACAAACATGTTTTCTTGGGAATACAAAATGTGTTTCAATTTTTCTTATCATTAGTGTCACTTCAACTAAAAGCCTCCTAATAACAAAAGTTCATACCGCATCACCTTCTTCCGCTTCATCCGTTTTTTGTTGTATTTAACTTAAATATTTCTGTGATTTTATAATTACTGACATTGCTTGAACTTATTTGTACGTTTAAAACCTTAAAACCAAAAGAAAAAAGGGTTTTACAAAAATCACTCAAAAAGTGCCATTGAAATTCGGAAAGTGACATTCACCCTTCAGTCATTTTTGAACTTTCGAATCCCGTTTTATCAATTCCATAATTTTTGAGTTAATACAGTACTTGGTTTCATGTGCAAATGTGTTTTTTTATCATTTCAGAGCCCAGAAACCAATAGCGTTCACAGCTATGAAATTTACTACAATTTCTCTTATTACATACTCTTCGGTACGTACAATATATATTATTTTCTATCATGATACCCATGTGAACATGTAACTATTAGATTTTTTTTTAAATACGGTTTGGTACACCATGTAACACGGCTTTTGTTTCTGGGTTATCGATGTCATTTTCTATTGTTGCACTTATGAAATAAAAACATGAAATTTCTCATAAGTTGCGCTACGGCAATAGCTGTTTAAACCCTGTATCGAGATCCGCAACAGGCACTTAGAAAAGTTCGTAAGATTCGCAGTCTTATTTCGTAGCTTAGTTGCCAGAGACGCCGCAACGTTGAGGCAACAGACGCTAGATCGAGTCCAGTCGGATCGAAGGTATATTTATTTGTGTTTGTTCTATCTTTGTACCAATCATAATAACGTTAACTTTTTTCATTTGGGCAGCAAAGTGCAAAGTCGTGAGAGTAGATAAAGTTCCCATAAGAAGAAAAAAACTATTAATTAAATTGTATAGATCAGCCTTTCTAAATATACAGTAGATATCTGTACTTTTCTTTTTCAGATATTGACAAGGTCGTACTCCTACTTCGCTCTTCTCTACACAATGTACAGAGATCATTAGAATGTGTTTAGTAAGCACTTAGCAATAATGAATATAGCTGTTTGTCTCTACAGTGAAAAATGTACCCTCTACTCAACCATATATAAATGATTTTCATTTTCAATGCAGTTTTCCTAGGCTTCTGTTGCATATAACATAGACAATTTCGGCCATTCTCAAAATAGTTCTCAAATTTTTGCATGTGTGGGCCTTTCATGTCTCTGCAAAACATTAAACAGAACCACAAATATATTTTTTATGTAGTTTGTACTTTTATCTAAAGGTATTTTTAAGGCTTTAGCTCTGCTACTTAATTATCATACGTATTTTATTTTTCAAACACTTGTTCTCCAATTATTGTAGCATGTCCGGACGCTACCTTTGTGTGAAAATTTACTTCTCATTTTAGTCCGGCATGGATTACGCCAGTACCATTCCAAATCCTGGATGGCGAAATACTGCTTGTGTAATCACATAAAAATTTTACCCACAACGGCCATTATTTTAAAATCTACCAACAAATATCCAAATAGCCGGTCCGAAGTTATAATTACCATCGCCATATCTTTTCAAAGTGCGCATCCCTGAATCACGAAATATTTGAAAGTCAGTATTGCCTGAATCGCGAGCTATCTGCCGTGGCTTGGCACTCGAATAGTGCGAATGTACCAGTGTATTCGCTTGCAATTTACATACCCAAGTATCTAATTACCGTAACTTTGGTTTCGAAATTTTCTAATCCCCATTCCCCTATACATTTTTCAAGGAAATGTGTTGTCACTTATTGAAGTAAAAGAGCTAAGAGGCCTTTATGTATTACGATATTCGAGTATTTCCCATCACTTCCAGTTTTTGAAATTTTTAACAAAAGGGTCCGTGTTGTAAGTACCATAGTATAAATTACCGTAAGTTTTCTAATTACCGTAGTATAAAAATATTTAAGAATTTTAAATATTACATACTATTTCGTGGCAGTATAAAGCATATCCAAACATCTTATGATACAAACGAGACTTCTAGATAATTAGACCTTATAATAAAACCAACTAACAACATTTTTGGGAAAACAACAAAAAATAAGGAGGAAATATTAGAAAAAAAAGAGACTTGCGGCACGTCTGCTGTGATAACGTTTAAAAAATAACCCAATTTTATATCAGCGATCGAAAGAGAAGGAAAAGAGAGAGATATGAGTAAAGAAATGTAGTTTCTATCAGTTTAGGAAATTATAGCTAAAAATCATAAAAAGAAATCGAAAGCAAAACAATCAATTTGAAAGCATGGTATTATAAAAGCTACAAGAAAAAATATCAACAACTGAATTGAATGAACAATTAAATGGCACAATACAAGAGATTCCCTGAAATGTCATCGCCAATAAGTTCGCATTACTCTGCGTATAGTAAACTAATCGCGGTTCTAGCGTGCTCTAAAAAAATTACAAAAAATATTCTTAGAAGATACCTAAAGAAGATGTCTAAATATATTACATCTCCGAAGCTATTCACTAGGTAACGCACTAGAACACAAAGATGTCTTCAAAACACTCCATTGGAATGATTTAGGTACAAACGTGAACGGGCAATATCTCCATCACCTAATATTTGCGGATGACGTCGTCCTACTCGCAGAATCATCAGGGAACCTCGAGAGAATGCTCAATGACCTCAGCCGAGCACCTTCAGAAGTTGGCCTTAAGCTGAACTCTGATAAAACGAAATGGATGAATGTCAGCGCATGAGAGGACAATCGTGAGAAACAGGCTGATCGAGAAAGAAGAGGGTTACGTCTACCTCGGTCATAAAATCAAACTCGATGGGTAATCATTGGACGAAGAAATAGACAGACTTACTTATACAACTCGCTTGGCAACCTTCGGCAAATTAGACCACGTGTGCCCGGCAAAAATCCCACAATGTCTCAAAACCAGAGTATACAACCATTACGCCTTACCAGTTAAGACCTACGCTTGCGAGACATGGACTCTGACTGCCGGGTTGATTCATCGCTTCAACGTCACCCAGGGAGCTATGGAACCAATTATGATTAGAGTCTCTCTACGCGATAAGATATGGAATGACGCACCAAAGTCATTGACGTGGGCGTACGAAACTAACAGAAATGGCAATGGGCTGGAGCCGGCGAGTTTTGTTCAGGAAACCTCGTTTAGGAAGACGAAATGTGAGCAGACCTCTAACGAAATGGTTGGACGACATCAAAAAGACGGCAGGACCGTCCTGGAATAGATCGCCGCAAACCGAGGACATTGGAAATCATACTAAAAGCCCTATGTCCAACAATGGAATCAATAATATGCTGAGAAGATGAAGAAATATTATATTATGCTACATTTGGTTTACGAGTATTTCTGCCGATACAAGTGCCATTCCAGATTTTTTAATGAATTTAGAGTTAATTTTTGTAATTGTGTAATTAATACAAGAAAGAGTAGAAAATCGAAAGTAAACTTAATTATAAGTTGTATTGTTTACTTAATTATTTGTAATTTGTTATTTTTAATTTTAATTTTTATATTTTCCTAAAAGTGTTCGAACTTTCTAATTACCGCAGTCATGTAAAATAACAATTTCTAATTTGCCATGCCATAAAATATTTGTGTCTTAATAACTCGAAAACTACTAAGTTTATTCTAAATCCATTTAGATATATTAATAGTTTATCTTAAGATTGTTCATATTTTAATGTTATTGGGTCTAATAAGTGACAAAAAAATTACTACAGTAATTATGCTGAGAACTCCGAATTGTGAGAATGGCCGATTTGTGTTACCATTTCGAATATTCAACCTTTTTTGACCACTCTAGTCAAATGTAAAAATTTTGCAAAATGTAAAGAAAAACACAAGTATGTAATATGTAACAATATAAATTATTAAAATCTTCAGCATGTTTTATTTAGTAATAGTGTTGAAGATATAATTTAGTACCTGTCTTTATAAACAAAAAAAAGGTAAATTATATTGTTTTTGGTTCGCTTCTAAATGGGTATCTGTGGTTGGAAAAAATAAAGGAAACCGGGGCATTTGTTTTTTATTTTGTCTGATTTTGTGAAGATTCGCTCTGGACCTTTTGCTGGACCTTTTGGAGGGAAAAGTGTCGTTTTTATTTTGACTTTCAATTATTTTGTGAAATCTAGTTTAAAGTGGAATAGGATAGTGCTATTGTGCCTTAATCGAAGATTAAAACGTGAAATTATACGAATCTCGAACTAAAATACCCGTATCGGCCTGTTTTAAGGTATCCTAAATCAATCCAAACACGCCGCCTCAAATTGCCTATCCTCTTTGTGGCGGCCATATTTACAGAAACATAAACTTCATGTTTAGGCTGATGGCTTTGCCAAAGCCTTAATAAATTTAAAAAAAATCTGATTTTGACCGAATGAGAAATATATTTAATTATACTCATTGACTTACAAATAAAAAGTCAATGATTATACTAGCATAAATTTCACATTGACTGTCTTAATCATTTTTCCTTTGCCTTTTACTCTTGACAGTTTCCTAACCTTCTATTGACATTGGCATAAAAATTACAGCTTCTAAAAAAAGTGATTTATGACTTGTAACTGTCAAATTTTGGTAATATGCACGTTGATTCTGTACTTAGGGCAGCTCCTTTCTTTTATTTTTTTCCATCCTCTAAGTTTATGACTGACAAAAAATAAATAAACAACAATTACATTAATTGTTCCTATATAAATACAAATAATATCATAGTTATTTTTACTTGACATTGGCAAAATCATTGATTATTTCGATGGAGCCATAACATTTAAAAGAAGAAGAAGAAGAAACCACAGAGGAACTTGTACAAGATTAGAACTGCCCAAACTCTTAAACTCAAGCTGCGAGGAATAAAAAGTAGACAAGCACAAGGTTTTTCGAAACTCATAAGCAAATCGCACTTAATATAATAGGCTCAAGCAAATCTAACAACTTGGTTCATAACTCTTTAAGCAGCTAAAGCAACGACACCGACCCGTCATGTTCCAAGAGACGTTCCAATGAATTTATGAAAGCAAAGACTAAAGTACAGATGCCTCATGCAACATCGCATCGAATTTCAGAAGTAAGACTTGCCTTGTATCTAACCAACACTTGTTCTTTTCTTACTGAAATTACAATTTTGTGATGTAATTTGGACCCAGATAATATTAATCCTATGATCACGTAAACGCCTTGTCTATATTTTAGTAAAAACATGGCATTCAAATTTGCGCTATTTGTATATGACCATAAATGGAAAAATACATTTTTCATACATAACTGAGGGCATACTAGCTTGGGCCTGAATCATTTAATTATACATATTTAGTACATTTTAACGAACGTTGGGCGTTTAGGGCTTTTCTCATTGCAGTTTGTTGTATCTTAGATTTTAACATTTCTATTATTTTCGCATCATGATTATAACAATTAATAATTCCATAAAAAATCCAATTTTAATTCACTAAATATAAGTACATATTTATCCAAATCACGGCTGGTATATACCTCCTAATATAGTATTCCTATCCCGAACACCCTCACCCTCGTCGTGCGTTTTCCAACGGACTGGCATTAAAGTTAGCGCTTTCTTTTGTTACCGCACAGAGTTATCGCCGTTTAGAGCGATTTATTTAAATATTATTATTTTTGTACAAAAGTAACATCTGGTGAATTATTAAAAGTCTGGAGCAAAAGTGTTGATATTAAAATCCTGCGAGGTTGATAGTATTTTACAAATAACCCCGTATATTATGTTAGTAGTGACTACACTGTCGTCTGTAGTCAGATTTTTGTCAAGAAAATTATAAAAAATTATTGCATTTTGTACTCCGAGCACCAAGTATTTAGTAACTAAACGAAAAACTATTCGTAATGAAATCAAGTAACTTGGAGTAAAAGATTAGTAAGTAACAGTAGAGCTCCACGTGAAAGAATTCGTTCAGTGAAGTATTGTCACCTTACCTATTTCTACCGCCAAGCGGTAATGTGTGCATTACTGCGTTCCTGTTTTGAAAGGTTAGAGCGCATTTATTAGACACGAATTTCCAAACGCGCTCACGCCGCGCGGAGTCCGCGTTGCCGTCATGCAGCGACCGCGTACGCAATACGCTTAAAAGCTAAATACATAGAACCTATTTTGCCATGACGGTTACACGCACGCGGTCGCTGCGCGGCGGCAATGCGGACTCCGCTCGTGAGCGCGATGAAATTCGTGTCGAATGAATGCGCCTTAAGAGTGCTGGTAAAATTACAGGCACATGGGACTTGTCAATTTATCTCTCAGGGTGGCGAGCGCAGTAGCAGTGTCTCTCAAATCTTTTCGATTTAAAGATCTGAGTGGCACTGAAACTGTAAATAAATTAATAACAGGCGTGATGCTTACCACCAGGTGGACGATTTGTTCGTTTTGCGTCATTTGGTATTATAAAAACAACTTATTGAAAATGTCAAATTCATTCATGTTGCGCATATTGCCAAAGTGCCGAGATGTACAAAAAATAAAAGATAAGGAACAACGGCTGCCTATCAATGCGTTATTATGAATCAATAGTACATTACTGCAGAGGCTGGGAAGTAAGGGATTGCTGGACAGATATGAGTTACAGTACGTTGTATTAATACGAGTCAAGCAATCCCCGTTCCGGCGAGACTTGTATAGTGCTCTCTCAAACAATCTGAACAAACAATAAAAGATCAAAGAGAGGAAGATGTATAATAAAAAAGTAAAAAAAAACATTAAAAGTAATACTTGACAAAGGACAATTTGCTAAAAGAAAATGTTGTTGTTTTTCCAGGTATATTAATATTAGTGTGCTGAACTTTTGATGACGTGATTCACGTGGTTCCCCGGTGCATTAAAGTTTCATAAGTTTTCAAGTATCTTACTTTGGTCATAGCTCACCAGCAACAAGTTTGACGTGGCTAATTACCTATTTAAATTAGGCAAAGCATAAATAATTACAGTATTTCCGTTATCACTCTTCTCACTAGAACTCATTTTTCGATGAAAATACGGAAAAGACGAACAAGTAGAAATGTATAATAGTTACACTTTAGTTTATTTTACCAGATTTACCACCATTTTCTTTCTTTTTTAAAGTAAGCAGTAAAGGTAGGTGTTTTTAATTCTCTTAATTACGAACACTGGACAGTTGGCAGTATAATTTTTTCTTTTACATGTTTACATAGTTAATTAATAATCTTATTAGAGAAGGGGACAATAATGGATTTTCATACTTACTTTGCAGGCCTTGGCCGGAAGAAATCGCACGGTCCATAAATGATAAACTTTCCGTGTTCGTTTTTTAAAAGTAATGCAACACACATTTTCGAGCATGTTTGAGAAAATTTTATTTTTCAGTCGGACGAAATTAGCTCCAAGCTCAAGCTGAATACGATACATCTACCCAGGTTACAAACTTCTGAAACACAATTCCTGAATCTAGTATCTCAAGGATATGTCGAAGCTGTTGCGAATTACTTAAAGGACTATACTGGTTTAAATGTTAACTGCGCTAACTATCAGGTCAAACTATTCTACTATTAGTCATAGATAAAAGTTAAATTATCATAATCTTAGGTTTTTTTTGTAAATAGCCCCGCTCTAGAGTATTTCTGTATCACGGGTGCCGTGGACACACACATAGACATGAAACCCGGGGCCTCTGCGTAGTGGTCCAGCATGGTAACCGTTTGACCACAGAGGCTGCTTACCAAAAGTTGACGACCTCGGTGACCCAACGGCTTATACTGCGGGTGTTGGATGAGAAAGTTCCGAGTTCGATTCTCGGTAGGACCAAATAGGTAAATGAAGCTTTCTAAATTGGTTCTGGTGTGGGTGTTCTTTGAAGTGAATTCTGTTACAGGGAATTCTCTAGTTTGAGACCAAGCCATTGGTGTAGTTGTATGGCGCATAACTAGCTAGAAAGTAACTAACTGCCTCCGTGGCCGAACGGTTACCATGTTGGTCTGACACGCAGAGGTCCCGGGTTTGATTCCCGAGCCGGGAGAAATATTTATATGGCCTACTTGTCTCGTGAGTTTGGATGTGATTTGTGGTTGTCTATGTGTATGTCCATGGTACCCGCGATACAGGATTTCCCTAGTGCGAAACAAAAAAATGTGCGTAATTTAACTTGAAATTTACCATGAGCGTTTCGGTGAAGGAACACATCGTGATGAAACCTGCACACATCTGCAAAGCAATGTGTATGAAGTCTCAATCCGCAGTGCGCCTGGGAAATACAGCGCAAGCCCTCTCATTATGAGAGGAGGTCTGTGCCCCGCAGTGGGACTATAAATAGGTTAACTATGTAACTATATGTATAGCTATGAATAAGGGATAAATTAAACAGCTAGCGTTCGGTTTTATTCCTTCAATTTTACAAGATAATAATTCTATTGTTACAAATATCATAAAAACACACACACTCGCAACTTTTCCTGAGGCAATACCTCTAGTAAATTGCATCTAAAACTATTTAATGCTCAGTTTTCTAACTGTATTCGTTGTACATTAATTAAAGTACACTCCGAGGCTTTGCGATAAACATTCACTGTTCCACATAATGTAGGGCACTACGGCACTTCACTTAGCTGTGCAAAACCGATCCGAAGCGATGGTGGAATTTCTCCTGCGGCAACCAAATATAGAGATTGGTGACACTGTACTACACGCCGTCCGAAATGGCAACGCTACAATATTGGGTAAAACGAACCTTTCACTCATTTAAAACATTTCGTCGTCTCTCTCAATATGTACGAATTTCGCGAATGTGACACCCCGCTAAAAAACTTGGCAAACACGACTTAGTGTCAGCGACAAAAAACAAATTTTACAGGGAAAGTTTATTTCTACATTATAGGTGTGATACTAAATTAAATTTTAATACGTGATAATTAATTTTGTTGCAAATAGAATTTTTTTAACGGTTGTTATCCTTTTGTGGCGCTTACAATATTTTTGCTATTTCTATCTACAGATTTTTAAGGCACTTGCGATTATAAATATACAACACGTTTTATGCCACTTTGTCTATATTAAACGACGAAATGTGACGTTACTGTCTGTTGCGATAAGTGAGGTCGCTTATGTTATATTTTCTACTAATTATTCTGTCGGTTGACCTAAATAAAAAAAAGTTGAGCTAACGATATACTTAGCTTTTGCTATAATTTTTATTTGGTGTAAATTTGGCGAGAAATGTCGACGCGGCGTTGTCCGTTATAATGGACAACGACGGAAATAATATTTTAAACTATATATAAATATCGAGTTCTTAGGTTTTCGCGATTGTTACACATATGAAATGAAACTATTTTTCCGGATTTAAATCGCGTATATTTGTTTTTTCAAACAAACCGACGTTTCGGGCCCTTTACAGGTCCCATGGTCACGGTTGACTGAGGTGGTACAGTCTTCTACCAGTTATGTCTAATATTAATGCAAACCACCCTATTTTTTCACTATAGTTACAATAGTTATTAATTAAATACCTAATTTTAATTTTACAAAGAAAACATTCCAATTTACGCTACATTAAGTTTTACAAATTATTTTATTGTAGTTTCCGTTTAATATTTGTAACATCAATTTCTTTTAATTACTTTTAATTAATTATGTAACGAATAAATCTTTAACCTCTAGTGGATAGTACGAGTAGAAAAAAATGTAATAATATTGTATAAAGATAGTAAACATGTTTGAGGATTTTGTTTCACGGTATTTTAAATTGTTTTGCTTACAAAATGACTATATTAAATGGCGCCGGGTAAAAGACTCCAAATTTCCTTCATTCATTCCTTCATATCAGTAAAATATAATTAGATATTTTCTTCTTCCTGTCTAAAATAGAAAATAGATAAATTTCGCGTTATTAACAGTTGTTAATGTTAACAGTTGTTTCACCAGTATGTATGTAGTTACATACTGGTGAAATGACAGCCACGTGAGACTTGTCAACTTATGTCTCAGGGTGACGGGCGCAGTGACAGTGCCCCTCGATTCTTTGCGAAGCTCTGAGTGGCACTGCAACCGTTATGGACAGGCGTGTAGCTTACCATCAGGCGCACGACTTGTCCGTCGCGTCACTTGATATTATAAAAAAAGAAACATTACATATTGTTCGAGTTCTTAGGTTTTTTGGTTTTTGTTACACATAGGAAATGAAACTATTTTTCCGGATTTAAATCGCGTATATCTGTTTTTTCAAACAAACCGACGTTTCGGGCCCTTTACATGTCCCGTGATCACTTGACTGAGGTGGTACAGTCATCAATCAGTTATGTCTAATATTAATGCAAACCACCCTATTTTTTCACTATAGTTACAAAAGTTATCAATTAAATATCTTATTTTTAATTTTACAAAAACAACATTCCAATTTACGCTACATTACGTTTTACAAATTATTTTATTGAATTAATTTTTATTAAGTTCAATTTATTATTAATTAATAATAGAAATTAGAATAAATTAAAACATTAATTAGTACTGCAATCTTATGTTTGGGATATTTCATCAGAGGAAATAAATATATATAATAATAAGAATAGTTTCATTTCCTATTACATGTTGTTATTCCTTCCTCAACCTACATAAATTACCTAATTTTAGTAGAATTTTTTTAAGGTACATAACCATAAAGACCTAATTAAAATTAAATCAGTACAAGTAAGTATTGCAACGATGTTTTCTTCCGTCAGAAATGCTGCTAGATGCCCAAAAGAAAATATCTCCAGGATTAGAATATGCGGGTGCACCACACTCGATGGATTTTCCCAGTCACATTACGCCGATAATGCTGGCGGCTCATTTGGAGAATTATGAGACGGTCGCATTTCTGATCGCAAGAGGACACACGATTGTAAAGCCTCACCATCCTTGGTGTCAGTGTATTAAATGCAAGTAAGTACGAAAATACTATTGGTTTCTCTCGCTGTGAATATACTTAATGGAACTAATTATGGACAAATTCAAATACAGGTCTTGCTTATCTAATACGTGATCGCGACGCCTCAAACCACTCCTAAATATAGGGAGTACAATAAACAACTTAGATATATTCTTATCATCAAGATTTAATCATAGATATTTACAAACATACGACGTTAAAGGCTACATAGGGCGCACTATAAGTTTCCGGAACTGGTTACTTACATAAACAATATTTAAAAAGTAATTACAACATTTAAAAATGGAACTCTTTTGACTGTAGAATACAGTTTATTTTATCTGACTGTCACTTGTTTTTACATTGTGTCGTCATTTTAGAAATTGGTTGTCTACATCACCATGGACTTAACTCGTGAAAATTTTCGTAGTATAATTTTCTACGACTTTAAGTGTAATTTAATAGCTCAGCGGAGCTTTCCTCGGTTTCAAACTGTCTTGGCGATGAAGTATCATGTAAACGTGGTCGTGTGAACGTCAATGACGAATTTTGTGATGGTCGCCCGTCCACGACCGTGAACAACAAAAACATCGATGCTGTGCGCCATATGATCAAAACAGACAGGCATGTGACATACCATGAGATTCGGGCGCCTTTAGGCATAGGTATGAGTCAAATACAATCAATACTACTCAAACATTTGTGTGTGAAAAAGCTGTCCTCTCGGTGGATCCCACACAATTTGACTGAGCCTCAAGAAACAGATCGCGTCACTTGGTGCAATGCCATGCTTACCAGATTCAACGAAGGGGCGTCAAATTTAGTGTGGGACATAGTAACAGGTGACGAAACATGGATTTATAGTTATGATCCTAAAACAAAGCAGCAATCGAGCGTATGGATCTTTCGAGATGAGCCGAAACCAACAAATTGACGCGCGTGCAAAGTGCCTCTAAGCGGAATATTGCTTCTTTTTTTAATAAAACTAGACACGTGGCTACTATTGCTTTGAAGAATCATTGTACCATGAATAGTGATTGGTACACGACCATTTGTTTGCCGGAAGTTATTGACAAACTCCGTAAAAATAATCGTAAATGCCGTCTCATCTTGCACCACGATAATGCCTGTTCTCACACGGCCAGACAGAGTATTAGGTAAGAATAAGTAAGAATTTTAAGGTCCGTATTTAACATAAAAACTTAAGAAAACTCGAAATAGCCGGTAAATGCCAGACACGTATAAAAAATCGTGCATGCCTTAGTGGAAAGCACCGGAGCGGCGCCACTCCAGGATCGCAACCCTTATACCCCTCCCCGCTTCTTCTTGTTGATTGCAAGTCCGGAGCTACGCCAGACAAGACCGTATGATATACCGTGGATATTTCTATGTAGGACGCCGCAGCGACGTCGCTTAGGTACCGCGCCACCGCAACGCATCGTGTGACTCGGGTCAAACCTATAGCTAGTGTAATATTTTAGTAAATAACTTCGAAAGTCTTAAATTTATTATATTGTTGTAGCGTGTCCCAAATTCATGACGATCCACTCTACACAAACAGCGCCCGTCTTGCCGCATACCGCGCTATTTGCTCCCCTGCCTATCTGATCCAGAAGTCTTCAGATCCTATTCTCGCCGCCTTCACTCTTTGCGCGGAACTAATGGTCAATGCTGAGTATGACAGACACTTGGCAGTGTCGTATATGCAATTACGGGACACTGTTTCGACCTTTGCCGTTGATCTTATTGGTGAGTTAGTTTACTAATCAAATACACTACGCTTAATCTATAATTCAATGCAAAGAAAGTAATTATGGGTTAACAACGTAAGAAATTGCGGTTCTAAATTTCTGGCAACTTTAAAATTAAATAAGGCCTTTTCAAATAAAGCGTTATGCTGCTAAATTTTTAAGGTATTGGCGCTACTAATTTGTAAAGTCGATTTTAAGTCCTTCTTCTTCTTTTAAATGTTATGGCCCCATAATCGACGATTTCGCCAATGTCAAGGAAAAATACTATGTACGGTAGTTTTGTAAAAATAATACAAAAGTTATAGCGGACGACGTCATTAGCAAGGCCGCTACCTCCCACAAACTCGGTTTTTAAGTCCGGGAAAGCGTTTCATTTCCAATGTGCAAATAACAGCGAAAACCAAAAATTAGCTATTAATTTGCTTTTGTTTTGGTTATTTTTGTTATCTTTTGAAATCAAAATGGATACCTACAGCTAAAATTCGTGCATTTATTTAAAACCAGTTTCGACGTGCCTACATTAGTATCTACTGCGCAAATGACTCGAAACCTTAGTGACGGGTATGGAACAGATACAACTAACAAACGCACTGCGTGCATTTGCGATTCCGCAATAGAACTTTAAATGCAAAATCGGTAAAAAAATTCCAGCCTCTGCACCACACGATCGCTTCCACCTACAACAAACAACGCCCTTGTATACTTGCACTGTTTTAGCAAATTAGATGTCATTGGTTGCGATGAAAAATGGATTCTATAAGATAATCGCAAACAGTTAACACAGCGGTTGAAATCTGGCGACAAGCTCAGTACTCAAAAAAAGAAACTTACCCACAGAAAATTGTTGGTAAATTCAGTATAGTTTTCTTAGATCTGGCTCAGCCATTGTGAAAAACTGTGGACGAGGTTAGTAAAATCGTAGAGAAACAACCACTACTTGTCAAGGATCTTCACCGCTACATCTACACAATAAGACTAGCTTTAGTAAGCGCTCGCATACTGTCAGACAAAACATCTCTACCTTACATGAGTTACTGACTGAAGCATTTGGACACTCTCCATACTCACCTGGCTTGGCACCGACCGACTTCCATTTTTTCCGCAATTTTGATAATTATCTACAAGGAAGCAATCAAAATTACTTTCAAGACTTGTCCCGTTACGCACTATTCTAACGCAAAGAACACGCTTCCATGAGATGAAGTGTATTTAATGTGCACATTTTAAATTAATTAAATATTATTTTTTTAGACTCTTGTTCGAATTCTCCTTCATAGAACGGCAATTTACCCTAAAAACCCTATTTATAATGTTAAGAAGTCAATATTAGTAAGTAGTTATACTTATTAGTATTATTATTTAGACCCTTCGAAGCAGACAACGTAATATCTTTATCACTGTATTTGAATGATAAACATTGATTTTTGTAAAGGCTTGATGACTTCATTTTAGGGTTCAATATTATTTCCTTATTTTTTAGCAATTTTTGTCATTCTTAATCACTTATTATGTAACGAGCGATAAATTGGTCGTTTGGAACATTATTGTCCCCGTCACGCTTAATTTTTTCTAACGTATATGTATCCTATGACACTCTCGATTTTCTTGCTAATCCAATAGTCGACACGTTATTTATTGTCAGTTAAAGCGTTTCGCCTAAAAGATGTAACATTTATACAAACTTACGTGGCCGAGAGTTACCTCCTGTTAGTTTCGCCGTGTTAAGATTAAAAAAAATCAACACTTTTCCTTGACCCTGTTTTAGACATTATTACTACTTCATTTTTTAACGTAAACATATAACGATACTAACCTCGCTACAAAGAAAAGGTACTTGCGTACGTTGCGAAACCATATTCAAAATTGACAAAGGTAAGACGAGCCATGGAACAAAAATACACAACCAAAAATTACTATCACCTTTATTTTAGGCTGTTGTAGAACTTCTGAAGAAGTAGAATTGATACTGACACAGACTACAGGAACTCGCGGGCGACGGCAATTTGTGTTACCGCGATTGCTCATGGCAGTCGATCACAAGCAGAAAGAATTTGTTGCTCATCCTAACACCCAACAGGTATAGAAATCATATATATATATATTGGAATATATGGAAAATATTTTATTTTAACAATACAAATTTTTACTAAATAAAATTTATTAATTGAAACAAAATTGGGAACAAAATTAAAACATACCTAATATAAGGTCGGTATTTTTGAAAAGAAGAAATACCTAGTTTTATTTTCAATTTATAACATTAAATTACATCATAATAAAAAATAGTTTGCCTACATATAGTCCCACTTCCCACTGCTAGGCATAGGCCGCCTTCCACAATGAGAAGGTTTGGACTGTAATTCCCACACGGACCCTATGCGGATTGGAAACTTAACACACATAATTGCTTTGCCGATGTGTGTTAAGTAAAAAAGTAATCACGATGTTTTCCTTCATAGAAATGCTCTTAGAAAATTCAATGTAATTTCGCACATAAATTCCGAACTCATAAATATTTGCAGATAAATCAAAATATTGCAAATCAACTTTAATTTTTTTATTTAATAACCTGATTTACACTATTTCATTGTCTAGGTTCTGCATCCCAAATCTGGGCACTAACATCTTCTGTTCGTGCCACATAAAAGTATTGTGTTACTTAATAAAAATCCTAGTTTTCACTATTCACATTCACGTATAAACAAACCCGTTTCCAGGTTTTGGAATCGCATTGGATGGGAGATTGGTATAGTTGGAGAAATAAGTGTTTCCTAGAAAAAGTTGGCATCATCATAGGACGAATGTTCATCACTCCCCTAATTCTCCTAATGTGTATGGTAATAATGATATGACAGCCGTTATTAGTCAACTACGAAACAAGAGAGATGTTATAAGTTTAACATCGTTGTATGTTTGTAAGCTTTCGAATTGTTGCCATTATTCGAGATGGTTCTTGGTTATGTTATTGTTATATATCATAATTATAATTTACTATATTATATATTTGTAACCTAGAGCTCTGTTTCTGAACCACACTTGTCAATGAAGGGATCCAAGTGAAAGAGTTCGTCCAGGGAAGTACTGCCGTCTTACCTATTTCTGCCTCCAAACAGTAATTTGAGCATTGCTGTGACCCTATTCTAAAATAGAGTGTTGGTGTAGGTAATTGCAGACACATGGGGCTTGTCAACTTACGTGTCAAGGTGACGGGCGCATTGGCAGTGCCCCTTAGATCTTTGCAATTTAAAGCTCTGAGTGGCACTGCAACTGTTATGGGTAGGCGTGTCGCTTATCATCAGGCGCACTACTTGTTCGATGGGTCGAGTGGCTTAGTATGACAAAAAGAAATCATCTAGGATTTCTTTTAATTTTTTTATTTCTTTTCTCTTTTAATTTCTAATACGCTTAAAAAGTCGTTGAAAACCAAATACAAAGATCCGACAACAAGCAGAGAGAAAAATTCGTGAGTTTGTTCCGTGTCTTAGTTGGTATAGCGTCGGGCACGATTTGCTAGCCAACGTCAGTTCTAATCCGGCCGGATAGTAGAAATATTTTGTAAATGTTCGATCTTTGTATTCATAATTATAACAAACTAGTTAAGTAATTTCCCAAAAAGTAATTGAATATCAATTCAATAAAAGTTTAATTACAGCTAGTATTTTCTAAATTTATCAGAGTAGGTAAAGTATAGTAGGTAGGAATAACCATAAATCTTTAATTCTTAGCACTCAATAAATTATGGAAATACATATCTAGCGATTCTTGATACACGTAATAATTTAATATTTGAAATTAATTTACGCCTAGTGCTTCAGCCTTGCTATAAATAACGAATCTTAAAGACACTATATAATATAAACTCGTTAAATTACAAGTTTATTTAGTATTTGCATAAGATTATTTGGTGCATTCATAAATAAATGCTTTACATTCAATTAAAATCGTAATTTAGAGCCTGCGGCAGTATTTTATTTTCTATGCAAGCTATAAAAAGGTCGTTCTGAGGAAAGTATTTTTTACTTGTACTCGAATTTTTGCAGTTAAAACTAACTCGATAAAAAAATATCTAGATAAATTACTCATATATTGTTTATAGTATAGTATGGAATCAAAAACGAGGTGCGCCTCATTTGTGTGAATTTCAAATAAACTAATTTAAATTGATTCACAATTGATGCTCATTTGAGCTTGAGCTTGAGCATGAGCTTTAGGTTATAGTACATTATGATATAAGTGCGGTAAGTTGAAAATTACAGCCGAGGCGATATTGCTAGCCCGAGCCGTAGGCGAGGGCTATAAGAAAGCAGAGGCTGTAATTTTCAATAGCGCACGTATGTCATACGACGTTTTATAACATATTTGCGAGGAAATAAATAAGACTCTGACTTTCTTAAACGAATAAATCTTTAATTACTTGTTAAAGCAGTTATAGAAATTTGAACAATTTTTACAAGTGATTGTTACGTTGCCAGTTGGCATTTTTAATGTTGTCAAGTTATTATTATTAGTTACAATCTCCCCAGTCTCTCTCTCACTCTCTTGAGTGAAAGTAGGAGAAACGAGACCACAGAGTTCTGCAGTCGGTGGCGGCGGCGCGCGGCGGAGGCGATTGCGACGATGGTGGAATGTACGCGTGTGTGCTCGTAGATGGTTGAAAGTCAACACTTGACTCCAAATTTATATTCCTTGTAATGCGAGAACTAATTTCTTCTTTATTTCTTATCGAGTCTTCTATGTATCCTTCGGCTACATTGCTTGACCGCCATCCTCCGTGGCGTTTTAGTGTCAATAAGTCCGCACCTGAATCGGCGAGCAATGTAGCCGAGGACCTACGGAAACTGTGCCCTGTGTATTCATGTGCTTGAGGCAAATTTAAGAAAGTGGCAATTTCTTTCAGCATTGCTCCCAATTTATTAATCCCAATGGGTTGGTTAGTGCATTTTCCATTTTGGTAATTTTGAAAAAATCTGTTGGAATTAGCTTTTGTTGAACGAAGCGCTTCGTATTTCTTCACTACGTTGTAAAAAGGCCCCTGTATTGTGAACGACCTTGGAATTTTATTTTTTGTGTTTTTGACCTGGACAAGAAGAACCCGCCCATGGTTCTCGACGTCATTAGTTGTTATGTTTGCCAACTCTTGACGTCTACATGCACCATTTATACCGAATATTAATACAACCTGAAGAGATAAAAAGAACGTATAAACACCTATATTGTAAAGAAATACGAAAGTGAAAGAAATTAATAACAATAATTTAGTTTCAACTGACCTTTGTTGCCAAATATCGCCAATCCGGAGCTTCTTTTAGGAACTTCTTGATATTGTCAGCCGAAAATACTTTCGACTTTTTACTTACATGGCCATCTGAGCGTCTTTTTAAAAATGCTATCAAGTTGGAGTATGACTTATATTTTTGAGAAAGTTCCATGAAATAGGCTAAACACACATTTTCTGAAAATGAATTTGCATCTTTGCTTGTGTTCCATATGATGAAATTTTGATACGCTTGTAAGTATCTATCGGTCGATTTTTCAGGTAAGAGGCTTAGAGTAGCCTTTTCCGCTGCGTTTAAGACTTGTGGCGGTGTCAAATTAATAAATTCATCACTACTTGACGACATTTTCAAATAAAAACAATACAGCGAAAAGAAAAAACGCGCGAAATAATTTTTACTTGTCCACAAATTAGCCATACGCGCGCATCAACTTTTTTTTTAAGCAAAGGTATAAAAATAGCCAGTATTACTAATAAAGTAAATTAATATTTTTGTGTTTTTGTTACAGATAAATGGTTGTAATTTATTGTCAAAATTAATTAAAAGAAAGAATTAAATATTTATTTACTATATTTTATCTCCCAAAGTTAATTTTATTCATAAAATATTGACCACTTTTCTAACATAAAAACTCTTTGCAAAGATTTAAAAAAGTATCGTTCATTTTTAGACGGAGCATCTTAAAAAACCGTGCATGTTACTTTATTAAAAAAAAACTCGTGCGATTTACATTACAATAACGCACTTGTGCGTTTTACATTACAATAACGCACAAGTGCGTAATGAAATACATTACGATATTGAAATTGGTGTGATTTCAGCCACTTTACGAGCAAATATGTTATAAAATATATTTATATGATACATTACACACCCACCAAAAACGATCTGTTGCAATATTATTAAAATATGTAATCCTATCAAACCTCTTCTTAAACGAGATAATCGTATCTTATTTACCTGTGTACCTAAACACAGACAAACAAAATAAAGAAGACACTCACAGGCCGGTTTCTAATTACACATCTCACATCCGCTGTATAAGACACGTAAGAGTAATAAATACATCTGTCGTAGATTAAGATAACACTGTCTACGATAGCTAATGCTTTATTTGCTGAGAACTAGCGGCCTTGGCTTGTGAGGTATCTAAACAGACCGTTTGCAAAAATTTATTGCTAGAATAGCACGCAACAAGCATTAGTAGCGTACCAACGGGCATGTACCACGAAGGTATGCAATTTTATTTAACTGCCTCAGTGGACAAACGGTCACCATGCTAGTCTGCCATGCAGACATCTCAGGTTCGATTCCCAGGCCGGGAGAAATATATGTATGGCCTACATTTCTTTCTCTCGTGAGTTTGGGTGTAATTTGTGGTTGCCTATGTGTGTGTTCATGGCACCCGCGTGTCATAGGGTTTCCATTGCGTTTACTTACATAAATGTAGCCACTACATACTATTGGTCACACCTGCGACTTTCCATAATATAAAGGTTTTTAATTAAATTAAAATTTAAAAACCCGCGATAAAAAACTGTGTATTCTAAAAAGTCAACAAAGTCACCATCTTTAAGCGTGTTGAGATCAATTCAATGACCCCAAACATAAATATTTATACTGCAAGTAGTCGAGGAGTTGGGTAGTCAGCAGACTGCCCTGATTGCAGTACCAAATCAAGGCTACCGTATTATTATAATATAATATAAATATTAGACAACACATACGTTGCTCCGATCCCAAAGTAAGTAACTAAAGCATTTGTGTTATGGAAATCGGAACCAGAGACGTCAGATACCTACCACAAACACCCAAACTCGGGAGAATATAGAAAACTTAGATTTTCTACATTGACCCGGCCGGGGATCGAACCCGGGACCTCAGAGATGGCGACACCATGGAAACCAGTGAGCAAACCACTTATCGAGTATATAACCAGAAATAAAGTCGAAATAAGGGCCATTCATCCCTGGCAACTCATCAGGTAAATGGGTCTTATATCACTTTTAAATATTAATTCTCGTTTGCGCTGAAATCACAAATTAGAAAATTGAAATAGTACAGCGCCAACAACTGACCTGTATGTACGTCTCTGTATATTTCAAAAATATTATGTATTTATTGTAATAAAGATAATAATCTCTAACAATGGGGGCTGTTCCATTCGGTGGTGTGGTAACAGCAAAACATCTAATCATTTCATCGGTAATTAAATATTAAATATGTAATTTTGCAATTTTCGTTCATTACAGCAAAGCTCAAGTTAAACTGGTCAATTTGAAGTGAAACAATTGACGACATACGTCAATTGTTTCGAATTCGAGCTGGCCAATAGGAGCGCAGTTGTCACAGTAATGATTTGGCAGAAGTTTTCAAACAAATTAAATGACATTTCGTCTCTATTTCTGGTTATATACTCGATGAAACCACTCGACCAGAGAGGTCCTCGAAACAAATTATCATAACATAATCTCTATAGTACACCAAATTTCAAGTTGATCGAACAAATTGGAAGTAATAGTTATTTGTTATGTAGGGCTACAAAGTTATTGTTTGGCGTGAGTGCTTGTATTGAATCCTGTGTGTAGCGAGGGTTTCAAGGCACGAGACGCAAAACAACGTTGTTGCCGAGCGAAACACACAACTTTTCACCTCCCTATAGCGAGGAAAATGGTAGATGAAAGAAAAGCAGTTGAACTATGTGATGACTACTACGTGTCGTTTGAAATTCGTGTCGGGTGCACGGGCGCTTACAAATCAGTTTTTCATCACCGCTAGACTCAGAGTCGCTCATGTTTTGTTTCTTTGTAATATATTACAGTACAATTCAATCCAAAGTATTGAAATTACAGTCATTAAAATAAAAATTAAAAAAAAATAAGTTTAGTTTTGGGTGCGTTCTGAATTTACACCACATACGTTTTCTTCTTCTTTGTATTATAATTTTATGTGGTTAACAAAATTATTTTAGTTCTTCGACAAATTAAAATAATCCAATAAAACAAAATTAGTGTTATCGTTGTCAATTTAATGTCAATAACAATAACAAGAATTTATACGAACGGATTAATATTATATAAATACTTAATGTACTTATGACGAATCGCGTTTCGGAACACGTCACAATTTTTTTTAGTCAAAAGAACAACTTTATCTTTAACTTGCGTTCTGAATATGCATCTCATCAATTTTTATTCTTACTTGTACTTATAATTTTGTGTGATTATTGAAATTATTTTAGTTCTTCGACGAATTACAATAATTTAATAAACAAAATTAGTTATCGTGGTCAATTTAATATCAACCATAATAAGAATAAAATATACCAACGGATCTAAATTACATAAATATTGTACGACAAATCACGTAGTTGAACGTGTCATTATGATTATTTTTCATCGAAGGAATAGTTAGGTGTATCAGTTAGTGCACAGTCCATCGTCAGGTTCAAATTTCAAAAACCATTTCCACGCTAGCGTGCAAAAAGGGGTTTTGCGCGCAGATTTCCAACGATAAAGCCTTTCCGTGTTAGTGAGGTGAAAAATAAATGTACGTTTTATGGTTGAGATCCCTTCACTAGCCGGGATAAGAGCTTAATGATCTTTACAATGCTGAACTAGTGTTCATCAAACATAGGCTAAGGACCATCCCAACAAAATTAGCCTTCAAATTAAAAAAACCGTGCTGAGAGTAGGCCATCTATTTGAGAACTATGATGCCACATACAAACTTACACACAGACAAAGGCTTCAAATTTATTATAAATTTGAAGCCTCTTTCTCTCATCGCTCTTTTTACGTCAGGAGTTAAAAAAATACATCTATCACCCTAAATTCGCAACAAAATTTTGATGACTTAGTTAAATTCTGTAGGATCTAATTTATTTTTATATAACACTAAATGACGGGACGAACAAGTCGTGCTGTCGGAACATAACTATCCATAACAGTTGCAGTGCCACTCAGAGCTTTACATCGCAAAGATCTGATGGGCATTGCCACTGCGGCCGTCACCCTGAGACATAAGTTGATAAGTCCCATGTGCACAGGCACATCCGATTTTGAAGGGTAAGGGTGCTGGTGGATTTCTGTAATTTCACCAGCACCTTTACCCTTCAAAATCGGAACACAGTAATGCTGATATTACTGCTCGGCGGCATAAATAAGTAAGGTGGTAGTACTATCTTGGATGAACTCTTTCACAAGGCGCTCTACGGCTACTAATTATATTAATGTTCTAAACGTTCGTTTTAGTAAAGCCCAACGGTGTAAAAGTATGTCAGCTCAGACATGTTTCACAGCAGCATGTCATGTGTCTCCTCATAATTCTTATACATAATATTTTAATTGCAGATGGCGCCAAGAGCCTCTAAAGTTAGACACTGGAGTATACCGTTAAATAAACTAATTACTCATACATCCGCGTACTTCATATTCTTAGGTCTGGTCTTTTACATATCCAATCAAGATAAAACCAAGCAGTCCAGAGGACCTCCAAATACAGGTACGGAAAACTTACATTTACAAAAAAAAATACTATAACAAGTTAGCTAAGTCAGTCCTAATAGTACATTGTGTATTAAAGGCGGTAAATAAGGAATTACGAACGAGACTCTATTAAAAGCCCGAAGTCGAAAACTGTGGGCTTTGGGAGTCGATGTTCGTAATCCAGTACAGCCTGTGTAACATACAATGTTTTACATCACATTTAAGAGGAAATAAATACAAAGATAAATGCAGGAAAAAATAAATACCGCTTCACAACCTACGATATCTATTCACTTTCGATACAACACAACAATTACAGATTTTGCAAATGGCGTGTATTTGTTGTTTTTTCTTATAAACAGATGTTCAGCTATTCTTCCATAGATAACACAACTCGAACTAAAATGATGTAAAAGGCAAAATCGCATGCAGCCATGACGTATTACATATAAAACAAATAATTTCAAAATGCTAAAAATACTGCAGAATTTAAATTTATAAAATTAATTCAGTGAATTATGGTTAAATTGCAAATGTTTACTTTTTTCTATACTGCAAGCATTGACCTACTGCAAGCTTATGCAAAATACATTCAGATTTTTCGAGCATAAAATCTTTATGCTTAATCTTGACGTTGAGAAGTACAGTGCAATTAAATAAAAAATAAATCCATTACTGCCGTAAGGCGGTAATGTAATAAAAAAGCCCATAGGCGTAATTTAGGCCATTACGGCGGACTTTGCCTGCATGTTACGGTATTGTTTACGAGCAAGTGTGATGAACAATATATTCTTTAAACCTGATGCAAAAAATACGAGTGTTAGAAATCTGAAGCCTTTGTCTATCTGTCTGTACGTTTGTCTGTAGCATCGTAGCTCCCAAACAGCTGTACTGATCTTGACTCCTTAACTGCTTATAGCAAACGGGTTCATTAAATGGATCTCAACTAGTTGTTCTCTTATAAATGGTAATTTTTTCGCTTTTTGGAGTAAACAGTTTTGTATTTAAACAATGTAATTTAAGTTTTTATTTGCGCAAACATTACAAAAAATATCTACAATAAATAATAAGTGAATATAATCACCCGTGGAAGTACTGCCTCCTTCTTCTGTCGCCAAGCAGTAATGAGAACACTACTGCGCTCCTGTTTTGAAGGGTACTGGTGAAATTACAGGCACATGAGGCTTGTCAACTTCAGTTCTCGTCACGTCACGGGGTGACAGGCGCAGTGGCAATGCTCCTCACAGGTATACGATTTAAAGCTCTGAGTGGCTCTGCAACTGTAATGCACAGGCGTGTCGCTTAACACCAGGCGCACGACTTGTTCGTCCCGATACTATAAAAAAGTATTAAATCAATTCCAATTCAATCTTTTATTCTGTATTTTCGACAATCTACAAATTACAAATGTCAAAAATACTTTCTACAACCTTATGTGGTTCACTACAGCGATGGCATGATCCAGAGCACGAGTATAATAGAAAATAAGCCAACAAATAACGTTGCACCTAATCAGTGTTCTATACACTAATAAAAACATTCATATAATTGTTAACTTTTAGGTGCAGAAGCACCCTTAGTCCTATACATATGTGGCTACACATGGTCGGCGATACGGATGTGCCTGATGCAGGGCCCACGGCGGTATTTCTGTGAGATGTGGAACTGGGCTGAGATCCTTATGATCTCACTCTTTGGTTTTACTTTCCTCTTTTGGGTCTTAGCTGCTTTGGATGTCGCTATTAATGATGAGGAACATTTGGGTAAATTACATCAGTAGTAGTAGAGCTCCTTGTGAATGAATTCGTCCAGAGAAGTACTGCCACCTTATCTATTTCTGCCGCCAAGCAGTAATGTGCTGGTGAATTACAGACGCATGGTACTTGTCAACTTATGTCTCAGGGTGACGGGCGCAGTGGCAGTACCTCTCAGATCTTTGTGACTTAAAGCAGTGAGTAGCACTGCAACTGTTGTGAACAGGTGTGTCGTAAGTGGCGTTCGTCCCGTTGCTTGGTATTTTTTTAAAGTAACAAAAAAGATAGCTTATGGGTATTATCGTATAGGTATTATATTAGGAAATATGTAATTATCTAGTTTATAATAGTTTAATGTTATTAATATTGTATTACGTAATTTTGTTTTTTGTGCACGTAAGTCCGTTATGGTAATTATTTTGTCCTATATTTAGGTCTGCAGGAAGACATTTCTTATAGAAATAAGCAGTTAAACCTTTTGTTCGTGTTTTCCTTTTATTAAATGTAATCTGTGCCTTTACCTGTTCAATAAATAAATTAAATAAAAAAATTAAATAGCTACATAGGGCGCACTGTAAGTTTCCGGAACTGGCCACTCACATAAACAATGTTTAAAAAATAATTACATTTGAAAATGGAACTCTTTGGCTGTAGAATACAGTTTGTTTCATCTGAGTGTCACTTGTTTTTACATTGAGTCGACATTTTAGAAATGGGTTGTCTACATCACCATGGGTTTAACTCGTGAAAATTTTCGTAGTATGATTTTCTACGAATTTAAGTATAAGTTAACAGCTCAGCGGAGCTTCGCTCGGCTTCAAACTGCTTTTGGCGATGAAGCACCATGCAAGACGACTAATTATGTAGCTGGTTTGCAGAATTCAAACGCGGTCGTGTAAATCTCAGTGACGAATTTCGTGTTGATCGCCTGTCCACTGCTGTGAACAACAAAAACATCGACGCTGTGTGCCGTATGATCAAAACAGACAGGCATGTGATATACCATGAGATTCAGGCATCTTTAGGCATAGGCATGAGTCAAATACAATCAATAGTACACAAACATTTGGGTGTGAAAAAGCTGTGCTCTCGGTGGATCCCACACAATTTGACTGAGCCTCAAGAAACGGATCGCGTCCCTTGGTGCAATGCCATGCTTACCAGATTCAACGAAGGAGCGTCAAATTTAGTGTGGGACATAGTAACAGGTGACGAAACATGGATTTATAGTTACGATCCGAAAACAAAGCAGCAATCGAGCGTATGGATCTTTCGAGATGAGCCGAAACCAACCAAAGTGGCGCGCGTGCAAAGTGCCTCTAAGCGGATGATTGCTTCTTTTTTTAATAAAACTGGACACGTGGCTACTGTTGCTTTGGAGAATCGTTGTACCGTAAATAGTCGGAAGTTATTGACAAACTCCGTAAAAATTACAAAAACGCCGTATCATCTAGCACCACGATAATGCAATCTCACACGGCCAGATAGACAAATGAATTTTTTAAGGTGAACAACGTTGACCTTATGAGCCATCCCGCGTACGGTCCCGACCTGGCACCTTGTGACTTTTATTTATTTACAAAAATTAAGAGCCAGTTACGCGTTCAACGATTTTCATCACCTGAAGAGGCTGTCGAAGAGTATGAAAAATATGTTTCAGAGATTGTCACGGAGGAGTGGCATAAATGTTTTCAAAATTGGTTTATTCGTATGAAAAAGTGTAATAACGCTAACGGGGAATATTTTGAAAAACAATAAATTCATTTCTGACTATTTATAGTATTTTTTTCTTATTCGTTCCAGAAACTTATAAATGCGCCCTACGTATGTAGCCAATCAGATACGATTTGATACTGACACATATCTGAAATTGATTCTAACAACGTTAATCCAGGACCGTTCACGACTTAACATAGTAAGTAGTATAGCGTAGAATTAGCAAATTATTCTGCAACAATTTTGTTACAGAACGCAAATATTGGAACCAATACGACCCGACACTCGTAGCAGAAGGAACTTTTTGTTTGGCGACAATATTCTCTTACTTTCGGCTAATGATGTTTTGCCAACTTAACTACCACCTCGGCCCTCTGCAGGTAGGTAAAGTTTTTACCCCAACATACTTTCTCACAACGAAGATATTCGTAGTGAGGAAGTATATTTAGGTGTTCAACACACACTATTTATCTAGTGTACCAATGCAATATCACATTACTACGAGTTTATTATATTATCGTTGGTGTTTTGTAGAAAGGGAGAAAACGCCATTTCCAAAAAATTCAGGGAAGCTTCTTTTAGTTTTTTACTACTGTTTTAAAATATTTCGTTATATAGTCATTAAAACCTAAAACATGCTCAACTGAAATATTTTTCGAAATGACGCTTTGGCCCTTCCTACAAAACACCGACGTTAAGTAGACGTGGAGTTGATGCATACCTACAGACGAGTGGCATCTAACCTTTACAATTTATGTAGGTATAATTGAGACATACAGTTTTTTTCATAGACATACTCCACGCTATATTTGTATCTTGTACAATTTTTACTCGTTATCATAAGACTCGCTTTGCATTGATAACTACCACAGACATATATCCAGATATATGTCTGTGATAACTACGAAGTACGTTAGGACTAAAAGTAAACTACTGATGGCATAAACGCTTACTCACTGATTTAGTTCTACTAATAGAATTGACTTCATTTAGAAAACCTTTTTTTTTAATTAAAAACACCAAAACCGTTAACTATCCCATAAAATAAATAAAAAAACTTTATTTCGTCTCAATCTTATAGTTATTTGTTAAGCAAGGCAGCAAAGTTGTTGTTTGCCGCGAGTGCTTGTATTGAAAGCTGAGCAAGCGAAGGAAGCTAAGATTGAATTCGAAATTCAAATATAGATTCCTGAGCGTAGCGAGGGTTTCAAGACCCGAGACGCAAAACAACTTTGCTGCCGAGCGAAACACACAACTTTTCACCTCGCTGAAAAGTTGTGAAAAGTTGTGTGTTTCGTGAAATGGTAGATGAAAGCAAAACAGTTGAACTTTTTAAAAGAAAAAGTTTGCCTTCGGATGCGTTCTGAATTTACACCTCATCAATTTTTATTGTTGCATGTACTTTTAAATGAAAGAAAATAAGAAATGAAATCATTTGAAATTATTTTATTTCTTCGACGAATTAAAATAATTTATCATTGTCAATTTAATGTCAACAATAATAAGAATAAAGTACGTGAGGCGCACTATAAGTTTCCGGAATGAATAAGAAAAAAATACTATAAATGGTCAGAAATGAATTTAATGTTTCTCAAAATATTCTCCGTTAGCGTTAATGCACTTTTTCATACGAATGAACCAATTTCGAAAACATTTATGCCACTCCTCCGTGACAATCTCTGAAACATATTTTTCATACTCTTCGACAGCCTCTTCAGGTGATGAAAATCGTTGACATAAATAATTTTTAAAAAGTTGAAATAAATAAAAGTCACAAGGTGCCAGGTCGGGACCGTACGCGGGATGGCTCATAAGGTCAACGTTGTTCACCTTCAAAAATTCATTTGTCTGTCTGGCCGTGTGAGAACTGGCATTATCGTGGTGCAAGATGATACGGCGTTTTTGTTATTTTTACGGAGTTTGTCAATAACTTACGGCAAACAAATGGTCGTGTACCAATCACTATTCACGGTACAATGATTCTCCAAAGCAATAGTAGCCACGTGTTCAGTTTTATTAAAAAAAGAAGCAATCATCCGCTTACAGGCACTTTGCACGCACGCCACTTTGGTTGGTTTCGGCTCATATCGAAAGACTCATACGCTCGATTGCTGCTTTGTTTTGGGATCGTAACTATAAATTCATGTTTCGTCACCTATTACTATGTCCCACACTAAATTTGACGCTCCTTCTTTGAATCTGGTAAGCATGGCATTGCACCAAGTGACGCGATCCGTTTTTTGAGCTTCTGTCAAATTGTGTGGAATCCACCGAGAGCACAGCGTTTTCACACCCAAATGTTTGTGTAATATTGATTGTATTTGACTCATGCCTATGCCTAAAGACGCCCGAATCTCATGGTATGTCACATGCTTGTCTGTTTTGTTCATACGGCGCACAGCATCGATGTTTTTGTTGTTCACGGCAGTGGACGGGCGTCCATCACGAAATTCGTCACTGCGATTCACACGACCGCGTTTGAATTCTGCAAACCAGCTATAAATAGTCGTCTTGCATGGTGCTTCATCGCCAAAAACAGTTTGAAGCCGAGCGAAGCTCTGCTGAGCTGTTCAATTACACTTAAAGTCGTAGAAAATCATACTACGAAAATTCTCACAAATTAAATCCATGGTGATGTAGACAACCAATTTCTACAATGACGCCACAATGTAAAAACAAGTTACAGTCAGATGAAACAAACTGTATTCTACAGCCAGAGTTCCATTTTCAAATGTTGTAATTACTTTTTAAATATTGTTTATATAAGTGGCCAGTTCCGGAAACTTATAGTGCGCCTTATGTATACCAACGGATTTATGTTACATGAATAAGTAATGTACGTGGCGTCTCACGGCTATGTCACATGGAGTTACAGTACCTTAAATACCATAGATAGAAAATGTTACTGAAAGAAGACTTCATTTTAATTTTAAAAACAATTTTTTTTCAAATTTTGGCGGGTCCGATTACCGGTTCAGACAGGCGATTATTTAAAAATCTTTGAATGCAGTTCGAATTGCTTTAAAATCAAAATGAAGCCTTCTTTTAGTAAAATGTTCTATCTACGGTATTTAAGGTACTTCCCCTCCATGTGGCATAGCCGTGGGACGCCCTGTATATGCGCTGGCTTCATATAGAGCCTCAGTCTCTTCGTAATTTATCGTGTGTAGCCATTGTACTACAAATCTTTTACAGTCATGTAAGTTAATGTGATAGATGTTTAAGGTTTTATTTATACGGTTATATAAATGAGTCGATTGCCTTTTAAGTTGACGACTAGCAAACGTAGTTTTTACAATATGCAGGAGGAGTATCCAATATCCGTGGAAAAATAGAATTGAACATGTACACACGCCAGCACATCAAGCTACACATTGACATATCTTGTTCTGTTGGAATGGAGGCGATTTTCGAACAAAAATGTGAAGTCTGATGTGCCGTTGTCCGCACGTTAGTAATAACAAATGCAACAGATTTCCAATCGGAACAATAATGTTTTGCATAATCGGGATACAGAGAATGCCTTCGTTAGAGCCCATGTGGGTGGACAGTTTATCTTGCGCCAGGGAAATGAGGTTTACGCTCAACATGCTATTACTATCTATTTTTGGTGCTAGACAAGAAAGGTATCGAAATAGTAGAGATGGTATTGGAATGCGTACAAATTTCTACATATTACTCAAAGAAGATATGTATGTAATCACTACGAGACATAGAATAGGCCTATAATAAGTATCTATATGTAGATAACAAGTTTGTTTTTATGAAGCCGTTTTTAACATTTAGGGCTATACAATTTACATTACCTGGTTTTCTTATTCAAGTAAACATGACTCATTGTATGAGTATTTGTTCTACTGTTCTAGTTATAGATATACAACTAAAAATAACATATTATTGTTGTTTAGGTACATTCAGCCACAGGTTATCAAATTGCCACTTTTTGAAATGCAAATTTAGACCTAAACTTAAATTTTCTACGAACATTTACAGCGTTAGGTGTAACCAACTGAACACAATCATAGATGTTATTAACGAACTTTCGAAAGTTTTATATCGGCACTGCACGCTTTTTTAATAGTAATGCAACAGACCACTGCTTCTGCTTCCGCAAAACTGCTGCGAACTTCTGCTCGCTTTTTCGTATGTTTTCGTTTCTACTTCCGCGACTTTTAAACGGAACTTCACAAATTTCGCGGCAAACGGTTAGCTTGACGGTGAAGCGCGCGTTTTTTAGCAGTTTTGTGTTAAGTGCAATTTTGAAACCGAAAACAAGTCCAGTTTGGAATTACTTCGTTGAAATATTTAGGATATTTACAGTTCCCCTTTAGCAACCGCTTTTGTTTCCGTTAAGATTTACTTTTGACATCTGTTTCCGTTTCTTTTTCCGTTATGATTCTTCCGTTGCGTCACTACTTCTGAACAATACCAAAACTACCTAAATAAAAAAAACAAATATATACGCGATTTAAATCCGGAAAAATAGTTTCATTTCCCAATACCAAAACTGTTTCAGAGATACCTTTCTTAATCAAATATCATTTCCAAATATTTGTATCACCATTTACATTTAGCTACTTCTTTAAAACATACGGTTACAAAGTCTATACGGAGTTAACAACGTATTATCGACAAACGACTTCTAAAATGTTCCGTGTTCACATGTCCCTATTACCATAACCTTGTTTGCAGGTGTCCTTAGGGAAGATGACTATCGACATTTACAAGTACATGATCGTGTTTACGATAATATTATGTGCGTTCGGTGCAGGCTTAGCGCGTTTATATCAATACTACGACGGAATGGTTTATGAGGACGAGTTTGGAATGAAAACTGTACAGGTAATTTTATAAGGCCCGACGCCCACAGACGGTACAGCACGACTAGGGATTTTTAGGTGATGAATAGTAATATATTTTAACATTAGGTATGTCATTATACTTGAAATTTCATTGATAAATAGTCGTAGTTACGAAAACAAAGCTGCGGTAAGCTTAGTTTTGCCGAGACAGCAGCCTCTGGATTGCCTGATCTGAAAAAGGCCAGGCGCGAGCACGATATCGCGACGACACGGTATACTTCGGCATGCCTAAGGCCCGCGCGGCGGCATAATTGCATGTAAAGATGCTAAAGGATCCCTTGCTATACCGTCCTATCAATGGGCACCGGGCTTTAAAAGTATAATTTGGTCTTTATTTACAAAAGCTAAAGGTTTTATGTTTCAAAACAAGAGTAGTTGATTCTATTAACTCTAACTCTAACAAGAATTATTTAGTTTGACCCAATATCATTTAAAACGTTTAGATCATAAAAATAGAAAAAGATATCGAACAATTTATGCTTGTCAGTCACTGGCACCACCACCATAGTAATGTTTAAAAAATAAAAACATTTTCAATCTGGGTTGCATACATTTACAATAAGTCTTTGGCCACAAAAGATAATACCTAACTATCAAGTCAAAGAATTTATTAAGAATACAGTAGAACTATTAACGTGACAATAATAACACCAAAATTGACGGTTTATTCACCTACTTCGCGATTTAATAGACGAATTAGCATACCTTCTCCATTATTTGTTTAGCATGAATATAACATCTTGATTCGAATGTATTTTATTGTCTAAACTTGTCGAGACATAGGTTGAAAGTAGTAAAATGAAACGGCAAGCGGTCACTCACTGCATACCATAACTTGTGCAAATTACAGTTTTATTGTTCCTCGGTAGTTTATGTTAACTTTCTTATAATGAATGCCCTAATTTATAAACACTTAAAAGTGACTTGAGTACGCAACCAATTTAAATTTATTTCACACAATCCGACAAAACACCGTTTTTGCACAATATCCAGCAAATCAAATTTGTTCGACTTGGGAACAAAATCATTGCGTTACGTACACAATATAAGTGGCAATACCTATTACCTATCAAGTTTTACTCCTTTCTGTGTACACTTTACTGGGAGTGTAGAATTGTCATATTTTAGTGGGACCCACAGTTGTAAACATAATTTTTTTTAAGTAGTCTCGTGCTATATTGAAATAATTTTACGAATTTATATTTCTATATCAGTGATCATTATGAGAGTATGATCATGAAGTAAGTAGTCAACTATAAACATAACAATAAATACTTCTACAATTTGATGTCGTTTTTTAAACACTGAGGAAACGCTTCAGTTCTATATAAATGGCGCGTGTAACGACCCACGTTATGCAACGCGAATGCACGGCGAGTTTTTGAGAATTTGTGCGTGCGTCCGTACTAGGCGCGTGGCGGGCGTGCTCACATACAAGCCATTACGCTACGCCACGCTATTACTTTTGTACGGGATCTTATTGTACTATAGTTGTACCCTGTTTATTAACCATCAGGTATCTTCCTTCACAAGTCTACGGGATACTCTAAATACATTATTCTGGGCTTTGTTTTGTATGGCGCCACTGGAAAGTGCAGACGTGGTGCTGGAGAATACTGAAAACATCCACGTCAAGGGACCCAGAAACAATCGCCACGCATTCACGGAGCGTATTGGATATTTTTGTTTTGGATGTAGGTATTGATTTTTTATTTATCTCTAAGTAGTACAGGCCAAGATATACAACTTTCAAAGCAAAAAAGACTTGATGCCTATATCTAATATCAATAAGAATTTGTTTGTTGCAATATTTATTTTGTTGAATATCATAATGTTTTTAACATTCCATTACTAAAACTATGACAATATACTCCAGACTGAGTGAAGGAAAACTTTCATAGATTACTCACAGGTGGCCCTACGGCAAAAACCCAAACCAAAGACCTACATCAAGCACAAGGTCCGTTGATTTGTTCTGTAGCTCACTTGGGAAAACAGTAGCCCTTATTTGGTACCATTAGTGGTTGTCTACGTGTGTGTTCATGGCACCAACGCGACACAGGGTTTCCCTAGGGGCTATAATTGTGTCACCAGCAGAATATTTTGAGATAGTACAGTACGACAGGATATTATCAATTAGGAATTCTCAATTAAAACGGTTGTTCCACTATCACAGCAACATTAAATTACATTTTCGCAAGCGTCGCATGTTCAAGCACCGTAAAGCTAATAGAATATATGACTTCGTCCGTTGTTAAACAGCTAACTTATAGATTGAGTATCGCAAGAAACTGTTTAGCATAGAATTCGCTTGCGTGTCAAAGCTCAGCAGACGTAAAAGTCCCGTACATTGCCATACAACAAGCCTTTTTAGAATCAATGAACATGGAAAATTATACACAGTTAATTCAATCTATAAATTAGTGTTTTAACACTAGTTTTATAACAGTAACAAACTCGTTACACATTATAGACGTTAATAATAGCTATAAAGTTGGACAATACCAACTGCAAGTCAACAATCTATGTAACTCTTTATAGGTATAGTGCAGGCTAATGACATGAAAAAGTAGTAGTCAGTAGAATGTAACCTATTTTCTATTCATTCGCGCGTGTAGAAGTTTATGAGAGAAAGATACACATTTTTTTTATAATATCAAGTGGCGGGACGACCAAGTCGTGCGCCTGGCGGTAAGCTACACGCCTGTTCATAAGAGTTGCAGGGCCACTTAAGAACTTTCAATCACTAAGATCTGAGGGGCGCTGCCGCTGCGCCTGTCACCCTGAGACGTAATTTGACAAGTCCCATGTGCTTATAATTTCACCAGCACCCTTACCCTTCAAAACCGGAACGGCTGTAGAAATAAGTAAGGTGGCAGTACTTCCCTGGACGAACTCTTTCTTAAGGTGCTCTACTACTACTAGATACTACATACTTGTGAATAATAAATACAAACCGATTGAATCTCATACCTACTCACAAAGCGAATTATTTAAGTGAATTTAATTTATCAAATATCCTCATGTTAAATCTTACAAAATGTTTGTTTACATTTCACATATTTAGTTATAGTCTTATTTTATATATTCATTTCATTATATATTTCGTATATATCATTTACTTAATATTATGTATTCGTGTGTACATTTAATATTATAATTTATTCTTTAATTATTGAGTACCTATGTAACATTCAATATCATGATTTATTAGGTTTTTTTGCCGATTCAGGAGCCAACTTGCCTTTCAATTATTCAAAGGTTAGCTGGAAGAAATCCCTTTATGGGATAAGCTCGCCTTTGTACAATAACGTTCTATTTCTTTGTTAAAAAATATATAATTTGTTTTTGTTGTACAATAAAGTGTTCACATACATTCACACACAAAGTAAGAGGAACGCCCTTCTGTTTACAGGTTTTGAAGTAATATCTGTTATAGTGGTTTTGAACATGCTGATAGCTACGATGTCGAATACTTTCCAAAGAGTAACTGACAATGTTGCAATTGAATGGACTTTTGGAAGAACTCAGGTGGATCTTGAAACGTGAAGAACTCAATTAATAGGGAATGAAACTATTTTTTCGAATCTAAATTGCATAAACAAACCAACTCAGTCAGCCGTGACCATGGGACCTGTAAAGGGCCCGAAACGTTCGTTTGTTTGAAAAAACTAATGTACACGATGTAGATACGAATTGAATCGATGCAATCGCTTATAAATCGCAAGTGTAACGATGAAATCGCGCGTTTGTATCGATGCAGTGGCGCGTTTGCATCCCTGTTCAAACTCGCGCGTAGTGTAAAGGTAAACGATAGTTACTGCATCGCGTTTGGATCGCGTTTACATTGCTGCTAAAAATCGCCGTGTTAACCGCTCTAAGATATGAAACTCGATATGATAATTTAATACGTTTTCTCATGAAGATATGTCTATCTGCCAACTATAATTTGTTTCGATAACTAATAAGATTGACAACAGACGGACATTGACCGTTTATTCAATTTCGTACTCAAGGGCTCACAACCTCAAAACCTATTAATAAGTAACTTACACACGGCAACTTTTGCCAGCGATACAAATGCGCGATTGCATAGACGCAGTCGCCTATAAATCCCAAGTGTGCCTATGCAATCGCGTTTGTATCGATGCTGTCGCGCGCTTACATCATTACTTAAAATCGCGCGTGTGTGTAAAGGTATAAGATTAGCGACTGCATCGCTACCGTATCGCGTTTGCATCGCTTTTGGGTCGCTGCTAAAAGTCGCCTTGTGGGTACCACTCTGAATGGTGCATTTTTATGTAACATACGTAGAAGAAGATATTTAATAGATTCCAAATTATTTGTTTTTACTAAACTACATTGTTACACATGCTTTATACTATCTAAAGTTACTAGCTAATCCCAGTTTTAATGTTTTTTTAATTATAGGTTTACGTAGATTTCATATGGCAGACGACGGTGCCGTCTCCATATAACATGATACCAACTGCAGCAGCCATGAGCAGTATTGTAGATTGGCTACGCTGTAAGTTGGGAAAACTGTCTGGCGCAAAGGCGCGGTGGTCTCTTTCCTATTGTTTTTTTATTGTAAGTTCAAACAATATATACCTGTATCTACGTATCATTCATGGACACATTGGAAGTTCGTCGCGAAAAATTATGTAACCGTAAAATATACATACATATGTAAGTTGACATGTTGTCCGACCTAGGCATTCATACGAACATGTTGGCTTTTGTTGGAGTCACATTTATCGACACGGAAACGCATTAAGCCGGTCAAAAAAAGCTTTTTGTTCATATAATAAAAGCGAAAAAGACTTGCGCTTCGCGACAATCTGAGCAAAAATGAAACGCGCGACCCATGTCTTGCCTTCGCATGGAGGCCCACCGTTTACCTAAAGTGGTTGTCTACTCCGAGATTATCGTAATCGATAAGGAGAACATACATGGAAGTTTTTTTTTGTAACCGGTTCAAGACTATTTCGCTTTATACATAGGACGCACTATAAGTTTCCGAAACTGGCCACTTACATAAACAAAATTTAAAAAGTAATTACAACATTTGAAAATGGCACTCTTTGGCTGTAGAATATAGTTTGTTTCATTTGACTGTCACTTGTTTTTACATTATGGTGTCATTTTAGAAATTGGTTGACTACATCACCATGGATTTAACTGTGAAAATTTTCGTAGTATGATTTTCTACGACTTTTAAGTGTAATTCAACAGCTCAGCGGAGCTTCGTTCGGCTTCAACCTGCTTTTGGCGATGAAACATCATGCAAGACGACTATTATATTATATTTATAGCTGGTTTGCAGAATTCAAACGCGGTCGTGTGAATCTGTGTCAAATTTCGTGATGGTCGCCCGTCCACTGCTGAGAACAACAAAAACAACGATGCTGTGCGACGTATGACCAAAACAGACAGGCATGTGATATACCATGAGGTTCGGGCAACTTCAGCCATAGCATGAGTCAAATACAATCAATACTACACAAACATTTGGGTGTGAAAAAGCTGTCCTCTCGGTGGATCCCACACAATTTGACTGAGACTCAAAAAACGGATCGCGTCAATTGGTACAATGCCAAGCTTACCAGATTCAACCAAGTGGCGTCAAATTTGGTGTGGGACATAGTAACAGGTGACGAAACACGATTTATAGTTAAAACAAAACAAACCAGCAATCGAGCGTATGGGTCTTTCGAGATGAGCCGAAACCAACCAAAGTGGCGTGCGTGCAAAGTGCCTCTAAGCGGATGATTGCTTCTTTTTTTAATAAAACTGAACACGTGGCTACTATTGCTTTGGAGAATCATTGTACCGTGAATAGTGATTGGTACACGACCATTTGTTTGCCGTAAGTTATTGACAAATTCCGTAAACGCCGTATAATCTTGCACCACGATAATGCCAGTTCTCACACGGCCAGACAGACTAATGAATTTTTTAAGGTGAACAACGTTGACCTTACGTTACGAGCCATCCCGCGGACAGTCCCGACCTGGCACCTTGTGACTTTTATTTATTTCCAAAAATTAAGAGCCAGTTACGCGGTCAACGATTTTCATCACCTGAAGAGGTTGTCGAAGAGTACGAAAAATATGTTTCAGAGATTGCCACGGAGGAATAGCATAAATGTTTTCAAAATTGGTTCATTCGTATAAAAAAGTGCATTAATCCTAACGGAGAATATTTTGAGAAACAATAAATTCATTTCTGACCATTTATAGTATTTTTTTTCTTATTCATTCCGGAAACATAAAGTGCACCCCACGTAAGTGTGATGACTCCCTAACACGGCCAACGTGTTGGCTTTTGAATGTCGAGCCTTAGCGAGCTATTCAGTTGGAACAGCTGAGAAACTGCATACGGCCTAAGGACATCAATCAAGTTAGAACACTATAAGGGCGACTTCAAATTAGACGCTTGTAGAAGCGATAGTAGCTACAGCTAATTTTCATACAGTATAATATGGTCTGCAAAAGTGGCGCGACTGTGACGCTGCAGCTGCGCTTCTAAATATTGCACAAAAATTTGTAGTAGCGCTGTTGCTGCGCTCCTAGAAGCGTAATTTGAACACGCCCTACAAAGTAGCTTTTAATTCTTATTTTATTTTATTTTTCATAGGAACGCGATTTAGAAAAAAATCTTCAAGAAGAATTCCCTGCGCTGATGTCAGTTCTCGTGCAAAGATACTTCAAACAAAAAGGGAATATAAAAGATACTACTAAAATTTCCAATACAAGGAATTAAAAACTTTGATTTTAGTATTTGAGCAACACTTTTAAATTTCATGGACTTAAAGTAACGTTTGATATAAATTGTCTCATCGTCTGTCGGTGGCAAAGCGTGCGACGTTTTTCCATAAAAAAAATGGGTAGGTACAATATTATATTTTGTGCGTTACCTCGTGCAGCCAACGTGCGTTAGTAAACGCCTTTAGTTTACGTTTTATTAAAAGTAATCTATTTTTATATTAAGGTTTTATTTACACTGTAAATATGAACATTTAGTTTTTAAATATAAATAAAATATATATATAATTTTTAAATACAGATACATATATGAATAAACATTTAATATTAGACCATAATGTATTTACATCTAATTATAACTCAATAAAATGTGTTTTGTTTTATTTTTCTTGATGTTTTATTTTTCTTGATACATGTAGGAGTACGTTTAAATGAAAATAATAATATATTAATAAAGGTGCTAGCGATAGTTTTAGTACGGGACAATTATCAAATATTAGTTTTTATGACTTTTTAATATATGTATTTTTAGCCTTTCCAATAATAGTTCTTGCTTTGACATTTATCTTTTTGTTAAAAAATTCTGTCACTTATTAAACGTTTATTGTACCGAATCATGACCGATATTTTTATTCTTTTTAGATAATTCTTAATAGTAATATTAATAATATTTATTAATTCATATACGAATACAGTAAAATAAAAAACGTAGGTATGTTACATAAAACACTATGGTTCTTTATACAAAGATCGAACACAAAGAAAAATTCCTTCGATCTGACGGGACTCCAACCAGAAGCATCTGTAAGTCAAACTAGGGCCACCACTCTACCAACTAAGCTTCAAATCGAATCAGCAGACCTTAAGAATTTCTCTAAGTGTTTGTTTTTTTTATTGGGTTTTTTCGGCTTTTACCGCCGTAAGCGACACCTTTGAGTCTTCTTACTCAGCTCACTCATATAACTAATATTCAACAAGAAACATTAGGTAATAATTTGCCATTTCAAATACTCTGATACTCTTCAATATAGGTATAGAATTTCCACTTAACTAGTAACAAATACATTTTCTTTTTATTTCTAACACTGAGTTTCTCAAGCCGTATCAATCGCTTCCATTCACGAGTCTTTAAAATCACGTAATTTGCGATATCCACGCACCATCCTCCCATCACATCCTAACATGGAACTTTCCGGCCTTAGTGACGTACTTGACCCCTTTGAAGGGCTTGTACTTAGCACCATACATATCGAGTCTGCTAACTCGTAAACCGCTTACTGCCAGTTGCGGTATTGTGAAATGGACGTTGATGTTTGGGTTTGCGCCTGTTGTGTCCGCCCCCGATTGTACCGAGACCTGAGTAACAAGATTATTATTATTGTTCATATTGTTCAGGATACACGGTGCCTTAAAAAAATAACGATCTAAATGCTAACCACTCATATGATATAAATATATCCGAGGCTTCACAAAATCGACATAAGCATGAAATTCTTGAGGTGCTACGCATTACAAATCGCACCCTCGTGGAAGAATGTCGTAAGTGGAGTTACGTCAAAAATGTTTATTGTCCTTAGATACAGAAAAAATTAACACACATCCTCTCCAATTCTTGTAACTCTATCGACTAATATTGTCGCACGAATTATAAGAATTGGAGAAGATGTGTGTTTATTATTCTATATCTAATGAAGCAATAAACATTTTTGACGTAACTCCACTTACGCAATTCTTCCATGAGGTATGCGAAATGATAAAATTTTTGGTGTCTAAATCGCGTATATTTGTCTTTTCAAACAAACCTTAGTTTTGGGATTCTTTACAGGTCCAATGGTCGCGGCTGACCAGAGTTTTTTATAGCTTATTGCGAAAGACTTCGTCCAGGGCAGTACTGCCACTTTACTTATTACTGCCGCCAAACAGTGATGTGAGCACACCTGCGTTCCGGTTTTCAAAGGTAAGGGCGCTGGTAAAATTACAAGCACATAGGACTTGTCAATTTATGTCTCAGGGTGAGGGCACACTGCCAATACGTTTCAGATCTATGATATAACGCTCTGAGTGGCACTATGACTGTTATGGACAGGTGTGTCCATTACCACCAAGAGCACGAGTAGTTGGTCCCGTCACTTGGTGTTATAAAAAAAGTTTAATTTCCTAATTACCTTCTCGTTAATATGAAAACGAAAACAAAATATTATTTCGATCACATATTAAATTACCCACAATATTTGAAAATAATAATGGTAAAGTAAGGAAAATTGGGTGTAGTACAAAGTATCATGAGACCTATAAAATGCTCGAAACTTTAATTTGTTTGAAAAAATAAATAAATACAATTCAGATCAGAAAAAATAGTTTCATGTTCAATATATTAATCCAATGTTACATCATTCAAATTATTAAATCTATCGTTTCTTTTTCGTACTCTATCTCGACATAGATATCTTCAAGCTTGTCCTTCAGTGCAGGACTTTCGTTAATAAATTTGAAATACTCACAGTTCCTTTAATGTTAGGTAGTTTCGGTAACTCAATGCGTCCTATGTCCCACAATAAGACTTTGCTCACAGGGTCGTATGAGTACTTGCCTTGGTTCGCCGTTAAAGAACAATTAAGTACACATTTCGGCATACATATCTCTAATGCAACATCTGCAAAATTGAAAAAATAACAATTCTTAAAAAAATCCAATTATAATGCGAATATTTAAATGGAACTTGACACTTAGGCACGTCGTAAAAAAATAAATTGTTAAATATTACATTGAGCAACACTTACTACTTAAAATTATAAGCGTGCTTGTGAGCTTACATTAAAAAGCAAACTTTAAATGCTGTTTCGTTTATGTAATTGTCCAGGGTTGCTAAATATCAGCGCCACGAAACGGTTTTAAAAAAGCCGTTTGTGGCTAAAGCTGAGTAAGTCCCGATTACACCAGGCGCGACACGCATGTCAGTGAATTAGATACTGCATAATTAAATCAATTGTTTCAATTTTTTATTATTATTATTATCTATTTTAGACTCGCCTCTCCTAAGGCCTAAAAGATTAATTTTGAATTTTTATTATTATTATTGTTCTGTTGTTTTCTTTATATTCGTGTCTGTGTGTTGTGTAATAAACAGTTTTCTTTCTTTCTGTAAATGTCTCTCACTTTCTAAAATGTCACTCACTTTCTAAAATCCTTCCCATAGTTTGTTTAGGGCCCACAGTCAGATCCAGTCTTCCTTGGTCTCCGTTATTCTTGAGCGTAAGACTATGCCGCACGTATATCGGTATTGCCACTACACTTTGAGATCCAATATGGTACGACATCAATCGGAAGTTGCCGTCGGGTGGAATGAATGATAGTATCCTTTCAGACTGAAACAAGAGACGAGATGCATGTATTTCTGGTAGAGTGTTGTTACATAGTTTTTGGTTATATAATCCGTCTGAGGGTGCAGTAATAAAATTTGAAAGGTGTTAAGAATGGTCAATTTTGTCTACAAAAACAGCCTACAAGAGAGTCGATTCCTCGTCCCCCTGGAAAAAAACATGTACGAAACGGGTTCACAATCTTACACAGGCGATATTTTAGTATCATTTGAAAGCTAAGAAAATAAACTACTTGAAACAACAACAAAAATAACATTATCACAAGACATTTTGTATTAGTAAGAAAAGGATGAAGAAATTTGCTTTGATGCTTTTCGCTATTTTACAGGGTTTTAAAAAATACCGATCAAGTGGGGTGTTTTTGATTATATTTTGATCATTGATCATAAAAATTGACAGTTAACGCCCTTAAAATTTCACCCGGACAAATTGAAAATATAGCGGCAAAACCTACATGACCTATATGATACAATCAGTGAGGAGAATGGATTGTGTGCAAGGTTACATGCATATTAACGCGGCGCTCAATAAAACGAATGGGGATGAAAGGAAAAGAAAACCACACTGCATTGATTTACTAGTAATTAAATGTTTATTTCATTTATAAAAAGGCCGATAGTGGTCGTTAATGCCACAATGTTGCCAGGAGCACGGTTCTGCCAAGTGATGTAGCAACAAATAATCTCAGTACAGAGTACTAAAAAAACCGACCTCAAAAGTAAGTGGAATTACGTCTATTTGCTAAGTTTTATTGAAATATCCCCTATTTCGCCACTATACAGGACTTGACACTGGAGATAATAAAAATAGGTTCTCACTACGACACCACGCAAAGTATATCGAGAGAACAACGCCTTGAATTGGAGAAATAGCAAAATCAGCCATTAAAGTAATTGCTCCTAAATTAAAGTTAGGCGCTATTTATAAAAATGAATCTTCTGCGTGAAGAGCCACCCTTCGAGGTGGATGATTTTCTTCGAAATGTACCCCCTTTCCAACAAAAAAAAGAATCATGAAAATCGGTTCACAAATACCGGAGTTATCGCGTAACATACATACAAAAAAAAAACAAAAAAAACATACAGTCGAATTGAGAACCTCCTCCTTTTTTGAAGTCGGTTAAAAATAAAGACCGTTTAAAATTGGACACACTTATGCAAACTAGAACCAGCCCATAAAATGTCACTTTCGAGATACTTAGATTTTTGTAAAAACAGTGTGAAGAAATAAATAGTTAAGTTATTTGAGACAAACAACGTGAGTTATGTGTAGCATTGAGAATGATATAGGGAAACTATTATATTATATAGCAATAAATAGAAAACATTGTGTATCTTTTTATTTAGTTAACGAGAACCATGTTGTCGTTTTCGTAATGAAAACGCTAAAAATCTAAAGTACTTCAGTATATGTGACATGGATCCATTTAGCATATTTTAAAAAATCCATTATATGAAGTTAGGCAGCAAGGTTCTTTTTAGCTATTAAAAAGTTACTTATTGAGGGTTGGTACCCTGAAGGACTTTATTTTCTCCATTTTGGGTTGGTATATTGCCAGGATCTTTTGTAAGCAGGTAAAGGACATGTCTGGTGTTCTACCTAAATACATAACTCAATTTCACTTGAGGTGTGGGTTGGTTCTTGTTTGCATAACGGTGTCCAATAACGGAAATTCCTCAAATGATTATTTTTTCAATTCAATATTATTGCAAATTATAGGACAGCCTTAAAATTTTACTTACCTCCCATCTTTTGAATCTCACGCACGGATGGAATGACACATCGTCAAATAGACGTGGATTTACAAACGTAAGCGTCAAATCTGGCATTCCGCTTAACTTGATACAGCAGTCAATCTGAAAAAGGTGATAAATAATATAAAACTTGTAATACACTTTATAACTCCTAATAAATGCTATAAACGCAAAAGCGGTGTAACCCCGCGAAAATTCAAAATTAGCCAAATTCATTTCATATTCATATAGTTATCATATATGACCAAAATATATACATATGCATGTATTTTTTTTAATGAAAATAGCATCCAAATAATATAATTAATAATAATAACGCACACACACTCAACATAGCCAATTATGTATAGTATCATTTAAAGTATTGTAGAAAATAATTAAATGTGTGTTACACCACTTTTACGTTGATAGCCTCATTAGGCTTATATGGGTAAAAAAAAATATTCATTTTACTTTATATCGTCTATTTAAAGGTAAAACCACATAAGTGACATTTCCGACAAAAAGTCTTTAATTTATATGGTTATGGTAAGAAAATCACTTTCTGCATGTGAAGCTCAATAACAAAAAAGCTATAAACTAAAGAGTTTTATCTGCAGAAAGATGGTGAATTTCTTACTACTACTACTAACTGGTATATAACTTGGAGATTTTTTGTGGAAAATGTCTCTTATGTTTTACCTTTTAAGCAGACGATATACAGGTAAGACAGATATAACGCGAAATAAAATACATACGTATCCCTGAATCTCAGCTGACACCGTAGCGCCGCTCTTGTCGATAATGGCATCAACTTCCTCCACGACGTCGAAATATGCCTCGTTGTTGGCGTATTTCACGCCAGAGCGTCGCCATGGCACATTAGACAGCTGGCCAGATGGTAATATTGATGATACACTGCAAATGCCACCATATAATTTACAGGTTTATATCAACCTGTTGTAAGCTATAGATAATGTTGTGAATCTTGTAGACTGATCATCATTCTGGTGTCTTAGGGACTCACTACATTTATTCACAAGGAACCACATTGGGCTGGTCAAAAAATCTTTATGTCCATGCAACAAGAGTGAAAATGTTGTTGTGCGTTTCGCGACGGCGATTCGAGCAGAAGCGCAACGTATAACGTCTTTTTCGCTCTTATTGCATGGACGCAAAGATTTTTCTATCCGGCTTAACCATTCCATGTCAATAAGTGTGGTGACTCCCTTACATGGCATCCTTGCTGCAAGGCCGTATAACACCATGTAACATGATTTCTATTTATGGGTTATCAATATCGAGTTATCAATATCATTTTCTGATTGGTTGTATTGTAAAAACACGAAAATAACTTTATTTCCCTGCTAAAACTTTGCTTTGCTTTATAGTTCAGGGCGACTAAAAGTTGAAATTTGCGACCTATTTATGAAACAGAAATTTTCATGTTTCTCTTTCATTGAAAGAAATAAGGGAAACATTATATTTCAAATCAATAATATATTTCAACCAAAATTCTGCAAATTGATGACAAAGAACCTATAAATGTGCTGATTTGCGAGATTATGTAAATACCATTATGTAGCTATGTAAATAGGCACCTATGTAAATACCACTGTGACAACTACAAAACCAAAGTTGCAAGGTATAGCTACTCTTTTCTACATACTTGCTGGTCAATTAAACAGAAACCAAAACTGTCAAACCAGATACAGAACCTTTTTAAAATTTGTTATGCTAGTGTAATAATTACTGTATCTGATGAAGAAGCTTTGTCAAAAAACTTACTTTGATTTGCCAGTAACTGTATTGGCAATCGTTCTCAGAATGTTTGGTGGTTTAATCAATTCCTTCAAGATGTTACTCTCTGTTGCCAGTGGGAATCCATTGTCTAACATTTCATCCAGTAACTGAAATTATACAGATTAAATTAAATGCAATTGTTGACACCTTTGGAAAGAGAAAATTGTTATTCCAGTGATTAATTTACCTCATAAACAACTACATAGTTCTCTTTTATAATAGTTTCTGTACAATCTGAGAAATAATCCTGAAAGAAAAAAATATATTTTAGCCAGAAAATGTATACAAAATACCTATAGAGCTAATTTACTTTAATTGGACTTTAGGAAATTGTACTTCATATCCTATTATTTAGTGCAAGAATTAACTTCCTTTAAAATTCACACATTGACACAGATAATATTAAAAATTACATACCTGGAATGTATCAACAACTCTGTGCAAGAACTCAATAACAAATAGTGGTGTTACTTCCTGTTTACAAACAGCTACCAGGGCCACACCCCCTCTTTGTATAGAAATCAGGTAGTGATGGGGTGCAGCCAGTATTGGTGGCACATCCTAAAATTTATGATTTATTGTCTTGTAGTATATCATACATGATACCTTAAAAGTAACATTTATATGTATGTCAAATACAAAATGCTAGACTGTATGTGTTATGGTAATATACAGTGTTACTGTTAATATAATTATAAATAATAAATAAGTACCCCATATATAAATTTGTCATATAACCATACAATATTCCTAAAATTGCAAATAGGTTTAATTGATTGATACATTATACTGTTCGAGGTGTTATGATCAGAAACTTACATTAGGTGATGCTCTTTGTGCCTCCAAGTAGTAATCACACACCGATCTTGGTATAACACTCCTCCAATGTTTCTCAAGGAACACATCCCTTGTGACAAAATTATAACATTACACATTACATTTGTAACAATGTAGTAATTCAAACTTAGCATATAAGTAACAGAAAACAAAAGAGATCTATAGGAAATTAATTACAATTCCTGTACTCAAATGATGTTCAAAAGAATGAAGATTTTGGATGTACTACAGACGGCAGAATAATAATGCACAAACTCATAGTCCCGCATTAGTGAAACCCTGTGTCGCGGGTGCCATGGACACACACATAGACAACCACAAATTACACCCAAACTCTCAAGAGAAATAAATGTAGGCCATACAAAAATTTCTCCCGACCCGGGAATCGAACGTGGGACCTCTGCGTGGCAGCCCGGTAACTGTTCGGCCACGGAGGCAGTTAAAGAATATCAGCTAAACATTAACAGATCTTGTTTCGTTGCTCTGGACGCGATATTCGAAAAGTGTATAGCTTGATGTATCAGTTCATCGGCGTTTCTAACCAAATCAATTCAACTTCAAGAATTCCAAACGAATACGATTCGAGAGATATAGATATTTTTGAGAACTGTGGTACAACGCCGCAACATTTACATCAAATAGTTTTAAGCCAATTAAACTACATATTTATACTACGTGTAGTGTTATATTTTAATTGCAAAAGTAGAACATAAGCTAAGAAGTGTTATTTTACCAGGAGATACAGAGAAATAGAAAGTTATCGAATGTAATAACGAATATACTACACAGGCTTAAAAGTACTCACCCGGAAGGATTTATAATAAATAAGCTATGTATCATTGTAATGCTCCTTCTTTTGGAAAATAATTACAATTTCAATTCCAATCAATGTTAAAATTTACAAACAAATACCTATTGATAAATTGATATTACCCTCCACCCGTCGGTAAAGAAAGATGACAGTGACAGACAAAACGACACGACGACAGTCAATTTTTCGTTTAGAAATATCTATAAATTTCATTTAGCTTCATGCAGCATGTAACACGACAGATTTATTAAATAGCGCCAGTATAATAGTCTTGTTTAAGCTAAGTTAAATAATACTAAGTATGGCAATTTGTCATAGATATAAATATGCATTACTTTTAAATATAGTTTTAATTTTACAAACGTAATTTTCATTTTTAATTATTGAATGATTATTAAAAACAAACCAAATTATGTGTACTTAACAATAACAAGAAATCTTACATTTTTATAAGAGGAAAAACATCTGTTGCAACTATTTTTTCCAATGGGTGCTGATAGTTACTGTTTAATATCCTGTGCTACATACGCAGTCCTTTCTGTTAGGTACGATTTCAATCCGTTTTAAAGCATTGACCAAGCTCTTGTAGACATTAATGCAGCCACAGATTATTACTTATTTACTGTACACTCTAAATGCTTCAAGGTTACATATCTGCTTAATTTGAAATAAATGTACACCTCTTGATGGTTTCCTGGCGCTTGAATGTTATCACAAGCACACGCACAACATAATCAACTTTTAATTTTATTATAACTGTTAAATTTAATTTTTGGTCAAGAGTAATGAGCATTTTCAGAAATGAAAAATGTCCAAAAGCTGGCCAGTCAGGTAGCCAAAGGATACCGATTGGTTAGTTTCTTGACAGTGCAATTCCATATAATTAATTGATGAAATTCAGTGAAAGTGAAACTGAAAAATGCTTATTGTCAACAAATATAACCATTTTGAACAATTTATCCCAGAGCATTAGATTTATTACAATTCCATTAAAATTCACAAAAGGAATTTCACAACACTCAATTAAAATTTTTTAAATAAAAAACATTACACTTTTCTTATTTTTTTATTGAGTCCATCACTTAAATATTAACGGTTGGATTTAGCAACACGCTCCAACTCGTCTTTCTTCTTGATGGCATACGAGTTAGATGAGCCCTTAGCAGCATTAATAAGCTCATCAGCAACACACTCGGCAATTGTTTTTATGTTCCTGAAGGCTGCCTCACGAGCACCAGTGCACAGCAACCAGATGGCCTGGTTCACTCTACGCAGTGGGGACACGTCCACAGCTTGACGACGTACTGTACCAGCACGACCAATTCTAGTAGAGTCTTCACGGGGGCCAGAGTTGATAATAGCTGTCACAAGAACTTGCAGAGGGTTCTCTCCAGTTAGAAGGTGGATAATTTCAAATGCGTGCTTGACGATCCTGACGGCCATCAATTTTTTGCCGTTGTTACGGCCATGCATCATCAAGGAGTTCGTCAGGCGCTCCACAATCGGGCACTGAGCTTTACGGAAACGTTTGTGAGCGTACCTACCGGCGGAGTGAGGCAAGTACTTCGCGTACTTCTCTTTGACAGAAATATAATCCTGGAGCGACATGTCGGAAACCTGAACATCATAACAACTCCATCTTCCGAACAGTTTGATTTCGGGAATATCAGCCGCCTGTGGCAACGGCATGTTCTCCACAGCCATGCCGCCCGCTTCCATTCCATCCTCATTCCAGTTTTCGTCAGCCATTATTTCTGCCTACAACAACAACATATGCACTTTATAATATGAAAAATCCACACTACACCAAGATTAGAGCAATCTTTTTCAGGAGAAACACTTACTTTTCTATCAGAAAATAGAAATTATAACCTCGTGTTGTCAAAGGAACACGAGAAAAAGGAAGTTGCCTTGACAATTACTTTTGTTGGTAGTTTGGTATCCCTGCATTATAGGAAACTATAGGGTTACCATTTTTATACAAATGCGTCTAATATGTAGTAGTTGGGTAGTGTAGGGTCATGGAAAATTTCCATTTTCAAAAATCATAATTTTTCAGAACAATAAATATTCTTCCAATATTTTTCCTTTATTTTTCACATTTGACGTTGACATCTGTCAAAAGTTTAAGTTACTGAGCGAAAATGATGGAGCCAACAACAAGTGGTGGTGGTGTGGTCGTTGGAGGTTTTTTCGCTGTAAAACCATTTTAAATCTCGTTTTTTGCAAGTTAATTTTATTAATAAAAGTTCAAAAGATATTTCTAAACGTAGAACATAATATGAGCCGTCCAAATTATATTTTTCCAGTGTTATAATTTTTCAGGAATTTTTCTGGAAAAATTTCCAGTATTTGAAATTTTTCGAAAAATTGTCCAACAGTATGCTTGCTTGACTGACATATCTATTTTTCTAATTTTTGCTGACATTGCCACCCTGTGCGGGCTCCTTGGCTATGCTATAGTTCACAGACTATTAGATGCTAACGCATCTATCGTTATCTTGCTTGCTTGGTTTGTTCCTCTACTTATACTCATTATCAATGTCCTAAAGTTTTAGAAGTAATTGCAACATTAGTAAGTGCGTATTCAAGGCTAGTTTTAGTGAATATTTCGTTCCTGAACGTATGTCGTATTATTAATCCCTTCTCAAGTTCTCATCGAGTATATAACCAGAAATCTGGTTGTATACTAGATTCTATTACATATTTCTGTAGGTTATACTTAAGAGGTCTAAGTTCACCATGGCTGCTTTGAAAAGATGCAAGAATTTCAAACTGTTACCTGTATTAGCTCCTAAATACAACCTTCAAGTGGCAGCTGTAAGAAACCTGAACCTACAGGAATATCACAGTAAGGATTTACTAAGAAAGCATCAAGTTTCTATTCAAGATTTTAGAATTCTTGATACCAGTTTGGATCCAAAGCCTATATCTGACTTTAAGGCAAAAGAGTATGTGATAAAAGCGCAGATATTGGCGGGTGGTAGAGGGAAGGGTTATTTCGATAATGGTTTCAAAGGAGGAGTACATTTGACTAAAAATCCCAGTGAAATTTTGAGTTTAGCAAAGAATATGTTGGGTCATAAGCTCATTACTAAGCAGACTCCGAAAGACGGTATCCTGGTTGACAAAGTCATGGTGGCAGAAAGTGTTAATATCAAACGGGAGACTTATTTAAGCATTATAATGGATAGAAGTTTCAACGGTGCTGCCATAGTGGCTTCTCCTGCTGGTGGCATGGACATTGAGCAAGTAGCTGAAGAAACTCCACATCTATTGAAGACAGTTCCTATAGATGTCTTTGAAGGTGTTACTGACAAAATAGCAAATGATATTGCAGAATTTTTACAATTCAAAGGTGATTTGAAACAAAAATGTGCTGAGGAAGTTAAGAAACTTTGGAATCTATTTCAAAAAGTAAGTTGTAAAATTCATTTACTGCTTACCATATTGTTCATAATAGAAATTGAACTTGACATATACCACAAAACAAATTACACAAGTAAACAACAACTTAAACCACAGTGTTTGCACAAAAAAAGGAGATATAGTGGTACTAAAAACTAAATGTATAATCTAAATATTCAATAAGATAAATATTGCAAATTAAATTCTTTTCACTAGCCATTATAAAATAGAAGTAAATTTGTAGTCAAATGTGAAAGCAGAATCGAAAATACTTATTGTCCGGGATAGTGCAATTACGCTTACTAGCATTGGATTGTGAGTTTCCATTTCGGTTAGTGGCCAAATGAAATCCGCGTATATGCCATAGCAACCAAATTAGCTTAATAATAGCTTAATTTACAGGAATCTATTGTTATGAGTCCATAGAGAACATAAATTAATGCTTGTGCAAAAATGAAGTTGTAGCCTTTGAAATATCCCTCTCCTGTAAAATTTGGTTTAGTGCAGATACGTGCCTTTTACCAATGCTACATACTATCATATTTTACATTCCAGTAATTGGTTACTAAAAAGCATCAGATCATGCCCCACCTATTTCTAGCATTATTTCTGGTGCTAGGTAAGATATTAAAAAAAAAATCCAATTTAATTTGCAGTATGTTCATGCAAGATGATTAATGCAATAAAAAATTTTTTTGTTGAATACTCTGTTATATAATAACTATTTAATTAGTGACATATTCAATAACAGTACTTATTATCTCATGTATTTGTATCACAGGTAGATGCAACTCAAATTGAAATAAATCCTCTAGTGGAAACCGATGATCACAGAGTGATAGCAGTAGATGCAAAAATAAACTTTGATGACAATGCAGCTTTCAGGCAACAGGAAATATTTGCCCTTGATGATGTATCAGCAATGGATCCTCGGGAAGTAAGTGCACTAACATTATCTGACTTTCCATAAACATTCATTACACATCTTCAGAAATTGATTTATAACTACTTGTTGTTTAAATATCCCTACAGGGTGTTAACAGTTAAATGGCACAATATTATGCTTTCTCTCTATATTGTATAATGCATAAATGTATAATATACTTTCAATATTTGTATGCCTAATGTGTAGCCAGACACAGTGAAACTATATTTATTTTGTACAATGCAGCTTCTATACAAACTGTTTTTTTTTTCAAATAAATTAATGATATATTCTGTCCATAATCTACTGAAGCATAGTTGACTATATAGACGGCTGGTGTTCACCAACAATAGTATTTTGTTATATTAACAAGCCAAGATATGTTCAAATGAAAAACACTACTCATCGCTTTGGTAGTATGCATAAGCAACTTGAAACCTACATAAAACAACATATCCATAACATTAAGTTTATTCATTTATTATAAATTAGTAGCTGTCATAAATCATAAATTATAAAAAGAATATCATTCAATATAAAGATATAATACAACAGAATAAAACCATTGTAAGTTTAAGATACAATAATATTCATTTATCTCACTGTTATCTCTTTATTGGTTATCACTACTGATGCTGTCGTTACCCTATTTTCGTTATCTTTACATACCTACTCTGCTGCATACTTGAAAAATGTGAACTATAAATCAGTAAACACACACAACAGTTCAATTCACCTTACCTTGTCCTATTTTGCCACAATTAACTGCTTGAACAAAAGGTTGATTCTTTAAAAAATATTGTCATCTCCATCCCCAACAGACATTAATTATAAATCTGAGACAATAAACTATAATTCTAATTGCAAAATTTTTTATGGAATTGTCTATGGAAAAAAACTTGGTAATAAAAAAATATTCTGAACAGCAAATAACTAACTAGCTACATCAAAATGTAGGTATAACAAGATTTATAAGAATATGGAGGAGCGTACACACTAAATTTAAATTGACCTAAACTGCTTTTGTTTTTTAGAGACAGGCATTAGCTAACAATCTGACATATATAGACATGGATGGCAGCATTGGCTGTATGGTGAATGGTGCTGGTCTAGCCATGGCCACTATGGACCTCATCACATTAAGTGGCGGTCGGCCAGCCAACTTCCTTGATCTCGGTGGAGGGGTAGGACAAGCGCAAGTTTCAGCTGCACTGAAAATACTTGAGTCGGACCCCAAAGTCAAGGCTATATTTGTTAATGTATTTGCTGGTAAGTGCTCTTTATAATTACATATTTACTGTATGTAATAAGTCTGACCTTGTTTTTAATAGACATGTTCAAAAATGTTTTGTAATAATTAAACTATAAAAGTTATTTTTTATATCCTTTTGGAAATAAGTTTTCTTTCAATATTTAGTTTTACATAAGAAATGAAACTAATTTTTTGTATTCTAATTTGCGTATATTTGTTGTTTTTTCAACGAACAAACGTTTCGGACCCTTTACAGGTCCCACGGTCACGATTAACGGCCCGACACGTTGGTTTGTTTGACAAAAAACTAATTTGAGCGATTTAGGCCGCGCAAACGTGTGTTGTGTTGGATACAAGTCTGGTTATATATGTATACTCGATGGATACACCACCGGCAACTGGAAGCGAATATTCGATTTTCACACAAATTGCGGTTGCTGCAACTGGCGATACAGTGTCTGGTTGCCGCTACCGGCAACTGGAACCGAATATTCTATTTTCATACAAATTGCAGTTGCGGCAACTAGCGACTGTATCGATTTCATATCGATTGCATGAAAATAGAATATTCGCTTCTAGTTGCCAGTTGCTTGTATCCAACGCAGCACACACACACGTTTGCGCGTCGCCTAGTTTAATAATTGTTACACATAAAAAATAGTTTCATTTTTTATGTTTAACAATAGCGAAAAACTTAAGAACTCAAAATATTTATGGTCAACATTTGTTTACCATTATTTCTCATCATATTTTTTTCATGTTTTAGGTATAGTCAATTGTGGCACAGTGGCGAGCGGAATAGTAGCAGCATGTAAAGAAAATCCTCTAAAAGTTCCCATGATAGTCAGACTTCAAGGCACGAATTCCGAAGCGGCCAAGAAAATTATGGAAGAATCTGGATTACCAGTAAAGTTGATAACTGATGCCGACGAAGCGGCTAAAGCTGCCGTTGAAGCTGCTAAAGGAAAATAAACTATAAAAAGAATATTTATTATTGTTGAATTGTTACATTTGTAAGTAGTTTTGGTGCTGACTTAGACAATATATAAACTCAATTGAACATAGCTATATGTCGTATGCCAGCCATGATTTTAGTTGTATCTGTTTTGCCATGAACTTATTTACTGATCCAAATACGTTTACCCTAAAGACTGAATATATAAATATCATTCCTGGAATATTTACTCTAAAAACTGAATACTCTATTGATATATGTAATGCAAATTCAATATTAGTCTCCCACGTGTTATTTCGTTACGAAATTAAATTAAATTTTTGTATATTTTAGTATGTTTTAGTTTTAAGTCTTGTACATTGTATATTAAAGCAGAATTATTAAGTAATTTTGTTTTATTTAAAAAAAAAAAACAGATTATGACAAAAAATAGTATATTAGCAATAGATTCTTCTATAAAAACAATAATTTTCAAGTGAAAATTTGAGCCAATACAGGAAGTTGGTACCTAACAAAACGTATATCTGAAATGCATGACATGTGGCCACCCTACTAGTGCAATAAGTATAACCGCAATGCTAAGCAGGAAATGCATTACCCTATCCTACAGGCGACAAAATATGTTAAAGAATAGAAAATGTGTCAAGACACAGCAGACATCAGAATATTCAGAGTATATTAACCTAAACATGAAGTACTATAAAAAGATCAAAACAAAATTATATTTTTACTTACAATTACAAAACTTCTGGGCGTCCCATATTCCAGCGTGACTATGCTGGGGTTTTTGAATTTTCACTTCAGTTAAAAATCGACATTTGGTCTAAATGTAATTTGTTCAAAAGTTATAAAGGTGTTTTACTGTCCATTGCACTAAATTATGATTTAGTGGGTTCATGTCGTAAAAAACTAGCTTTTACAACTTTTGAACGGCGGACTGACTAAATGTAGTTTTTTGCGAATAGACTTGACTAAATCGCGACTTTTTACTTGACGAATCCAATTTCAAAAAGTCCGACTGTGGTCACGCTGGAATAAGTTACTTTTTGGTAATGCCCCGGAGTTAATTTCTTTGCTCAGGTACTTGTAGTACTTCAGAGAATTTCCCTAGTTCGTGATCAGGTAATTACTGCGGTTGCCTGGCACCGTTAATATATTACGTTATTATTATTTTCTTAGATATATACCACCCATAGTAAATTTGCCAGTTACACATCAGACAAAATCCAATACGATAATTTTGGAATTTAAGATGGTAGTATTATCGACTCTACATAACTTCCTTAAAGTAAAGGTAAATATACTCTGCCAAAAGAAACCTTTTTACCTGTGGATAGATATAAATATTCCCTTCCTATTCTTTATAAGTCTGTCCCTCTCTGCAGTTTGATAATTATACCCTCTTTAGCTAAATAACAGCAATTCGCAATAAATTCTGCAGTTACATTTATGCTCGGAATAGCCGCCGTCCTTGCGGCGCGGGCGGTGCGTCGCTCTTGCTCAGGGTCATGTTAGACTGAATTTCCACGAATGTGGGCAAATGCGACAGCTTGCCTCTCGCTGCCACTGCTGGGCGTGATCTCAACATGCGTGTCGCTACACGTACGATGTCGTCTGATGTTACTTTTTCTGAAAAAAAAAAAAATTTAAATTGCCAACATGTATGTAGCATTGGGAGGAAATGTCAGCGTTTAACACAACCTCTCTTAACAGAAAAACCCAGTATCCAACAGCGGACGTATACAAAAGTGTTAAGAAACAAATCTTTTTAAATATTAAAATTAAATTAGAAAATTTCCAAAACTTGCATGTGGCAAGTTTTGCTAGTCATTATTAGACCTCTTTTTTCCATTTGCTCATCCTTAGGTATTAATGACTAAAACTAAAATGTACCAATTTCATTGATGAAGAAAGAAGGCGGCTTCCTCTTGCCGGTGGCCAGTACCTGTCGGCCAACATCTTCAAACACTACAGGCCTAGCTTCTAGGTTCATTAACAACATTGATTGAAGTTGCGTTTTTGCTCTCTGAAATATGATAAGTAAATATTAAATTTGCTAAAGTAGTCTCCAGACAGGGGTCGTCCAGACTCACTCGACCGACCTGCTTACAGTGTACGCACTGATATCAAACAGTGAAGTAAAACAAAAGAAAGTAATATAACAACATAAAAAATTCTACTTTTCTTTGTTAAGTTGTCGGCAATAATGTTTTATGATAAGTAATATATGTATAAAACAAATCATCATTATGCTTAAAAAATACATGCTTTGCCCTTGTAATGTAAATATAATTATTGTGAAGCTCTTTATTATAGCAAAAAAGTTAAAACATTAACCTTTTGTGTGAATTATTCCAGCAAACTTAATTGGTTAGTTTAATAATAGTCTGATACCGACATATTTAAAAACATCATAATATACGTAATTCGAATATATTTTTTTATTTCAGTGCGTAATATAACTTAATTTTTAATTGAAATAGCGCGTTGACAAGTGAAAAAAAAAATTAAATGTAACGAAATAAAACAACTCGGAAACTTAGACTTCACATAATAATACCTAGTTATATAACTATAAGACTTCTAGATTTCTTTTTTATGACACCAAATGACAATGACGAACAAGTTGCAAGTTTCAAAGATCTGCCGTCCCCTAACTAAAACGCGGCTAAGGCGATTAACACACTGCACCGCGCGCGTGATTCCGCGCCCCGCGCTCCGTCGCGCTCGGTCGGGCGCGGAATCACGCACGCGGTGGCGGAGACGCAGATCTGCTTCAACGCGTGGTTTAATATGTGCGGGGTCAGCGGTCTAGTGGCCCCGCGTCACTTAAAGTACTCGCTTCGCAGTTGATCGCCGTAGTGATTGTATATGTAGCCGAGATCCTTCTTTGACAAGAATGGTTAATAATGCAGAACTCATTCAGGACGCTGCAGTTATACTGTCTATTTGGTTTTTGTTTACTCAAACAAAAAGACACCGAAAATATTGGATACATCCCTTTTTACGAACCAGATCGATAAATGGATAATTCCAACTTCATTACAAAGATTTAAGAAAATATGAAGATAAATTTGGTCGATTTTCAACAGCAAATATAAATTTATCGGCGTCGAGATCTATTGTAGAAAACTGAACATGTCCTTAAGCTTAAAAATCTGCGCGGTAGTGCGGAGCACAGTGTTCTTTACATTGCGGTTCGCCGCGCCCATCCGCGCGCGGTGAAGCTTTCTCAGTGTGTTCGACGGCGCGTGTTTTCCATACAAACTGAGGTACTTCAGTACAACGTTAAAAAACGCAGCTCCGCGCTCCGTTGCGGGGCGCGATGCAGTGTGATAATCGCCTTAGTGCCAAAATAATTTTTAGAGATACCATAAAAAACAACAACCCAGTTTTAGAATATTCAAATTGTTTAATTTATATTTCAGCTATACATCGTTAGGGTAAGCTCCGATAAGTCGAACACGTTGATTAATTTTAATTGTTTTTAAAAGAGAATTTTGTGCTCTATCTTATGCTATTTAAAACGGATTTTTGACCATTTGTCATTTAGCCTCGTTTTAGTTAGTTGACGGCATAGATCTTAGGGGTACTGCCACTGCGCCCGTCACCCTGAGACATAAGTTAACAAGTCCCATACGCCTGTAATTTCACCAGCACCCTTACCCTTTAAAACCGAAACGCAATAGCAATCATAATTCTGCTTGGCGGCAGAAATAGGTAAGGAGGCAGAGCTTCCATGGGCGAACTCTTCCACAAGGAGCTCTACTGCTACTTCTAGGTATAAATAACAGGTCTCGGTATCTAGGTATTGAACAATAGATAATAAAACTTACTCTGAGTTCCGTTTCACCTACTTTGCCAGCCATATTGGCCAGCTCCCTCGCAATCACGATAGTAGTATCATAGAGACGATTTGGCGGTGACGCTGAATGTATACAAAAAAGGCCGGTGTCTCCGTACGCGTGGTTATACGCGGTCGCGTTAAACATCCAGTGATATCTGTAAATGTTACAATCATACAATACTCAGTTAAGGAATTCACTACACTTTGAGTTTAAATAAAGTTTGGTTTGTACCTATTAAGATACATTATACTTCAGACATATTATATTCAAATAAAGTACGGACTTATTATTGAAACAAAGATTGAACAAACAAAGAAAAATTCCTTCGATCCGGTCAACACGAAACAGACTGTTTGCCAGACCGGGGCTAACCAGTCGGATCGAAGCAATTTATTTTGCGTGTGTTCGATCTTTGTATGAATAATAACACCAAACTAGTAGAATATTTTCACAAAAATGTATAAATATTATGGCAGCAAAAACATCAGGTTTATCCATTGACTTACAAATAAATGGACGACGGGTCTAATACAAAAACCACGAAAAAAATGTCCCAAGTCAACCTATTCGAAATTTAAATTGTAATGTCATCGCAGTATCGCGCTGTCAGTCGAACAAATGAAGACTAAAGCGGAGTTTGGCGCTCTGTATACGATTTTAGCGCCTTACAAGTGCGGACACTTTTTAGCGCGGACCCGACGTCCATATAATTGTAAGTCAATGGGTTTATCCAATAAATTAAATGTTAAAGTACGGACTGTAGAGAAGCCTGGACAACAGAGGCCCTGTAGTGTAGTAGGTCTTTGACAATCTCATTGGCCTAACGGTTTCCACTGTGGTCGCTGGATGTGAACGTCCCCGATTCGATTCTCAGTTAGTTCTATTAAAGGTTATTGATGTAACCCCTCTGTATGAAATCCTAGCTTAGTATAACGTTAAGTTAGTATATTACACACATACAGTTAGAAGAGTTACGACAATAAGAAAATCAAATACAGCTCTTTAATTCTATTGATCTTGGCTCCGAGTTAATTAGTGGTGACCACAATAAATTGGTCTTGTTGGTCGAAATAATGTTTACGGGGAAAATTCATCTAAACACGAGCCATTTCAGTATTAATTTCTCAAAAACAAGCAATGGAAAAATGTTGTTATATAATCATAATCATTCATCAAAGTCAAGAAACAACAAGTACCTATTGAGCACATTAGTGTAGAGGCGAGTGTACATTCCCTTGCCGGGGCCTCCCGCCGAAAAAGACCCGCCGCCGCCCATCATCATATTCAACACACATGTCGCTACAAAATCTGGGTCACTATGAGAACAGCCTGCAACAGATACAGCATGATCGAATTCAAGTTCACATTTTAATAATATCCTTCCTTCATTGATATTAACAATTTTCACTACGGGAACATTTAATTGAAACATAATCAGCAAGTTACAGTTTTTACATGAATTAATTTAATTTTTTTATAATATTAAGTGACGGTACGAACAAGTCGTGCGCCTGAAGGAAAGCTACGCGCCTATCCATAACAGTTGCAGTGCCTCTCAGAGCTTTAAATCACAAAGATCTTCGGGCCCTTGCCGCAGCGCTCAGTCACCCTGAGACATAAGTTGAGAAGTCCCAGCAATTTCACCAGCACCGTTACCCTTCAAAACCGGAACACAGTAATGCTGACATTACTGCTTGGCGGCAGAAACAGGTAAGGTTGAGTCTTAAGTATATTGCGTTATGAGTTTCTTAATCATTTGTTACCTTATAAGCTGATGGCTCTATAGTCAAATAATGATAACATAAGCAGCTGTTCCATACATTTTTAGTTGCATCGGTATAAAACATTTTGTATAAATCTGCATTTTTTAATTAAATGTCAACCTACATGGGTTGCATCATAATATAAACACGCTTCACTAAACATCACCACTTAATTAATGTCATTTGACCTACCAATAATGCAATAGAATATAATTCAACATGTAAATGTTGGCAACCCCACCAAAAATTGGCATTACTGCGAACACAACTGCATTAATGTTTTTGACGTGTACGCAATGATGGAATGCCTTATTTACATTTAATGATTGAAGTTCACCATTAAAATACTGAGCCTCGAACACTAACTAATTTGCCAATGCTTAGCGTCAGAATAGAAAAGAGACTTATTAAGTCATTTAACATTTTAACTACCTACTAGAGTCTGTGATAGCTACGCCTAAGTTAATTTCTATTTACAAAAACCGGTTTATCGAACCCAAAAACCGTAAATTATTCTTGAACCGCGATTGCGTTTTATCTTTTTTGTATGTAGGGTAATGTCATTGACCTACCAACCAAGTTTTGTTGGCAGGTCAATGGTAATGTGTATAAAGTTAAGTATATCATTTCTGTATGTGATGGTTGTAACTAACAAAAGATTGAAATTTCAAATCTTACTTTCAATTCCAATAACGACGTGCGTTAATTCCGGAAGGTCAGAACCAGGATATAGAGGAATTTCACATTCTTCCTGAAACAAAAGCAGATAGAATATTTATTAAAATCCATTTTGAAACTGGCACAATGTTTTTTTATGGAATTTGTTTATTTGTAACAAATAATCATGCACTTTTCGCCATCATGCCGCTTCATAGGTATGTATTTTTCCGATTGTTAACACCACATAGGACTGAAAAATATGTTCACCTGTTCCATGCCTCCAGTGTACTGTGCAATTGACTTGTCAACTTTGGGTGTGAAATTTGTGCTCTCTTCAGTATGCCACGTAGGCTTCATATCCACAAAGTACTTTTGTACATATTCCACAAATGGTTCATGGTCCACCTGAGGTATATAATGAAATTAATAAGTATTAAAACTAATGGTTTTTCTTTCCAAAATACAACTTAATATTGAATTTAAGGGTGTACATTGACTAGATTCGGATTGTCTTGAGCCTTTGAAACTTTTTGTGTCCATGCAATAAAAACAAAAGAAGTTGCGTGTTTCGCTTCCGCTGGGACCGCTGGCGTGAAACACAAATATTTTTCGTTTGTATTGCATGGATATAAAACTTTTTCTGACCAGTGTATTACGATTCCATGTAAATAGTGTGGTGTCTTTTGTAGTCGTAAATTAAAATATATGATATATACGACTTATGTATATCAGGCCACCAGTTTATGCAATTAGCATTACCCTAAATTCCTTCGTGATTTATTTCTTGGGTTTGCTTGAAATTGAATAATTATATGTATAACAATACTTGAAATATATATTCAATAAATAACAAGTAAAACTAAAGATATTACCCCAACAGCTGCCACAACCATCCTGTCTGGTGTGTAATGATTTTTCAAATAATTTAAAATTATGCCACGGTCTATTCTATTCACATTCTCATTTGGGCAGATCTTTGGTAGACCAAGTGTATTCTGTTTATATGCAGCCTGCAAGATAATAAAAATTAGTTATTCTTTAACAATTACTGTGACCTACTAATGTAATGTAAAATATCTATAGAAACTATAGCCAATACCATCACTGTGGCCTGGCCACATTCATTCTGGGTATTGAAAAAGTTTAGGTAAAATTGGCAACTTTGACATTATCATCTAACCCAACTGAGAAATAATATAAAATCTTAAGCATGAATGTATGAAAATTTTTGGACTTATTACATACTGCATGTATCATATCCATCAGTATAGTTTCTTGTTCTGGTCTCATAGACAATGTCTCCAACTCAAAAGCAACTGCTTGCCTTGCCGCTTCTATTTCTTCTGTAGACAACTGAGGTCTTAGTACAACTTCAGCTAAGACCTAGTAAACAAACGAAAATATAAACAGTCAAGTTTACAACTTTGTACCTATTTAATTAATTTTTCAATATGTTTTAAAGTTATAATATGCATATAAACTTTTTATTTTAGAAGATATTTCTAATAAAATAAACACCAATGAAATCTAATAATTGCAGTGAGATTGGTTGGTTATTATTATAATAGAGCAAATGAACAACACCAGTATTATTACATTACATATAGAAACCAGAGTTTCTCTTGCAATAGGTATTGTTGATGATCCAGCTCTCATAGGATCAAAAATGGTGGTGTTCTAGATCGGCGGTGTTCTTGATCTGGATCAGTGGACTGTATTTGTTAAAATTCTTGCTCTTCTCAGGATCAGGATCAGAAATAAAACACTTGTCCAACTGCTTATTGACTACTCCCTATGTTTATTAAACATTCGGGTCTGACTTAAGTACTACTTATAGGCACGTATTCCAGAACTCTACTCAATGCTCAAGTCAGGATTTGAGTATGGTTTAAAGCACTCGAAATCATACTCAAGTCCCTGCCATTAGGGTCGTAGTTCCAGTGCTTGTGCTTCCAGTGCAATCCTGACTTGAGCATTGATAAGAGTTCTAGAATACGACCCATAGTCTCTCAACTAGTAATCACGCTAGAGAGGAGGCGGGTCAGGGCAGCGTGCGGGGTGCGAAGTACAGAGAGCTCTTCCTTCACTGCTCATTGTCCATAACAGGTATGCTGCAGTCTCTTAATTTATACATGTTTCAACATAATTACCTGAGTAATAGCTTCCAATCCTTTTGAATCTGCACTAGTCGCATAAACTGTGGTATCTCGTGAACCCTGGCAATCACAGATGCCTCCATGTCGCTCCAGCTCAAGTAACATCATGTCACGAGTTGAGAATTTGTGAGTTGCCTACACAAGTAACTTTTGTTTAAACACTATACTAAGGAAATAGGGAATCATATGAACATAATGTTTCAACAATTGAAGAATATTAGAAAATAGACTGTACCATACTGTGTGTATACTTAAACAAATTGTAATAAAACTTTCAAAAACTGTTTTTTAAGTAAAAACAGCATAATGGAAAAGTTAGGTCTTAGCATTTTAAGTATCAATGCAGATTGTTATAAAACACTACACTACATGAAAATAAACTTAGAAAAAGTTAAAAAGAAGTGTTTTATAATTTTAAGCTCTATTTAAAATTGTTTTCAAAATTTAAAAATATACTTACACCAAAACTTAGTTTTTCTAGGAAATGGCAAATGCCATTGGGGTATGCCACTTCATATCTCGGACCAGAGTCAATGACAACTAAAACAAAAGTAAAATAAAATGATACAACCATATTTTATTAAAAATATAAAAATTACAAAATGTTTAGGCATTTACAAAAGAAGGAATTGGTCATTACAAAAATATAACGTCAATTAATTTTATATACATATGTAAAAAAATTCTTAAGTCACAATATACAATTAAACCCTGTCATACATATGAACCCACAAATTAGTATACTGTAATGTGTGGGCACCCCCATGTAGGGTCACGGAAGTTTAAATTATATTAAATTGAGCATGCATAAATTATTATAAGTACCTAATGTAATAGAACACTTACCACCCGCTGTACAGAATTGGCCAAACTTCTTTTCTGATGCAACTTTTAGACCATTACTTAAAACTGTAACTTCTGTAAGTGTATCTTCAGCTTTAGCAGTGGAGAAAGACACTGGAGGCAGATTCGGCATTGGCTCTGACAAGGGAGGAAGAGGTGTAACACTAGGTCTAAGAAGCGGTGAAGTTGATTTTTCCGCATCATGTGTGTAATGTCGCCGTCCCCATTTCATAGTGTTGAACCTAAAAAATGGGGCATTATAACCAAACATTAGCAACGGCATTGAAAATAAATAATAATGTTATTCATAAAGAAGAAATGTACAAACTCACCCATTTTTCATAGAAAATAACCTAGAGAACAAAACTTTAACATCAGTTACGTGAGACATTTTTACTGGTCCCAATTACTAGCCAATAAATGGAATATAATTAAACGGATGATTATTATTTATTTTTGATAGTTTTTCGAGAATAATAGAAAGTAATATATCGGAACCAATTAATTTTTTTTTACAAATTGCTGCAATGTGTTGACAACTACTTTTTTAATTTTTTCTGGTCTTAGCTTTTCGCGGTTAGCGTTTCAGCCACTGACAAGGTTATTTAATTTGATATTTAAACTCACAATAAGACTCAGAAGGAGCACAGACACTCATGAAATATGTAGCCACAAACTAATAAGAGATACTATGTATATAGCAGAGCTTAGAGCATATTAAAAGTGACCTAGCAGACAGTCGGATACCAAGTGCTGATGGCGACATGTTGTTCAACATTTAGAGACATGAAGTATGGTTCGGTATGGTATTTCCAATATTTCAATAGAGCAATGACTAAGGGATACAATACACTTATCGACACGGAATCGCATTAAGTTTGTCAGAAAAAGCATTATATCCGTGAACGTGAGAGCGAAAACGAATGTTATGCGTTCCGCATCGGTTCGTATGAACGCGGCTCGACAAAGATCGGCAACAAATCTGCTTCATAAAACACTATACGGTCTACTTATTGCGAATTTCTGATCACGTCCGTACTACGTATGACGACGACGCGACGGCTGATCCTAGTTTAGAAACAATTGGCGCGTCGACACCCGTACGTCTGCGTTACCGGCGAATCGGCTTATGCGACAAGTGTAGTTAAAACATGATCACCTGAAAGCCGATATCGCGTAGTCAAGTGTGGTTTATCCTTAATGGGCGCCCTATTGAAAGCACCCTATTGAACTTTATGTCAAATGTGTGACGCAATACAAAATATAGACAGGTCCATTGTATACATGAACAAAAAATAGGTCGTGCGTCTTCCGGAGAATTCTAACGCTGCTGTCTCACTGCAGTAGGGCTAGCACGACAAAGCGCGACTTGTGCGAGAGCGACATAAAGCACGAGATACTCTATTGAATAGAGTCTATTCTCGAAAAGACATCTCGCGCTAGTCGCGCCCTGTCGTGCTAGCCCTACTAATACCGTATTGTATCTGGTTTCTCCAGCAACGTAAATTGAGCCTTACTGGATATGGTTTAAAACTTTTATTATTTATACCAGCTGCGGATACGGAATAGTTTGAACAAATACATACAGTTGTCGCGAAAATATGCTAATAACCCGTGCCTTATTAAAGCGTAACCATGGTTAAGTTTTTCAAATTTAATTTAAGTCGCAAAAAACCAGATTCGGTCCGCCGTTCAAAAGTGATTAGGGTGTTTTACTGTCCACACTGGAATAAGTCTTTTCAGCAGCACCCTTTCTCAATCTCGAAAACCACAGCACTTAGCTTAGATCCGATTACACTAAAAAAGTCGTGATTTAGTTGGTTCTAGTCGTCGAGAAAACTAGATTTAGTCGTTAAGCCGGTTTGAAGTTATGAGGATGATACTCGTACGTGGCTTTGCACTCTCCCCGACGACGTCAGCTCTATGAAATACTAGGTTTTTGTAATAAAATCCAACATAGTAAATAACCATTATGTATTCAGATACATACATGAAAATCTTGGTGTAGAAATGGGTCTAATTCTATTGCTTTAGGTTTTTACTAATAATTTTCAATATCTTGGATTAAAAAGGGTAATATTTTTAAAAACTGAGCAAATTGTAGTACATACATATATACATGGGCATTGGTATATACGTTGTTATAAATTATAAGATAGGTTTAAATAATATAATTATATACAACACAAAGGTAAACTAGAAACACGAAATAAAAATTTTTGGACATACCTTAACGAGAAGCATTTGTTTTTAAAGTACTAAAACCGCGAGAATAAATTTTAAATTTTACCTTTATTACAATTTTTTATAATGTACTTATGTTGTAGATACATTTCATGGAATTATTGACTGTATTGCAGTTACAAAATGCAGTATTTTTTATAAAGAGGAATGTTTTGATATATTTAATTATTATTTAAAATTCTTCTCAAAAGAGGTGACAAAATTATAGCACCAAATTCATAAGTGCAATCTCCAAAATTGCACACTCATTATAACGTGAAACTTGAAGTTTTATTAATTTATTACATTTATTCAGTTGAATCTTGTCACTTTTGAGAAGAAATTTAAATTTGGTTTGTTCATCATTAAGTGTGGTGTGCTAAATAGTTTTAACACTAAAATTCTACAATTAATGTTAGCGATAAGGGGTATCCAAGGAACATAGCTTTATGATGATAGACCGTTAACAATTTTTCTAAGGTGAGATTTTGGCACTATATTATATTCAGTGCTTTTCAGTGCACGTCACATGATGAAGAACTATCACTAAATGCACCTTTATGAATACAAAACCACACACAAGCATCCTAGGGAACGTGTTCTAAAAAGGGGTAAGTTTGCCAAGCTACTTTGGACCCTATTTTGATGGGGTTAGTGTTGTCGTTTTGACCTATTGATATATTACATCTTTTGTAGGAACGTTTTCACCGTTATGCAAATATTCATAAACATTTGTTAGTGAATATTCAGGCGATGTGCGACTTACTGTTTTATTAAATTTAAACACTGGGATGTAACATTCACTTTAAAAAGTTTCTACAATTAAATTTCGCATTTAACGCTAGGTCAAATAGTCTGAACTCACTTTAAGTCGTACCTGGGAGTTTACTCCCGTACTCCTCCGACATCCATCCGCAACATTTATTGTGAAATAAGTAATACTCGACCAAATTAAAATACGTATGATGCGAATGAAGCTTCATACTGGACATTTTCTTTTGATTTGGCTAAGTAAGGCTAATTTTTCATTAGATGTTTCGGACGGAATGTCGAACGAGAACGAGAGTAGATTCCAATGGATCGAGAATTACCTTAAGAGCATAAATCCTTGTGGGGTTACTAAGTATTTTCCAGCACTGTTGTGTGTAAATTTGTTATTCTATATGTTTCTATCAAGATATGACATGATATGAGAGCTAAGGCTATATTACCCACTCGATATAAGGCGTGCTACTACCGGGAGTATTCACCTGTAGTGTAAAGTCGATCCATCATGAAAACTCGTCTCTTGAGCGTCAAAGATTGTCATTTCGAATAGCCGCGACAAGCATTTGTTTTATTGGTGCGATGCAACTAACAAATGTGTGAATTTCAAGTGAATGCTTCCAGTAGGGACGCGTTTTTGAGTACAATACCAGTCTACTAAAGAAGCCCATTTGCATAAATCGTATCAAACTAAAAAGCGCGATGATCTGCATTATACTCGTATAGTAAATATTAATTCATTCAAATAATTAAATAACATTATATTACTCGTATATTACATCATTATTATCGTAAAATAAAATAATTTCTTCTTTCATAAATATTACCTATACAATTTTAACTTACTACAATCTTTTAATTGATTGGACAACAAAATTAAAAAAAAAACAAGAGATCGTAAATGGTCGACGGTGCGGAAAAATGTTTAGATTTTTTAAAAACTAAATATTGGATCACAAAAACAAACAAAAGCATTTCATATTATTAGATACGGAAATCGAAATTGATTTAACCAATTTATGTACATGCTGTAAATTGTATGTAAATACTTTTTTCCAAAGCACTTAATTCAGATTTATTTATTATAATTGATAACAAACCATTTAACAAAGGTAACTTTGAATTGTTGTGGATGTAGAATTGGCCTTGATAAGAATTTATAAAATGTTATACATTATTAATTTCAAGACCAACTTTTACTATCTACTATTATATTGGTACACTAATTGTCACAAATTTCTCTCTGAGATGATGCCATTGTTTTTAAATCAGTTCAATTACAAGACCTACCATCAGTCAGTTTTCTTCTTATTTCAGTACGAAAGCAGAAACATTTAATCTCGTTGGGTTAATTAAAAGGTTACGCATTAACAACATTTATAAAGGTACATTTATAACATTTACAAATAAGACCCAATTTTAGCTGGTGATAATGCTTACAACAATTTTAATAAAATAATTATTCTAAATTAGCGGAAAAAATTATAGAAGGAATATAGTCACACCTTTTTAATACAACTTGTATTACATGTTATATAAGTTAAAAATTTGTTCAGCAGTGAGTAAATGCACCTTGCACTATCTGACCGGAATTATGAAATTAGCTACATTGGGCGCAAAGAATTTTCGAACAATGTACTATAAACAATTCTAAGTTACCTCAGATGATAGAAACAATTTACGCATAATACTTTTATTACATAATAAATAAACAATACAAAAGTGTCTATAGATAAAAAATAAATTAAGGAATAACTTTGGTATTGGTGTTAACGCATGATCAAATGCCAAATACAGGTGGCAGCACTTTACGCGCAGGGTAAAAGCTGTCGGTCAAATCTGGACCAGTGTCTTTTTACGATAAGTGTACCTAAATACCATATATCTTGCGTGTATGAACGCTGTTTATAATTAACAAATTACTTTCAAAGGCTTATGCAACATTTATCAGCATATTCCAGCACCTTATCTATAGAAGTGTGTCTTGTTAAGAATTGCATTAGCAACGGTTTGTATTCATTCACTGAACACCGTCCAATACTAAATTTGATTAAAGTATAAAATCGGTACTGAAACGTGTTGGAAAATATAACATTGCTCTTAAAGGATCGGAAGCTATACGTCCTTATTTGCTGACATCATTGTAAGTGCATTTTCAATACATGAAAGCAAGCACCTTTTACTAAGATATTAATACCTATTCGACACAAATGTATAAAACAGCTGTTATTTTTGCAAATTCAAAGGGGTCTTTCAAAAGTTGTTTGGTTTCATTTCGTAGACTTAAAAGTATGTCGGCCAATAAATTAGGACCTTGTATAGAAGACAGATTGCATGTCTACATAATTACGAACCTTAGGAAGTTTTACCGTGCCATTTGTTCTTTCAGGTCCTCATGCGATACATTCGTTCAACAAATAATGGACAATGAGTTGTGTCAACACGCAAGTAAAGGTACCTTATGCACTTTTGGAATGTACTTTATACACAATTATATGGTGCAAAAGTTTAGGTGCACAAAGAAAATACTTGTGTGATAGAATAGCAGATTAAATTACTAAAGACAGCCCTAACCTCCTATGACTTTATAACTGTTTAGACACCTGTTTCTATTTTTTAATTATCTGTTTATCGTGGAAAAAATTCTAACTTTTGACGGTCCATTTCACTGGACTGCCTTTCGCTTTATAACCAACCACGTAACCGCCATGACCGAGAAGAAAAAGTATAGTCACCATTATTAAAATCACATGTCAATCCGTGGCGCGAAATTATACACAATTTACCTAATACAAAACTTGTATCCCGTTAAAAAAAATCTAAGTCGGTAACGTCATAAGGTGCCTTTGCATACAGCTGTCACAAATTTGCTTTTATGCTAATTGAACAAATGACGGAACAATTTGAACAAATGACGGAGCAATTTAACTATATTTGTTTGGCAGTAGTTAGTGACGTTAGTCGCACAGTATCACTATCGTTTGTCGCTAGTTGTAGAGACTGGTCGTGTGACACGTCGTCATGAGGGCGCGGCGGGTGTGCTGCGATCGTCGCTCAGCTATGACGAGTCCTCGTCGTACCATGTCTGGAAGTCTTTGCTCTCGTCATAGTCGTCCTGGAAAACAAGATTGAGATGGCAAATTCATAATACACATTCACAATGCAGCAGTCACGTTGAGGCAACAGACGCTGGTTCGAGTTTAGTCAGATCGAAGGAATTTTGCTTCGTGTTTGTTCGATCTTTGTATGAATAATAATAACAAACTAGTGGAACTTTTTTCACAAAAAAAAGATGAATATCATGGTAGGAAAAACATTATTACAATAAAATAAAATACAATCTAATCACAATACAATATAATTTTGTACGAGTTAAAACGACACAAACTTCGTTGAGCCACTGTGTCGCGTCCACAGACTGATTGGCAATAAAGACTAACACTGACTAACAGAAATTAAAAATGAGACCGATTTTCCTTTGGACAAAATACGACTAAACTAGCTAGTAACACGACATTAAAATCTAGTAAGTCAGCGTTTAAATAATCGTACATTTAACAGCAAGCTGACCTTTACACTTTGGACCACTTTCATAGTAAGTATAGTATAGAGGCGAATTTAAATTATATACTTGTGAAATACTTGCACAGTGGTTTGAAATGTTTGTATGTGTCACGTTGCTAAGTTGGATATTGAGGATACGTGGTTGGATCGGTTTTGCGGTTTCTATTCATAGGTGGAATTGATAGGGTTTCAATGTCGTATACAAATACAGGATGCTAGAAAAATACTTTTAAAATTTCATGGCGTTGCTCTATCTACAACACTAGACAACTTTCTTTATCCACTTTGCAAAAAATATGCAACTTTTCACGCTAATATTTTGTGTGAGCAAAAGGAAAAATTCCCACACACGTTTTTTGATACCCTACAAGAGTCATATTCTAGCAGTAATATTTGTAGGTTATTGGAGACAAGACTGCTTTTTGCCTTGATATCTCATTTACACTTTAATGACCACACGCGTCTAATAAGAGGTAAATCCACACATATCTCATGCGAATGAACGTAATTACAATCTTGACGTAAATGGTACATTGTGTCACAAGTGCGTACTTACAGTTAGGTCAATAACAAACAGGGATATTCAAATGTTATTCATCACAATTGCGAGGAAGTTAAAAAAAAAGAAAATTAGATCAGATTCATAACGTTATAGTTTATTCATTTAGTAGCAATAAAGCTCCTTGTGAAAGAGTTCGTCCAAGGAAGTACTGCCACTTTAATCTATTTCTGCCGCCAAGCAGTAATGGCAGCATTACTGTGTTTCGGTTTTGAAGGGTAAGGGTGAAATTACAGGCACATGGGACTTGTTAACTTATGTCTCAGGGTGACGGGCGTAGTGGCAGCATAGTATTACAAGACTAATACTCACAATACACTTTCGTTGCGAACACTGGTTGTCTGTACACAGAGCGCGGCAGTTGGGCACACATACAAGTCGCGCTGTTTCTTTGTACGGAGTTACCATACTTCTTTTATCTTACTACGGTGGCAGTGCCCCTTCGATATTTGCGATTTAAAAATATGAGTGGCACTGCTACTGACAGGCTTGTAGCTTACCACCAGGCGCACGACTTGGTCGTCCCGATACTTAGTATCATAAAAAAAGCATATCACAGTATAGACGCAACGCAATATAGCAGAATATTACGATTTTTAACTAAGCATACTGCGATGAGCAGAGCAAGTGAAACTTTATCCTGAATAAATTATCCAGTATATATTTTATTTGCCATAAGAAGATGGATGCTTTATAAACGATAAAGTTTCGCATGCTCTGCTTGTCGCTGCATGCTTAGTTCAAAATAGCAGCAATCTGTAATACTGCTTTATTGTATAAATTGTGCACTTTAAAACACAGTATGCCGTGTACTTACCGCCATCCAAGCATGATCAAGTACGTCCTCGGCGGCAAAGCGCAGCTCTGGCTGTGGACGCAACATATTGGCTACTAAGTCAATGGCTCCGGCCGATACTCGTTCCCAGTGCGGTGCAGGGAACTCCAGCCGTGCGGACAGAATGGCGTCGAACAACTTCTCTTGGTCGCCATCAGGCGATGAGAACGGAGGAAACCCACAAAGGAGGATGTATAAAATTACACCCGCTGCCCATACGTCGATCTGAAATAAACGTTACTTTAGTCTAGTCTTGGTTCTCTGTCTATCTTTAACTCGGCTGATAGGCGCCACTCTATTTCTATCACAAAACAGTAATGCTTTGTTATGGTACGAAGGAAGTGCCAGTGGAATCATAAGTAAAAGATACTTGAGATCTTATATCCCAAGGACAGACGTTCGCAAGTCGTAACTTACAAACTTAAGGAAAATTAATTATTTACATAGCTAGTAAAACACCTCCTGAATAGAATTGTGTTAAATAAGTATTTAACCGATTTCAAAAAAGGAAGGTTCTTAATTCGATTGTTTTTTTTTTGTACGTGTGTTACGCTATTGCTCCGGATTTGTGAACCAATTTTGATGGTTCTTTTTCTGTTGGAAAGAGGGTAGGGTTTCGCGCACTTTCCCGGTAACCGATTGCAATAAAACTTGGCAAATAGATGTAATTCCACGAACTTTGATGTCACTTAAAAATTTCCATACACATAAGCTTACTATACGCAAAACACATACAAGTAATAGTGTAGTATTACTTCTTAATTTGGATTTTCCTTTTTCCCAGACAAAAATCGGGAAACCTAGGAGCTTTCCTCAAGGGAGTCACCAAACTTATTAACGTGGAATCGTTTTGATAAGATCGTGTTTAACCACACCTATCACATTAAGTCGATTCGCCGTTGACGCGGCCATTTGCGTGCCGTAGCGCCACTTCTTTCTAAACCAAGATTCGCCGTCATCGGCATGTGTACGGACGCGATCGGAAATTCGCAGGTAGCAGATTCGTTGCCGATCTGTGTCGAGTCGCGTTCGTACGAATAGATGCGAAACCCACAACGTCTTTTTCGCTTTTACGTTCAAGGACATAAAGCTTTTTCTGACCAGCTTAATGTGATTCTGCGTTAATAAGTGTAGTGATTCCCTAAAAAATAATTGGTAGTCTGACCGGACACCAATTATTTTTCGTCTTTATTCTAAATAGAATAATAGTAATAACGCACAAACTCAACATAGCCCCGCACTAGGGAAACCCTGTGTCGCGGGTGCCATCAACACACACATAGACAACCACAAATTACACCAAAAATCACGAGAGAAATAAATGTAGGCCATACAAATATTTCTCCTGACCCGGGCATCGAACCTGGGACTTCAGCGTGGCAGTCCGGCATGGTAACCGTTCGGCCACAGAGATAGTTAAAATATATGTATATAACTTAAGTATTCAAATTGTTCAAAATAATTCAAAATTCAGACTCAATTACCTCGATAATGGCATTGAAAATTATGTTAATTATGCATTAATTCACAATAGCACTTGATAATATTATATTCAAATACATTACAAGCTTTCACCATAAACATTATATACCTTGAGGCCATATCCTGTTTCCAGCAGAATCTCAGGCGCGACGTAAGTGGGAGTACCACAGACCGCATGCAACGGCCGCCACACTTCCACCGCCAGGCCGAAGTCAGCCAGCTTTAGCCCACGAATAGTCCCATCTAGACCCACTTCCACCTGCAGAAATACAGTTTGTCAGGTATTGTTCGCGTCGAATCGTCGAATGTTAAAATCAAGCCCTACAATTGTTGCAGAAACTACAAGACACGCAACTCTTTGAAATAAATTTCATTTAGTTGTTTAAACACATTTTTATGCTACTTGTAATGCTTCTATTTGGAGATAAACAAGACCTTATTATGTAGTTACAGAGCACACAAGTACAAAATTCGTTTAATAGTAAACGGATCTGAAACCACATTTATCGGTGATTGCCCCGCATAGCACGAACACAGTGTCTATAAAATTAACAAGAAGTCTAACAGCCTACTCCGTACTTTCATTTTACGAATAACATTTGTAGTACGGCTTTTAATAATCCTTAACTACATTTTATACAAAGCTTGTGCTGCCCAAGGCGCTGTTTAAATAGGAAGTAATTATAACTTTTAAAAAAAAAAACAGAACTCTAAAGTTCGTGGAGTCACATCTATTTGACAAGTTTTATCGAAGTCGGTTAACAGAAAGAGGGTAAAATCCAATAAATCTGATTCATCCCCTAATTTTCCACCCTTAGAGACGGCATATTTTCATCAAATTTGAATGGAACTATTACTGAGGAACATTACATTCCTTTTCCAACAAAAAAAGAATCTCCGAAACGTGTTCATAAATAGCGAAGTAATCGTGTAACATACACAAAAATAAATAGTGTCTAATAGAGAACCTTCTCATTTTCTGAAGTCTGTTAATAAAAATAAATTCACAAAAACAAAAAGTTCTCATGTAAAGAATAAGCCCCTAAGTATGACGTATTTTTTAATTAGTTGACACAGGCAAAATAATACAGAATAGTCTCTGCCGTTACCAGTTTCCCGACGGGCTACTACACGGTCCGGTCAAGCAAGAGTTATTTTGATACTGCGCCACCCATAGCTTAAATCGTAATACTAAATTAACGCTTAGAAAAAGCAGAGACCTGATGGTAGAAACAAAGGGAAACTTCGAAATTAGACGTCTGATTTTCGGTACAAACGGAACAAGGCTTAAAAAGGCATGATAAAGTTTATTATATTAGACATGTTGATACAAGCTTAAATGATGTGTTTTAATGTAATAATAGAGTTTACATTTCAATTGATAAAAAAAAATCAAAAGATAACTTACAATTTCTAGTTTTAATTGACAGAATCGAAAATGCTTCTTTGGTGCATCCGTGAATTGAATAATAAACTCGATTATATCCATGAAAATGATTTTGTTAGTTCTTACCAATAAGTTTTCGGGTTTGATGTCACGATGCACTATAGAAAGTGAGTGTAGATATGCAATAGCTGATGTTAGGTGGCCGATTAGCAAACGCGCTTGAGGCTCAGAGAATTTGGAAGCGGCCGCGATACTATCAAACAAATCGCCACCTAGAAATATAAAAACATTTTTTTATTTTATTTCTAACTATCTTTCTTTTACATCATTGGACGTATCGTAACTATAAAAGATACGTCCAATGAACACTACGCTAACTTAATTTTTGAAACTGTTTTGTTTTTATTTTATTTTTTGTTTCTTAATTTTTTTTCACAAAATTTGTTTTTTTTTGTTTTCGAATTTAGTTTTTTGTTTATTCATTTTTTTTAACAAAATGCGGTACGGGGAGCATAATATTAGTAAATAAATATGGATGTTTATAAAAATAACATGAAATTACCAAAAAATAAATTTGGCGGTATCAACATGGAATTTGGATTTAATTTTGCGGGAAATTGTGGGCGAATCATCACCTATTATATTGCCTTTTCGACTCAGTGTTCTCTTTTGACGACTGCCGTGGCCCAGTGGTTAGCACTATGTCCGATGAAAAGGTCTCCGGTTTAGAGGGAGGTATTAGCCACTCGATGTACTTGCCGTTTAGGTATATTTTGCCTATTTCGATTTCTGAACAACACAGAGTATAGTTTGTTGATTTTTATGTTAAAACCATGCAATTGGTGTTATATTAATATATTTATATATATATATGAGCAACCTTTAGAAAGGCTTTATAAGTATGATGATGAAAAAGGAATTCACAACTTAATATGTAATGGGATTGTTACATATAGGAAATGAAATTATTATTTTGGATCTAAAAAACTGAAGTTTGAATTGTGAGCTGAATATTATTAAGTTTCTAATTTTTGTAATAGCTAGGCCCATTTGATATTGCAGTCAAACTATTTGTCTGGGGACAGTGTTATAATTTTTTGATATTTTATACGTTTCCATATATGTATATTTCATAAATATTTATTATGATTATAGTATACAGATTTTTAGCTCATCAGCTAAAATATCGATACTTCAAGGATGAAAAAGCGTAAAAGTCAAGCTACAAAGTTTACAAGACGAGTGATAAACAAAAAATTATGAAGGTTTTGGTTCATATTTTTCATATATTTATAAGTATGTTTACATTAAAAAAAATAATTGGCGAGTAACAAAACTTTGTGCAGACAGATTGAAAAAACATGATAATTTAATTCAACTACACTAATTAACCATAATGAGGCCATCAGCGCAATAGTGGTGTAACCCACATTCTTTTGTTTTCTACAATATTACTTTGAACCAGGGTTTCTTAGCCTGTGGTTCATGGACCCCTAAGGAGTCCGTGTGATGCCGGTCATGTCAATGCCGAGGGTCCATGACGAGCCTACCTAACATGTTGCATTAATTTAAAAAAATTTATACAATATGTTATGTGTTAGTGCATAGTTTCATTTTCGCGCCATTTGACGGCTATCCATTATAGGGGCGAGCGAGAGAGATTTCTTATTTTATTTATTATTTGTACTAAAAATTATACAATAATTATTAATCTAAATTTGGCGGCACAACAAAAACCTTTTACAAGATCAACGTCACACTGGCGGGCACGGACTCGTCTAAGAAGAGGGTTTAGTTCATAATCCGCCACGCTGGCCCAATGCGGGTTGGGGACTTCACACGTTTCGACATGCAAATTTTATCGCGTTTTTATTTTCATTGTTTTAGCGAGAAGTATTTGTATCGCTACTAAAATCTCGTAAATGAACGGATTTCGAAATTAAGGTCGTCAACCTCTCAAGAGAAGCAACCGTTCCTCTACTAGGTTACCATCGCTCTCGATATACTTTTTTTATTTTGGCTGTTTTTAGAAATTTTCAGTTTTTTATAAGACACATTTAATAAATACCGCGAAACAAAATTCTCAAACATATTTACTACCTTTATCTAATTTATTATTACGTTTTTTGACGCGTAGTCACTAAAGATGAAATGAAAATTTACTATCTTTAGATACTAAATATATTTCAAAGACTATTAAAAATTTCATTAAACGGAAACTTTTTTTATAAAATAATAACATAATTTAAAATAATAACATTTTTCGAGTCATTTGCAATAAATGTCATTTGTCATTCATTCTCACGACGTGTTCTCTTACTGTACTGTGTTATCTGAAGAAAAGGTTCACGATCACTGGTTCTTTGTTCACAGTTATGATTCTAAAAACGCGAAGTATAGCTATAATACAAAAGGGAGTTTACATAGAGTTGGGTCCCACTTGTTAACACGCTTCAGCATCAAGTGTGCTCACGATACCTCATATAAAACATAGGTCTAGTACGGCCCAGTACTGAAGCATGCTGTCAATATGGTCCATCCATTATACATACCACTAACAAGTTCCATAACTAAATACAACCACTCAGGACTATCTTGTTCTTCGATTAGCGAGACGATACGTGGGTGACAAAGCTTTCTCATAACGCGTACCTGATAACGAAATGATAATACGTAGAATATATGAAGTGGTTTGTTTACGTTATATGAACATTAATCTATTTGTCATGTAATGCTTATTTCCTCTTTCTACGTCAGTAATAACATATTTTTTTTTTGTAGATGAAAACGTCAAAAAAAAATTACTGTAATTATAAACTTATATAATTATCTAGCTGTTTAATAGCAGCCGCTATATTACCTCTGCTTCTACGTAGTGCTCAATTCCTTTGCATTTCGCCTTGTCTATAACCTTAAGGGCGTATTCCTTTCCGGTATTTTTGTCTTTACATATCCGGACAACAGCAAAATTACCGTCACCTGTAACAAAGTTTTATTTTACATTTTCGAACTATGATCATGATCATATCCGTGGTCCGCCACCTAGCAAGTAAGTCGCATAGTTGCAAGTAAGTCACAACCCAAGTGTTTTGACTCTACTTCTTCTTACTTTTTTCGTTTTAGTGAGAAATAGTGGTAATAACATGATCATGATAAATTATTTCCAATTTGTCATGAATAGGTTAGGTTAGGTTTACGACAGGTAGATGGAGAAGATCCACCTCCACGCATCATCATCTCGTGGAGAGAGGGGGCGCAGATAATCATCCTTCAGAAATGGGAAGCGCGCCTGGCGGACCCTACAACCAGAGAGCTGGTGGCTGTCATTCTCTTGCTGAAGCAATGGGTCGAACGTAGACATAGAGTCATCTTCTACTACCTCACGCAACTCCTCACCGGACACGGCTGCTCCGGCCGTTACGTGTAACACCTTGTCCCTCCCCCACCAGAACATCGGAGGATCCGGTAACGGATGACCGCCGACGGGCCATGAAACGCTACAGCGATGTCACGGCCCGTCACGCAACGGCGAAGAGAGGAGCACCCCGGGGGTTTAGTGTGACCGGGCTGCTCCCCTTCAGGATTCAGCCCAGTCCCATATAATCCCGGCCCTGTCTCCGCATGGCCGGGATATCTGTAAGCAGATTCCCCCGGGTAAAAAAAAAAGTTTATAACAGGTAAAGGATCTTAAGTCCATATTTTGGATTTACACGTTTTTACAAACATTGCTTTAGAATGCTAAAAATCACGCAATGGTAGGAAACATTAAGTCATATCGTCGTTTGTTTTTTATTGCACCTTAACATTGATTATATATGCCTTATTAAGAATGAAAAGAATGAAGCATTCTCTTTGAAACGCTCTGTAGTAAAATATACTATTTGACACTTATAGTAATTGTGTATTCAGGGCGGTAAATAAGGATTTACGAACAAAGCTCGACTAGAAGCCCGAAGTCGAAGACTGAGGGCTTTCGGAGTCGAGTTTCGTTATTCCCATACAGCCCGTGAAAAATACAATGTTTTTCATCACCTCAAATAAAACCCTCTGGCCTTTTTTCCATTCATTACAGCCATAGACGTGTAATGAGAAGAAAAAAGGCCTTATGAATTTATTTGGGGCATCATAGTCAAGTTAGCTTGCATGCAATCATATTATTTACGTGCAAGTGTTATCTTTTACACTATAAGTGTTGTGTTTACCTCTCACCTACATATTTAAAACAAACTTAAAGTTATTAACTTATTGTATTTATCGTGTTCCTAAGTTTTGGCAAATGCTATTCATTGGGAATGAAACTTTAATTAACCTAATTTGCTTTTTTTAACTATTGTTTCGGGCTCTTTACAAGCTATTTTAATTGGGTCGTTTTTATGGTTTATTTTAATATTATCGTAGCATTCTTTACATTGGTTTTAGTTGTATTTAGATTTAGTGACAAAGAAGCAAATTTATCTCTCTCTTATCTAGGTTCCACCATCATGTCATATAAGCCGTGACCATGAGACCTAGATAAGAGAGAGATACCTATAAAGAACCCGAAAGGTTGGTTAAGGTTGATTTGCGTGAAAAAACAAAAATGCGCAATTTAGACCGAAAAAAAAAATAGTTTCATTTCCTATTTAATTTTGTAAAGAGAAAACTGCGACTGCAATAATATTAATGACTTCCTTTATATGTTGGTCACTATAAGTCTCAATATTATAACAAATTAATGAGTGAGTCGAATTGTGCTAACTACGTAGGAGTAGGAAGGAAGTACTATCAGTTGGCATGAGGCCTCGAGGAACTAATATAGGATGATGCAATTTATTTACCAAATTGAACAACACACGATTTGAAAGTTTTCATTTAAAGTACACGGTTACTAAACACTTAAGTGCCAGTCCGGTGGAGCGTAGTGGACTTAGGTCCATTGTCTAGTAAAATGGAGTGGAAAAGAGCTGTGATTCAGTTAACAATGATGCCTCGTTATTTTGACTAAGCGGCGTGGAGATTTCACAAAACTAAATACTACTTGTGGAGATAAACAGACACAAGTATATGAAATAATAAAGGAAAAAAGAACCGACACAAAACAGAATTCAAAATGAACAGTGAGAACAAAAAAATTAAGAAACTAAATAAATAGCTATAACACACAGATTTGAATTTGGAAAATGATAGAATTTTTTTCCGGATTTAGATTAAGCATATTTTTTATTATAATAATTTATTTAAATAAAAAACAGTTGCGGGCTTTGTACTGGTCTCATGATTACAGTCACAAAAGATTGAAAAAAAAAAACAAGTATACGTGATTTAAATCAGTAGAAAAAGTGTTGCATTTCCAATGTGTGGCAATCTCGAAAACCTAAGAAAGCTTTTACTTTGTTAACAGAGTTCAAAAAAGGACGAGGTTCTAAATTCGACTGTATATTTTTTGGGTCTATGTTACGCGATTACTCTTACGGCATTTGTGAACCGATTTTGATGATTTTTTTTATGTTGGAAAGAGGGTATCTCAGTACGGGTCCCATTTATATTTCAAGAAAATATTCCACCTGTAAGGCTCAATTCACACTGGCGCAGAGTCTAAGCGTCGCGACGCGTCCTGTTTTTCGCATATAGCATATTCATCTCTATTTTCCCATTATTAAGGTACAAATTTGTGTTATGCATATATGGAGCCGCGCGTCGACTCTTGGTTGCAGTAGAGAGGCTTCGCGCATCGACGCCCGTTATTTCAGCGCAGTGAGGCGTCAGACGCCGACCACATTGTGATCCGGATGCACTAATGCGAGTCTAAGGGTAAATCAAACTAGGGGATGAATCCGGCTTCGCGTACTTTCCGGTAACCGTTTGCAATAAAACTTGGCAAATATAATAATTCCACGAATTTTTCAGGTCTGTTTTTTTATAATTGCTGATATAACAGACATAAGCATCTCTGCATCACTGATTCTGGCATAAGGGCTATATTACCGACGTGAGACTTGTGTATCTGCAGAAGCAAAAAGGGCTGTTGACTAAATTATTTTTGTTCACAAATATTAACGCTATGATTTCTGGACGTGACTGACGTGCCTTATACGCAATAAACCTCTGTATTGTTAGGACATAACGTATAATTTTAATGGAAAAATATAATTACATATCCCAATAAATAACTACATGTCGAATACAGTACGTCATGTTCTGTGTTGTGATTTGTTGTAGTGGAGGGAATTTAAAAGATGGTCCACAACCGTGGCCCAATTTGGGTTGTGGACCGTCTTTGAAGAGTTAGAAAATGATTCTCAACAAGTTCCATTGAAAAACTTACCTATTATCTTCCCAACGCCGTACTTGAGCCGTAGTGGTTGCGGGAGTATAGGTGCAGCGTCATTGTCTGCGGCATCCCATGCGGGTCCACCTCCGGCCTCGTTGCTGGCCCGTGCTTTGCCCCCACCGGCTTTCACTGGCATTCGAGGCTTTGGACCCGTTCTGTATACGATATGTAACATTAACATTCAGGAACTTAGATTCGTATGTGACTTTAAAAAGAGCTTACTCTTTTCAGTCATTCATACCAATTACGTTAAAATAGCGTTACGATTTTATGACGTAAGCAATTATTTATTAACGAGTATGAACTGACCACGTATGGTACATACCTTGAATTTCTAGTAATTGGCGTTTTCCTACATTGTAACACAGCTTTACTTTCTTCAAATTCCAACTCGAAGTCTTCTTGATTTACCCTGAAATGAACAAATTATTCAAATGACTCGAGAATAACAATATTCAAATAGGGATTTGCGTTTAGGCGTTTTAAATTTATTTTACATAACAAATCTTTAGATTTATATTTTTCCCAAAATAACAACTCGTGTTCTTTGTGAAGATATAATTTAGAAAGTAATTTACTAAACAGCCTTAAGGCGAAATGGTATCATGGTTGCGTAGGCTTTGAGGCGTGTGAGGTAGACGCGGAAAAATTCATTGCACGACATTTGAACATTTGCGTCTCAGAAATAAAATATACTAGGTCACTCAAATTATTGTTACGTCACGTTATAAACATTACTGTTATTAATTTGACTTCTATTTACATTTTACAATTTATTATCATTAAAACTAACTCATATAAATATTAACGAATTTAAATTTGACTGATTTATTTATTGCATATGTGCACGCCCATTTTATATAATTAAAAAAAAACATGTTACACCAGGTTTAGTCCGTTGAAGTTCATATGAGTGAATGTATAATAAATATACTTTCATTAATTGGGAGCCTAACGTTTGGGCAGACAATAATAGTAGTGAAACTATACTTATTTCATACATGTCAATTTGTGTATAACCTGTGTTCTCACAAATAAATGAATTGTTAACATTATTAATTACCTTTCATTCCCATAAGCAAAAAAAACGTCCTCATCCTCAAAAAATTGATTCAAGGCAGTGACAGGGGTGCCAGATTGTGTGAAAACTTTACGGACACAGCCTGTGTCCAGTTTGACACAATCCGTAATTGCGGCTAACGCGTGCTCTAGCGTTGGACTATTGCGTTTGTTTAGTAATAGTCTGCAGACCTATGGAGTAAAATAAATATTTACGATTTGAATTCTTCTACAAAGGGACATAAAACATTAATGTCGCGTAAGAGAAAAATGAAGGTGTTTATTTTATTGAATATCATGATGTTTTTACTACCATGAAAATAAATATATTTCTTGGGAAAATACTCCAATACTCCACTATAAACAGTTTTGGTCTTATTATTGATACAAATTCGATCTGACTGGATTAGAACACTGGTTTGGTTTTTTGTGAGACCAGGGTTAACTCATCAATCAGCTTACGAATTTCTTTTTGTGTTTGTTGAAATAAGGATGTTTCATAATAGACGATTATGCTTATTGCGTCGTCTCGCTGCTCTAGCGACTATTTTGCTGTAACATAGAAGGCCTATTATCTACTCAAGTGGAGCGGAGAAGAGTCGTGTTTCATCAATAGCATTTTGTTATTTCGACTATGTTAAAAGCACCTTTCACGCGATATGCGAAATGTACTTAAGATTGAACGATCTTAAAATATGATTAATGTGAGATGGATTTTCTATTATATTTAATTTTGAAATCACTATCAATTTTTTTAAATAAAATACTTTATAGATCATCATTATTACGGTTTACTAAATAAGTCATTACTACATTATGTAGTTCTTGCAACAACGTTTCTTATTTGATTAGATCATTATCGAAAAAGTTCTTCATTGTACAGTAAGAAAGTGGCTCTTGAAAGTTTATTTTTAATCTTTGTGTTTGTTTGTGTGCCACATTGGACCAAGAGTCTTATCATCAAGTTATGGCAGAAATTAAAGAACTATGGGGTACATCTCACCATGGGCCACTGCACCATTAAGGAGTTTCTCAGTTTAATGCATTACAAATATTTGTTAACAATCAAAGTTTAGTACAGTTGTAAACTAAGTTTAATATACCTTGCGTGGTTTAACTCCATTCCTAATAATAGTAACTATCCGTGGTCGAACCACGTTGTCGCCAGCGGGGCTGACGCGCGGTGTCCCGTTACCAGTAGTGGCACTACCATTTGTCTGCAATATTATTTAAGTAAGCAACTATTTATTAAAAGGAATTTTATTTGTAATGAAAAATATTCATAGGTATTCTTTTAGGATACAAAAAAAACTTCAACTTTGATTTCCTGATGTGACATGACCAATGGTCGGAAAAAAGTGTTCCACACATATAGATACACGTATGCTTATAGCTAGAAGGAGCGACATAAGAATTGTTAAAACCACCAAGTATTAATTAATTACTTTTTTCGAATTCTGGATGACAAAAACTCCTCTCCTTATTCTATTTATGAAGATAAATAGCCGTACATGGGTAAGGCCGTCGAAAATGCCACATTTTCGTCTTGTTTAAGCATTCACAAGTTTTTTTAATAATAAGTATTAAAATAATTTAGTGTGAACATTTTCCTTTTAAAATACGACATTTCAGCTAATGGTTAGAATTTTTGAACATCTGTTATACTGTGTTTTTGAATTTAAATAAAATACGTATTAAATAAATAAAGTTAAAAAAAAATTTAATTTTTTTTCTCCAAAGTTCTACTAGCAAATGTCGCCGTTCCGTCAATATGCGGTATCTAAAGCTAGGGGCGGAGAGTGACCATTCTCTTTACTTTTTATTCTCTGTTTTGGTAAAAGGTCAGTTTATCTACTGCATTTTTTACAAGACACCATTAGATTACTTTAAAATCCAACTTCGACTTTCTAGGTCAATAGTTTTGTCCTACGATGCAGTAAATCCATTTCCGGAAATCCGGAATTCGAAACAGTAAACAATTAATATTTGGTGGTTTTAACAACTCTGTCGTTCCTTGTAGCTATATCTATACATATATCTATATACATGGAACACCTTTTTTTGATCATTGGACATGACATTACTTTTTCCCTTATCTGATCTAAGTAACTTTCTCTCGGTTTTCCTCTAGCTTTGTTTTCTTCAAGCCTCCCTACTATATGCTTCTGAGAACTCATGACATATCAGATAAGATACATTTCTTAGAGGATTAAGACCATACTTTAGTTCTTCAACACATAATAATTTTATAAGTTAACACAATCAGGCATAGAAGCAGTAGTTTCAACTTTCGAAACACAAATAACTACAAAACATATAACAGCTGATTTAAATTAGTATTGCCTAAAGTTTAAATTTTATTACTTTTTTGGACTGATGCCATGCTGACATTGTAAAAGAATAAAAACTACTTGTTTTATAAGAAAATAAAGTACCTGTAAATACCGGGACAGTCTGTTATTGGCTCTAGCTGGAGATGGGCTAGCACTGTCACCAAAGGACTCTGGGCCACTGAGTCTAAAAGACTGTGGTGTCTGTGCACTTGCTTCATAGTCAAGTCGTTTGAATGGCTCTCCAAAACCACTGCATACATATGATTGACCATCTTCTAAATCATCTAATTTCCCTATCTATAGAAATAAAATTATTTTATTGACGATGAAGTGACACTATACTATCTATATCTGCAAATACACAATTGTACATATAATTTTAAAAAACATGTCTCGAATTTGCAAACCAAGGTATGAAGAATTTTTGTACTCTAATCAATTTTGCAATGATCAAATACCTGTCTAGAAAGGTTTTAAATAAAAAGCAGTTTGTAATTCCAAATTTTTGTTAATGAATGAATGTTCATTGTTAATGAATTAGTAAACTAAAATGATCATGATATATATAAAACCTTACTACCCAATAACAGACACAAGCCTTCTCAAAAGGGTCATAAAAGGCTATGGCCTGTTATGAGCACTACTCTCGCGGAATGTAGTTTTGGCACTTAGCAAGATAAGATAGAATGCTGCAGTAAAATTAAAAGCTGGTTTATACAAGTTGTCATATGAATAAACTCACTTTTCTACCCTCAAGAGAGTAAATGGTTCTAACTCCACTTGGCAGAGTAACATTATCAACAAGCACCCTTGTCAAATCCGCTGTTAAGCTATCAAAAGACCTAAAATAAAAACACTAGTTCAAACAATTTCATTAAATTTACGAAGTGTAATTAGTGGCACATTCTGTTGATTTTTATGCAAGTTATTACGCAAAAGTAGCCCAACAAAAAAACCGTAATGAACAACAATCAAGCAATTGTTCATTGTGTTATGCGCGACGTACCAGTAACTTTATTGACGACACAAATAAATAAAAATAGGCATACTTTTGAATGAAAGTGAAAGTTGCTAAATTCTTTAATAAGTACATCACCTTTTGAAAGCATATCTATTACAAGCGTTGTAGCTACCAACCTGTAACGTTCTGGCAAGACTGGGATTACTACTCCTGAATAAAATTTATCACCATTTCGAAAAAATCTGATTCGTTTTGCCTTCCGTGCAGGTGGTGTTCGAAGCATTACAGCGCGACGATTTGGCCTAGTTTTCATTATATCGATATCACTGAAATCTTTTTCGAGCTCACAGACTGAGCTTGAACGACTACCACTACGGCTTAAACTGTTCTCCATCCTAAAAACATAGAAAGTTAGAAAAATTACAATGTCCTAATAAAACAGATTGACTTGCACATCTACGATTTTCGACTTACCTTCTTTCCTGTCGTTTCGGAGGGCTTCAAATATTTTTGCACGGAACCTAATTAAAAAATATCACCCATACTGCACTAATGGTGTAGAAAGTGTTATAAAATCATCGCTTAAAATGAAATTTATATCATCATGAATCACACACAGACGGAAATCTAGACGGAGAATGAATGGATTGATTTCGATAGGAATGAAATAGGAGTGAAAATAATTTAATTGAATGAGTAAAGTAGCGTTTACATGATCAATAGTAAATAGTTCAGTTAGACAGTTTGGTAGCGGTAGCGTAGCATTCACTTGAAAACATGTCGTTTTTTTGAAAATCGGTAGGTATAATAGAACAGGGGGCCAATCGCGCTAATTGTCAAAGGTTTAACCAAAACCTCCAACCTCGCCAATCTGACACGTTGTGTACATTTCGTATCGCGCTAACTGTCAAAACAAAAACCTAAGCCAAAACTTAGACGTGTGACACGTAACGCACATTTGGTATCGCGCTAATTGTCAAACGTAAAACCAAAACCTAAAATGTTGCAAATTGGTATCGCGCTAAATATTTTGACATTTTAACCTCACATGTAACCTTGGGGGAATAGATTAACCTTTGCAAGGTCAAGGTTTGTGTGGCAGTTAATGGAGAGTAACTTTTCACTACGTTTATCGTATATAAAAGATGTTCCACGGTTACTTAAATGTTTTGGAAAGTGTTTATGAGGTGGATGTGGCCTAAGAACGGGCTTTAAATAAAAGAAAAGCATAGAAAGACGATCACATTTAACATGTCTGAGGAGAAATTCCGCAAACGATATACCGTTTGTCCACGGAATTCATTTCAGGATTGGTGGAAGAACTATGCCTACATATTCTCGTTAAAGGACGGTCTGTTGCATTGGATGTGGAGACAAAGGTAAGGGTTGAGTGGAATCCGAAAGTTCTCAGTTTTGCATAATAACCAAAATTTCTATACTGTGTAAATCATTATTAATTTTGTTACAGATTTTAATAGCTCGTATAGTTTTTAACAACTGGGGCGTACCAGACCCCCATTGGCAAGTGCTTATCACCCTTTCCCAAGTCAGTGTCAGAGAGGCACAAGCGGTAGCTGCTTCAAATAAACCAGTTATTATGAATAAATATGCAGCTTTCCTAAAAGGCATGCCGAAAGAGATGGTATTAAAAGGCGGTGAGAAAATAAGCTTTACAATGTACATCATATTTATTAGTTCTTGTCTTA